CGCGTTGTGCTTCAACTTCAGAACGAATCCATTGCAAGTATCGGAATTGCCTGAATAAATAAACAAAAAACCTAATGGATACATTCCCAGAGCATGTAATGATATGGCTTCCACCAATGTCATTCATTTCTATACAGCAGTGACAAATCCATCTTCATATGGAGGCTTATTTCTAAACAGCTTCTTTCTTCTTGTCCGGAATATATGCATTGTTCTGCATTTTACGTCTGGGAGAAAGTTCAAGTTCTGCTTTGCAAAGGGATCGAAATCTCGCGGTTTCATTTTCTACTGACTTCGCATAATTACTTTCAATTTTTCACTCTTCATCACGGTAAAAGGCACTGTTCTCCACATAGTGATTGATCGAGTCTCGAGTCTGCTTCGGCCCGCTATATTGCCCACGCACTGTGGATTTGTTAACATTTTCCTCTGGTTATTATACCTGGGTACAGCTTATACTTGGAATGAATCTTTGTAAATCACGTATTTTCTTCTAAAATATCTTTCATGTGCCAATCGTTACGGAAGAAATAATCAATTTTTGGCAATTTCTCCCAACTATTTTGTCCATCTAGGCCGCAGTTGAGAGATGAGAAAAGTTGCTTTTCGACTAGGTGAAGCAATATGCACCAACAATGACTTCTTAATAAATCAAGTGCTCATTGAATGGCGCATTACGAATAAGTTAAGAGGTAAGGGGTTACACAGAAAGCAATTAGCGAACCTCAGTATATATATCCGGTAATGATCTTCAAGGACCAAACGATCTCCTTATTTTATGGCAATTTTCCCATGCAGGAAGTCCCATGGGTATCACAAATACGATGAAAACGACGCTTAAATATGAGATGGACGTCCACGAGTGAATTTCACGGATTTAAAATCTTGAAAATGAATTTAGTATCCGGTCTTCGTACTGTGCTTTCGAACATGGAAGCCTGCTCATATAGTATGTACTAGTACCTCGTAGTAAAAGGACTAACAGCTGGAATAAAAGTAAGACGTGCGTTCATCCCTGATACGCAGACACGCTTCCTCAGGCTAGGTGAGATACTTAATCACTGAGCACGATATGAAATGACTAGTACAAAGATAGCTCAGGTAGCACGGAACTCTGCGTCTTAAGAAACCGTGCCAAAAGGTTTCCCGGCCTAGAGTAGATTGAAATAAACCTACAATGTTCATGAAACATCGGATTGAACTTGTGTTCAAGCCGGCGCCCCATACATCTCACACGTCAGTATCTAGGAGACTGTATCACAATTGAGCTATGCAACCACACAATACTTTGCAAGGGCAATATCACTGCTCAGTACGTCATTGATTCGGCACCCAGGCTTGGAATATACCTACCTCGATAATCGGAAGATGGGAGAAGTCACCACTTGACAAGGTTCGGAAACCCCTCCTGTATATCCTGTCACATGGAAAGACCTGCATCAACCATGGTTACCATTGGAGGATTGCGCATCATTCATCCCTCGTAGTATTTATCTAAACATGGACCACATATAAGCAATTTGGCAAGTTTTGCAGTGAAAGACGTCAATTTGTGAGATTCTTGAGATATGAAAGCGGCTTCATCTGGCTATTTAAAAGCGAGCTCAAGACTCCGAGGTCAGTTGTAGTTTGCCTCAAAATCGACCACCACAGCAGGAACTTGAAAGTTACTTGGAAATTCTCGGCGAAGGAAAAATCAAGATGGACGGAGGTATCCGATAAGATTCACCTCCGTCTCCAAAATTATGCTAACAAAAAACTGCCGTCACCAAAGATCATCCAACACATCGGAAATCATTCATAAAAAGAATTTTCCGCCGCCATAATCACCGTCAAAAAAATCAAGCTCCTGAAGATGAAGACGCAAAGAATGGGGATCCAGAGCTCAGTAATTTCGACAAAAAGGTGAAGGAAAATGAGGAGAAGTTTGAAAAATGGAAGAAAAATAATAGCGAGGGGCCAGAAGTCGGGGGAGATACTACGATTGAAGAAACGATGTAAAGTTTGTCCGTCAGAAAAATATCTTCTTCACAAATAAAACGTCCATATGCCACTTTTCACAGGTTCCAAGGGGCTTTTCAGTTTAAGACTGGTCTCAAGCCTGTAAGAAAGAATGTATTGAGCTGGATCGAACATGCACTTATTCCTCATCTCGATTCCTGGTGTCCTTCGCTAGTATTACAGTTCAGCAAATTACGAAACAAAAGTACAGCCATTAAAGAAAACTACGATAGTGACTAAGACCTCCTCACAGTCAAATATGAGGGCCACTAGAGTTGCAAATTCTGCCTCTCAACGAAGTCAACAAAAAGCAAGCCCTTGAAATTTCTTTCTTGAAAATTGTCCCTCTTAGGTTGCCCTGCCCAATCGAAATCAGAAGTACTTACATATAGACGCATCACGTCAAAGAAAAATCCCCTCTTAACGTAGTATATAATCATGTTTGCAAGCGTGAAATAGTACCGCTATGAAAGATTCCATATTGATGAGAAAGAAATGTAGCAAATTTTACTCACACCCATGCTTAAAAGGCAATATTTTATCTCCGCGAGAGGGCTATACACGATTGCAGCCTTCAATTTTGATACTGTAGGTAGATTTTGCCACGTGTATGCTTGATTTGTCTCTCCATCCATCAAAAGTCATATTTCTAATCTCACCCATGGCTTCAAGACTTGTAATGTCTTCCAGGCTATATACACATTGAAGGTAGCTAATTCGGCGATGTAATAATTTCAAAAGAGCAATGTATTTCTTGCGCTTGAAAGATGAAATGGTACACGTTACAGGAAACCTTTCACTGGGTGTTTCTTTTTTGCCCAAGGTTTATGGAACCAAGAACCTCCGTGTTGCAGGGGCCTCTGTAATTCCAGTCATTCCGGACTGCCGCATTCAGAACTCTGTCTAAATATGTGCGGAGAAGAGCGCCGACGCGTTCAAGTTGGATCACAGGGATATTTACGTCCATTAGCTGATTAAAAAGTACACATGAAGATCCAATCTCCGATATTATCAGAGTCAAGTGCAAAACGTAGTAGTAACCGAAAACCGTAAGCAAATCTTCATATCGGTATATTTTCCCGTATAAGAGGACTTTTCATAGGTTTCTAGATCTTCGTGAGTACGAAGGTTCTGTGATTGTTGAAAGATAGCAACCGTGCTGTAGGAAGACCACTCGGATATCTCAGACGCAAACTGACCCCATTATATTTACAAAGAAGGATTCGCAAAGTTTGAGTGCCATACAACCAAGGCTAGTGTTAAGTGACGCTTAGGAATGATGAAATAAACAAGAGTGGACAAGAAATACAACACATAAAAAAGGATCTTGTGATAGCACTCGTTTATAAAATGTATCATTTAGAAGATGGCCCAGCGTCAACACCTGCCATAGAAGCCCACTATGGACAGTCTTCAAGGCGTGCTGCATCCGCATGGGTTCTACAGCTGACTCTCCTGAAGAACCACTTTAAATATCAGCCAATAACGATGACCACATTATTATAAACCCGGCTGGAGATGCTAACTACGACTGGAATTTCTACGTTATACCACAGGGGAGAACAAGTTCGTTGTTGGCACTCAAGGAGTGATTGAGTGGAGGAAACAAATGCAGAGTACATCACTAGCATAAGGGTGAAGGCTACCAGCATTTATAATGTACAGCACATAATAACTTAAGTCTTCTGAGATATTCTCAATCCATATTGGATCTAAAGGCAGGTAAGAAGGTCTCGGTTTCTTCTGAGTATTTGTGCGAAGTGCTTAAATACTAGTCATTGACAACGCTAATGGGTGTCTGTGTGTCGCCTGAGGATCAGTACGGCCACTTGCGACAATACAAGTCTCGCGTGGACGTGCAATTGCCGACAGGATTCCACGCAAAGAATATCTAGCACATTGCGAATAGTGTAGCGAGGAAGATATATGAAGGAGCCATGAGTCTCCTTGTGTCCCTCTCGCCTTTTGGAAGATAAATAGGGCGAGAATTTCCCCAGAAGTACTTCACAAAATAATGTCTGGCGGAAAATGCTGTGATATCAGGACTGAAAATGGATATTGAGACCGGGGCGTAGATAATAGAGGTCCGACATCAGACCGCCATACTACCTTCTTTGTCTTATTTTTCTTCCTCTCGGTGATAACAATTAGATAATTCTCTTTCCCAGTTTCATTTGAATTTTATTTTCTTTGTGGCTCTCCCTGTCGCTCCTCTTTCTTGCCATCTTCTTGTTGGTGATGGCCGCGATGTTCGAAAACTTTGTCCAAAATGTTCACATGGTGCGGATAATTGTGTTTGGATTCTGCATTTCATAAGAAACGAGGATAACATCCAAATGCAGGTTAGCTTACATTCGGGCAGAGATATTTGGATTCAATGTATTTGTGCAGTAAGCCAGTAGTAAGTTCAGGGTTGTGCAAGTTATGACTCGGTGCTTGACAGACGGATTTATTTCTTTGGGCGAGGGTGAGGATTGATCAGTAAATAAATTACATTATGAAAGCGAGGATGATTACTGTGTTAGGCATTTTATGCTTTTATTTTTGCTTTTACACAAGCTTTTGTCGAATTAAATCCACGGTCCGCCAACTTCATGTTAAGTAGCTGAACATTGACATGTTCCTTCTTGCATACATGCTTAGAGCATTGCACAACCACGTAGCTTAAGTAGCGTGCGTGCTGTTCACTTTATACTTGCTCTAGGAGGCTTGACATACAAATCACGAATAGATGTTCACTGAGGTCGAGCATTTGCCGTCATTGAATATACGCAGAGCATAAATTTGGAGTCACCACATTGCTTTCTCAGCCAGACGCATCGAATTATAAGGCCTTGGAACGTCTAGAAAGCTCAGCTAGTAGAGAAATGTCCAGTTCGAGCTTAGGTCAAGCTGAAGAAAAGCTTATCGGACCCCTCTAACTCGCCGTGACACCGTTTCCGGCTTATTGGTAATCCAAATGAGTTGTTAATGGGCTATTGCCAAATGATATCTCCTTCTCATGTTTCAAGGGTCTTTCCAAATTTCTTCTTCAATATTGGATCCTGCTGGACCAGATATCTCCACGCGTTCAAAGTAGAAACACGTTGCTGATTATCAGCTTCGAATTCTTCTGCATGTCCGACAACAGCAAGGGCTAATTCAAGAGGAGATGGGATATCGAGGCTTTCTGGTTCGGTCAATTGGGTGTACAAGCCTTGCAGCGGGAACATTACAGTTCCTGCAACCCCTGGACATAATATGGATTTAGTAAAATGTGACTAGCCAATAAGAACTAAAAGAGACACACCTGATGTCAGTTTGACAACGCAAGACAGCATCCCAGCGCCGATTCCAGGGAATGCTTTCACGATATTCGTATCATGAACATACCGAAAGGGTACTTTATAAATACCGGAAACTCCATCATATACTCCATGGCAGAGTCCCTGCAATGATGACATGTTGGCGTGAGGGAGAGATTGGTAATTATTAGAAAGGCCCTTACCTTGGCACCCACCTTGAATCCGCTACTAACACTTGTAATGTTCGTTTCATTTTTTCGAACTGTATCCCCCCCATAAAAGGGGGCTGTTATGAATGGCTTGAGTGAACGAAATACCCGAACTGATCGGGACCTTGAAAGCGATCCGAGACAGCCCTCCCATTACTCTTTTGAAGTTTTTGCGTCTCGAGCTATCCGTTCCGGCGTTCTCTGGTACGTTTTCCGTTTGGTAGTCTGGTAAAAACGCCCCCAGCTCCTTTAACCCCTGGAGTAGCTGCACTGCCGAGTATATAGCAATGCCGACAACCTCGATGATTGCCTCAAAAGTAGTATATCCTGAATTGTACTCGCAGACACGAAGTCTTGATCACTGTCAGTACCACTTGATCGAGACATATACAAGGGAGTGACACTCACAGTTCAATTGACTCCAATTCAATCACATTCTCCTCCATTAGTACCGCAGCTGCAAACGGAGAAAGTGAAATGCTTGTTTCTTTGATTCTCCAGCTTGCAGCCCGGCGTGGAAAAATTGAACAGTGCATTTTATAACCAGATATTTGTCTGTGGAAAGCTTCAACCCCATTTGAGATTTCGTTTTCTTTTGCGACTCGCATTCCAAGTTCAAAAGCTCGTCCCGATACCTGAGGAGTAAGCGCAACTCGTATGGCATCTGCGAGTCGGTCCGCAGAGAGGTTCCTGAACAAGATTGGTGGCGGGCCTGCCCCTGCCATTGTCGCTATTTCTGCCCAGAAGAATTGGTCACCATAGCATGGTATAAGAACTGACGGTTTCCCCGCTGCTATAACTGCCGCCGTAGTTCCAGCCCCCCCCCATGATGCACCACACAAGAAATTCGCTTGAAAATCCAACCGTGGGGGCAATCATCAATGAACAGTACATTTGGCAAATCTTTACTTATATTATTCCCCAAATTAGCCCATCCTCGATTGATGATTGCACTGGCTCCTGCTTTTTGGATTGCATTAAGGACAATTCGAGTCACCTCATCAGAGTTTTCTAAAACAACAGATCCAAATCCAATATAGATTGAACTTGAAAATCGTTCCAGAAACTCAATCAGGCGTTGGGGAGGAGTGTAGTGAACCGGTGGCTTTAGCAGATAGCTCCCGGATATGCTTATTAATGGTCCCCAGTCAACTGGCTTCGGTATCAAAGAAGGTGGCCTTTTCTATCAATGATATTTTCGGCAACATCCCAGTAATCGAATCGCTCTTACCAGCAGTAAGTGAATGGAATTTTCAATTTGTGTACTGCCGCGGCAGCAGATAAAATGTGAATAGGTTCTAGGTCAAGTGTTTCGGTCCTGAAGGAGTTGATTAGATCTCTCAGACCTAACCACATCAATGTGTCAGTCAGCATGAATGAAAAGTAGTTTGCAGCACTGTGGTTCAAGGAGCAGGTTTTGATGTTTGCAAGTGGATGGGGAAATGCCCGTGTCGGCGACCAAGGCATGCTGCTCAAAAGGTGTCAGCTTAGATCTGCAATGCAGAACGTTGCTTACGTAAACATCATGTGGAGTGGAACTCCGAGCTTCTCGGCACAATGGATATGGGCAAATGAAGGAGGATTTGCGATGATAGCGTTGGCAACGAAAGGCTTTTGCTGAGTCTTTGAAATGTTTTTGGTCGTATTGAAGTTATTCCCTGTGATAAAGCAAGACTTCCAAAGATTCTCAAGCATTTCCCTGATTGCTTGTCGTTTTTCCTTGGCGCTGCCTTCATCAGGTTTCTGGAAGTGGGGCAATAGACCAGGATGTTTAACCATATAGACCATCATCTCTTGCGGGTCACCACCGATACTGAAAAATTCCAGACCCACATTCTCGACAAGAGTTTTGAAGGAAGGATGGGTTGCAATCCGTACTCGATGTCCGAAATTATGCAGCTCTATCCCTAACACGAGAAAAGGCTGCACATCGCCGGGAGACCCGATGACTTGAATAACAATATTTAAGATTGGAGGGGATTCTCCGACGGCAAAATCCTCTTGTTCTTTGTTTTCTTCATGCTGGGTCATGTGGCTTATTAGTTGCTCAACGGCCTCGCCGGCTTTGCCAGGGCTGTGGTGAAAGTCGAAGTCGATTCGTCCATCGTCTATATAATGAGTCAAGGGATAAATATTGGGATCTCGATGAACCCCGTACCGGCGACAGCGGCCAGGGCCTGAAACCCCTCCAGATCCAAATGCATCCCGCTCACATACGGCCCAACCTGAAGATGTCTCGCAGTGCTCATCCTTTGTCGCAATTGATTACACTGCTGCGAAATAATAAGATGGACTGCAAATTTTTTGAAGACCATCCATGATGGAGGGAGCATAGATGGGTGAAGACATTTATTTGTAGTTCACAGTATATCATGACGTCATTAAGTTACTTGTGAAGCTGCATTGGAGAAAGATTCCCCTGAAGTATAGATGAGAAGCATCGTAAAACTCTCTATTGTGTCATTTTCGAGATTGTAATAAGGTTTGAAGCCGATCCATTTATCCGGCGGAAGTTTATGACGAGGGTCTACGCACGATTTACGTCAAATAGTCACAGCACTCAATTCAAAAGTGTAAAGTAAGAAAGCAACTGTCTGCTCGAGTAAGCTAAGTAAATCAGTACCAACATGCTCTTTTGGTGTCGGGGGCCGGAATCTGTTTCTTTGTTGCTACTGAAAGGGTAATGAAGTATCAGAAGCATTACCAGTATATCCTAGCACATTTTCATTTTTCTGAGGGTATTTTTACTTGGGAGAATTCAGCTTGTGGCTATTGTTCTCATTTGTCCCATAACATATGAGATTTGACCAAAGACAATGTCGGAAAGTAATAAATTGAATATTTTCTAGCAGGGTACAGCCTGATTTATACTTTCTCTTTTCATGGAAAAATTGACGTAGATGTATGAAAGAATAACCCAGATCAATATCCACGAAAAAAGGATTCCTAGTGATAGCCCGAACGCAAGTTGAAAATCAACCACCCATATTATTAAAGACACGCTTCCCAAATAAATCAAAATCCCAAGAAGCCACCAAATAGTTAGATAAAACATCATATACCGAAAGGATTTGGAAGTTTCATATCGGATGTTGTAGCGTATACGAAACTCTCGATCCTGTAGACCATCAACTGCAATAAAGTCTTCGCATGCATAATAAATGAACGGACGTATTGTGGTTTTCGGGGCTTGCGAGTCAATGCCAATGGGAATACTGAATGGGATCAGCGTGATGAGCATCAAAATCCCCAGGAATGTCATGAGTATCCCTGGCGAATAGAGGTAGAGTTTGGGAATCTCTTTGCTACTTCCAATGACAAAGGGAATAAGGGCACAGAGCATTGAAACACCGTAAACCCAGGAAGTAGCATCCAGTTCTAATCTGGAATGAGACCGAAGAGGAGCGCAATCTGTAGGGTGTCGCAGGAGACGCAATACTCGGACAAGAAGGATATAAAGTTCTCCTATGCCAAAGGAGATGATGGCGTAACCCAATATCTGGCGATCAAAACTGGGCTTCGCAAGTGAACAATCGTCTGTTATGGCTGTATGTTGACGACATTCTAGTTTCCATCTAGCTTTGTGGACATCGTACCATGTGTAATAAATTATACATGGCACCACAAGATCAAACAAAACGATCATGAGTGGTCCTAAAAAGACAGCGGGATGGTCTATAAATTTGGGTCTCTTCTGTGCGAGCTTCTCATATGACATTACTATACAGATCATCAATATTTCTTTCACAAGGTTTCCGATAGTGTTCAGAATTTTCAATCTTCGCGATATGCATACCTCTGGAAACTTGACAGAATGGCAAAGTGGTGTTGGCAGAATTTCTTTCGCACTTTCTTTTCATATCTGGCCACAGGTTGCAGATCGCGAACGTGCAACAATGCTATTCAATAAACTCCATCAATACGTTAAAACCCAGTGTAGTTATTGAAGCTCTAACGGGAGGCGCGGTGACGTGATGATATGTCGCATGTGGGTGCCCGGATGCTCGTAGGAACGGAGAATTTTCAAACTCTAATTCTCCCGCTCGCGTCATGACAAGCCAGTAGACTTACCAAGAACGGTAGCACTAAAACTACATTTCTACTGACGAATATATTGACACTGGCTTGAAAAGGTCTACATGGGATTGGTTCATCCGCGAAGCAGCATGTTCTGGATCTTCCTGGAATCGGATAGTACATCCCTTTCTCCACGTCATAGACACGCACCAGCCTGTCACAGAGCGAGCATCATCTATTCCGAGACTGTGAACTTTTGTCTGGATAGGTAATCAATTACTTTCTCATTGTTCAGAAGTCCACTTCAATGGAGCTGGAACTGCTTCTCTTTGGATAGGGCAATTTTTTCGCAGTAACGCGGATATCAGTCGACCTAAATCGAATCCTGGAGAGATCAGGCTCAATAGAACGAATCCCTCTTCAGCAAATCATTATCAAGCTGAACAACTTCAACAACTACTTTAATGGTTTTAGATCCGCGGGGAAATTGGAAGGAGCCATGTCGTGCTGAAAAACGGCGACAACTTTGAATATATCACGTTTCACGAATATGAATAAAGGGGCTTCCTATGGATGATGATAAATTGATTAAATGAACCCATCACAATCAATCCCAAACTGGGTTTCATTCTTGCAGTATGACCTGGTTCGCCAAGAATCTAGTGCACAGGATTGCGTAAATCTTCCCGTATAATGTATAGCATCAAAATATCAAAATTCGGAGTATGGCCTAGTTAAAGACTTGATCAAGCATCATCACAGCACAGTCTTAGTTTATTAATTACGTGTTTCTTACCACGGCTCAAGTTATTTCGACGTCAGCTTGCTATATTGTAGATACCCCAATATCGAGCTCCTTCCAAGTGACGTTAGTTTCTTCAAAAAAAAAAAGAAAGGGGGCCCGGGGGGGAGGGAGGGGAGGGTGGAGAAAAAGAAAGGGATTATCGAAATCGTTGATACACTCAGGTTCATGATGAAGACTAGAATCCGCCTTCGAGAGCAGTAACTATAGCTAATTTCAAAGTGCTTTTCAAATGCTTTGCTTTTTAAGTGGTCAAAGTTGACTTGAGAAAATTCCGCAAGCCGTGATTCTCTGCTTTCCGTGCTCATTCTATCTCTTCTGGCCATCCATGACTGACCTGACCGCCTGTCTTCGATCGATTTAGTCAATTTTCTCCCTAAAGACCTCTTCTAACCAGGCATTTCTTCATCAATTACACACAATGCACATATTTCATTGGAGGTCAGTGTATGCTGCAGCATATTGGCAAATGAAACTGACAAGGGAGACAGTCCGAAAATGGTCCACGTTGTTTATAATGAATGATGATCTCGATTCCTATGAAGCAGTTGTGGCTCTCAGCTTCTGGGGTCTTCTGAACCCTTGTCTTTTTACAGTTCTATCAGATATCACGAGTATTTATGTTAGATGTCACCTATTTATAGCATGTTCAAGACCGACTGAATTTCCCCGCCATGCTAAGAGGGCGCTTCGAGTCTTTTGAAACACTGCCGTTGAAGGAACGTTGATTGACGGAGGTAATTTTGCGGATCAATTGGGCCCCTGTTACAACTACTAAGCAAACAGAAATTGAAAGGTTGCCATATTTTCACAGAATGATTACTTCAAGGTCCAGCGTTGAGCGTTAATTCAACGATCGCACTTTCTACCACCGAGATATAATCTGCAGCCCATCACAACTGCTAACCATCTACTATACGACCTCGACATTTTTTATTTTTCTTTCAAAACCCTGTTTCTAAAACAGCAGAACATAAATGAACCGTAGCCTACTTCGCAGAATGACCAAATCAGTGATGAACAGGCTTCGCAATCAGCCTTACCGCGATCGCAAAGGCTGTCAGTCGATCAGAAGTCTATACGATTGTCGATCAATTCTTCAGCGTAGGAATGGGTAAGTATACTCGAATTGAAAAGCAAACTGGTGGGTGCTTTCGACACTCTCCAAGCGAGTAAGGATGACGTTCGAATGCTTTGGGGTAGGTCGGTGCAGTCTAACTTTCCCAATCGATAAGGTCAAAAGGCGCAGCTCAACAGCCACCTTCTTCGGGTAATACTATTGCACCTATCAGATCTAAAGCAAAACTCTATGCAAACCTTCACAGTGGGAGTTTATTTTAGAGTTTTCGCCGCATATTAAATCCTCGAGAGCAGAGAATGTTGTGAAATTATAGAAATTGATGGGATAAGCCTCTACGCTTTGATCCAAGCTTCAACATTTTACTGTATACCATCTTTGGTACTTTTTGTATTAGTAGATGATGCAGAGAGAAAACGAATCATCATTTACTCACAGATCTTCGGTAGACGGGCCGGTTCCGCTCAGTCTCAAAGATATCGAGGCAGCAGCTATGCCATGTTATACCAAGTCCGGGGAAACAGCCATCTGTACGTCAGTTCCGATGCTTAGAACAATTTGCTCCATTCTAAGTTATTCTCAGTTGGTTCGTTACCCAGTGTTTGTGATCTTTGCTTTGAAGAAATGGAGTCCGAATCTACATTTCGTCAGATTCCGTGCAACCATATCTTTCACAAGCCTTGTATTGATGAGTGGATGGCTTCAAAGGATGCCAGCTGTCCGATTTGTCGTCATACATTCCATTACCTGCATAGATCACAATTGTCCAGCGTCGGGAATACGGATCGCAAGCAGAGACACTATCACCATTCAGTCAAATATTTGCACAGCTTTTGGCGGTGGATTGGTAAAAAGTTTCATTTTATGTAAATTCCACCAGGTATTATTCTACAATGCAAGATAAGATTAAGAAATGGCCTGTAATTTCTAGGGAAGCCGATTGCTAGAAAAACCACAGCACGACTACTTCTCGCCGATATGTGCAAGATTTTCTCTCGTCATTTATGCTCGAATCAACACGTGAACTCACTATTCAAAACCCTGAGAGCAACTATGACGCCATATCCACTTGTAGTTAACTTGTGGTTGTGGTTCTCGACAAGGTTTCAGTGCTTCCCAACTTTCTGGCACAACCGGACACGTCGGCCTGCCACGTACCAAAAGCTTTCCCTTCAACTACTCCACATTAAGGTTCTGGGAAGTTAGTCAGCAAGTGCACCACCTTGCATCAGATCGGAATATATCGATGAAAGACAGCTGATTTTATTGCGCTGATTGACAAGCCCGATTTTGAAACGAACAAGAATCGCGAAGCCTCGAATCTTTAAGGATAACAGTTTCGCTAAAATTGGAGACGATTTCTTTGGCGCCAGGTTGAACCTCAATTGGCAATTACTGGTTTCGCGACTCTTAAGTGTAATCTCCCCAATCTTTGCGGCTCCCCATTACGAAAGGAGGAAGCTTGGAATGTGGCTTGCATTGCCAGGGCCCACGGGCCAAGACAATATGGTAGAGCTTTGGACCAACTGCTGGTGCACTCTTTCCCAGGTCTGTTCCGTGGGGTGGCCAACAGTAGTGTTGCCAATTCTGATCAATGTACAGTGTAGCAAACGCAGATGAGATTCGGCCCCAATTAATCAAGCCAAACAAGAACCAGGCAGTCTTGACATCATGAGGTAATTCACCTTAGAAAGTTTGGATGAGCTCTAGATGCCGAAAGTTGGCCTTTTCAGAAACTATATAAGACTCACGATACGTTCAAAAAGCATTTGTATCACCCAAAAGACTGTACACTTCACTACATCTGCCCGGGACTTCATACCAATCAGACGCAATGATTTCCAAAATCCCCTACCTGACCGAGGGTCAAACGACCTTTTTTCTCCTTTGCAACAGAGTCATCCAGTGGCTGAGCAGCGTAATTGTCCTTGGAATTACGTCCTCATTCATCAATGTTGGTCCTCGTGGATTGACCATTGTTTATGTGGAAATCATAGTGAGTAGAACCTAGGAAAGAGAACCATTATTCAATGCTGATAAAAAGGCTGTTGTTTCCGTGGTTTTATTCTTGCCTGCCTTTGTATCACCCTTTTTGACCACACCGATCAAAGACTTCGTTCTTTTCATTGATGTGATCTTTTCGTATATGTGAGACTATCTAAACTATAAAGACTCCGGAATCGGTTACTGACTTTCCCCAGTTGGCTCGCGGCATTCATTTTTTCCGCGGTGGACTACAACCAGAACAATTGCCATACAAATGCACCCCCAGGTGCCGCATGTTCAAAGAAATGGGCTAATGAAGCTTTCATATTTTTGGTATTGTATGACTCACTGACCTTCAATTAGTTACTATTGTCTTTATCACCATCTCACGTGACTATAGCATCTTCACATTCTTTGCACTATTCCTTGAAGCTTTGTCGCTCTGGCTCGCCGAAAAGAAGCATCGTAGCTCTTCTGGGTTGCATGAAAAGAGCAACTTGACCGCCGAGCGGGCCAACGGTGGAATAAATGCCATCAATCCGGTTCTTGACCAAGACGCCAACCCGGAAGCCACAGGGGCAAATCAGGTCTGAGACATTATTTCCTGCGATGGCCATCAGGAAACCTATGTCATAAGGCCAGTGAAGTAGGATGAATCAGCTGCCGACTCTTAATAAGATAAGTGGTGGGTGCGTCTTCGCGTCGGAGAGGCATTTCGTGCAAATTGTCATTTCGCATGGAAGATCAACCTTATTCAATTTTATTTCTTTACCTCAAACTCACTGGCGCTTACGATTTTGAAATCTCTTCAAATAAATTCGTAGTTTAACTTATACATATACATTTTTAGTACTTTAGTAACGCGCTCACTAAGTTATTCAGGCTCGGGTGTATGGCAATCATTTCGAACAAGTCACTTCTTGAAGACAAATGAATATACTGACGATGCGCAGCGGTTTACAATCCGACGTTAAATGACACGGGCGATACTTGAATTTAACATGAGGAACTTTCACACAACTTCTGTTGCTTAAGAACGATGGATCTGGTCTCATAAGATACGTCAGACGTTGGAATGGTTGTCTTGACGAGAATGGTAAGGACTGATTCTGTATGATGATGCAGAGCTCTATATGAGGACAAATACTTTGTAAACCTGTTGACGAGTAGGAAGAGATCACCGCATCTACTGACCTATTAGTAGTCATTAGGTGCTTCAAGGACCAAAGTAATATTATATTTTCGTTCTACCAACATGCAAGGAATCTTTGCGTTTCAGGGAACGTCCACTAGGAAATAGGAACACAAGAAGAGCATTAATTACTGTAGATTTGACAAGAGGAGCATGAGTCTCGAGGTACGAACACTCAGCATATCATATATCTGGCTTGCTGGCGCCCTTCTACAAGCAATTGAAAGCGAGAAAAAAATGAAGCTCACCACTTGAAGAGATCCCTTCGGTCAAGCTTGATTATATTAACACCCATCTCAGACACCATACAGACCCATTTTGGATACGACAGTCGGGGATCACAGGCATTACCGACGCATGGGAAACACGACGATTTTGGATGCTGTGGGCTTTCATCTTCGGATACACGACGCATTTATTGATGTTTTTTGATGAGCATCCAGTGCCATAAAGGTGGAATGTTGTCTGGGAGCGACACAATACAGCGCTCTTCATTTCTTTGTTCGAGCCAAATATATTTATTTAGTACTCATCCAAGACAAAGATCCTTGAATCGCTCACCTTGGGTGAGAAATTCGTATCTAAATCTGATGCTTTCGCACATAGCCATGATATCAAGGTCATAGGCAAAAAGATTCAGGTTAGTTTTAGTTTCTGCAAGAGGGCCGCACTGTTCAGGATTACCTCTCCAGGATCAGAAATCGAACGAACCAGGTCAATAACCATAGTAAGCTGGTTACCCTTCTTGGGCGTCTAAAAATGGGCGCTACCAAACATGCAAACGACGTCGAGCTCGAAATGCGGCTGCCAATGTGGAGAGAGGGGTCCTCTCGAAAACAAGCGTAAGCAGAGCGAAGATAGCCAGAGCGATATCGGCGAACGGGCTAACCTAAAAAGAGGGGTGGATCACGGTTTTGATCGAGATTATCTTTACTTGAAGGTCGGCACTAGGTCTCCGTTGGTGAGGGCGGTCTCAACTACGTCAACTAAAAGGCGAGGCGCCTCGCTTTTGGCCTTTGTACCCGTGCTGACCAGCCGGCACTGTCTGTCAGAACCATGGCTTCACTAACGTGGGTTGGGGCCAGGCAGAGTCGCACTGCTGAACTGATTGAGCCTAATGAAAAGGGAGAGCACCATATAGTCAAGGCTAATTTTTACTTTTACCTTAGATAATGGACGTAAAAAACAAATCCGAAGCCTGGCTGCGTGAAGATTGACTGCGTGAGGAAAGAAAATTTATCTATAGTGGCAAGCAGCTGCCCCCGGTGAGGCAGTTTTAGACGAAAGTAACCTTCAATAGCGGCGATGTAGGCTAGAGTGGGGCAGCCTCAATAAAGCGATTCCTGAAAAGGCAGAGAAAGATTTAATGTGCCACCGGCCCAAAAAGCAATAAGATACTGTGTCTCGGCTGTTACACCTAAACCAGAGGATGAAACAATGCCAATCATAGGCGCTGTATATCAAGTTCGAAAAAGGAATGGGTGCTTATAGATCAGGTCATGCCCTGAAGTTTGAATCGCGCCCAATTATAGACTAGATTCTCACATTTTCAGTGAAACTGCAGGCCTTGAAGGGCTTTCTCTGCGCAAAGGGCTATTGATAAGAATATATCCTTACGGAGTCACATTGGGCGTAATTAAGAAAGCACCTCCTTACAGCGGCAAGACGGAATGTCTGCACCGTCACAAAAGTAGGATGGGGGGTGCCAAAAGTCATCGAGCAAAGTAGAAGTATCCAAAGTTTCCCGAGGCCAAGACGGAAGGTATGAATAAATGGCGGTTTGAAGCAATGCTATCATTTGCAATATCCATGGTGGATCGATTTAGCGATCACTCTGAGCCTGTGGGAGTCAAAGTAGGGCTAGTATTACACAAACGTAAATGTATGTTCTTGTAGCCAGTCGTAAGATAATGTCAGCCCTGCCAGAGACACGCCCTGGTACGATAGAGAGAATGAGTCAATTCATTTTGTTCCCAATTAAAACACGGGAAATGAGTCAAGAATCGATCGGATTTGAAATTGTGCACTGCATGAATATGTTCTAGAAATTGCTATCCCTAATGCCCATGCATAGAGGATAGCAGTGAGTCAGGTGTCCATCCATCATCAATCCGAATATTACCCTCCTGCTTCCCTGAGGAGTATAACAAATTCAAAAGGCACTTTTCCACCCCCTGGCGTGCCTCCAAACTGAATGTTTCCAAAACTTTCACCATTTCCACGATGTAAGTGATCTTGGCATCTCCATTGCCAAAGACTCCCGTCAGAGTCTGGTATAAAATTGATTGCAGTGTGTGAGGGGAATGAGACCACGCATTTTGAGACTCCTTTAACGTAGTCTCCAACACAGCTAGCACTTTCGGTGCGCCACCTATGTAGGCGGGGTCCTTGTATGAAAGAGAGATCGCCTCCTGAAGAATAATACTGAGAGTGAATAGACATGTCAGAATTTCGTACTCGAGACCGGATATATTTGAACCAAGATGCGAGTTTTCAACCAGAAGCTGATATGTATCGTGGAGAAATTTGATTGCAGTGTGAATCGAGTGGAAGGGGGTCAGTCTGGCTCCATGATAATATCCCATGAAAGTTCGCATGTCCTGGATAAAAGATATCAGCCAAAGACAACGAACTTTTTGAATATCGAGGGACGGTAGCGGCCCCTGGGCGAGGTGGAATCTGGAAAAGGGACTAGATATGTCCTCGAGTCGATTCGTAGGCTCAAGCCAGGAAGGCCTTGACATCAAAGAAACGCTAGGGGAATGTTAAATCTCTCATTTGGGTAGGTGAAGCGAAATAGAGGAATATCACCCACAGATAGACGACAAGCTCCAACCGCCAATTTCCATGTAGTTCATGAACCCCCCCCCTTGGCTATAATAATTTTTTCAGGCCTTTGCGATGGATTTCCCATTCTATATCATTGCCCCAATATCTCTAATTGTAGTCTGGTTAGAACTCTCTGGCAGAATAAGTGAGTGACCTTCACTGAGAGGTGTACCTCAAATGTAAGAAGGCGAACGACGGCAGCAAAAGCGTCATCGCTTAGCTCTTTCTTAGGATCAACCATCCAAGAATTCAGAATTCTTACTGCCTCTGCTTTGTACTTCAAAGCATCAGATGAATTTGTACCACGATGGGGAGGAGACCCAGCATAAAGGTGAGCTAGGTGGGCGGCAGAATGGGCCATGATGCAATTGAAAGATGAAGCATTTGAAAGGTCCAGGGGAAACCAAACTTCCCTCATCGGATTGAATGAACTGGCATCCAGGTCGTCAAACATCATCGCGGCGTGGGTGCATATCCCTAAGAATCAGTGAGTTCGTTTCTATCTTCAACTCAACAACCTCTAATACAAACAGTGATGCAAAAGCTTTTGGTGCTGGGATGTGAGGTGGATGGGACACGTTTGAAATGGATCGGGTCTTGAACCAAGTAGAGCACAGCTGACACCTTTCAAAAGCTGCACTGCAATATTGGAATCATTCTCTTCACAATCGTCGCAATGATCATGTCTCCTGCAAGAAGATACATCTGCAACTTCATCCTGAATTTGGGAGGTTCCTTTGTTCTGCTGATGACGTGGGAGTAACTCTCGAGCCATTCGCCCCACACCAGGCGTCGACTCTTGCTGGCGTCGATGTCGTTGTTTCCAATACTCCCGCATAGCATGACTTCGCGCTTTTGAAGGGCTATTACCTCCAACAAAAGTGAATTGATGGGCTCCGGTGGAGGGATCTAAGGCTTTATTGGACATTATACCCGTTGAATTACGAAATGGCGAGGCGAGTGTTGTTTGCGTGTGGCAATTCTGGATGCCGGTGTGGCGTGGCGGAAGGAAGCACTAAATGTCACATGATCTTCTTCCTACCGCTGGGGTAGACGGTAGACCTCACCAAACGCGCCGGTTACTGAAACAATCATGGGGGCTGGGATCACGTGCATACGTATATATCTGTCTACCAGCCCCCTTGTATCTTAAAATAACACACAATCAATTCCCGACAGTAATATGAACATCGAAGCATCACTTATGAACCGATGTGTTGATGGTGAGGGCTGGAGGTGAGTGAGGGTTGAGGGTAAGAATTGGTGATGATGGCGATTATGGTGATTGATGGGGACAAAACCAGTGAATCCACATGCTGATGTGCAGTGCGGCGCGATTGCCGAGCGGTGAAGTGGCTGCACCGGTAACCATCCATCGCCGCCATAGCGGGGATCTTAGTTCCCTCCTGAATTCAGAAGTTGATATACAGTGCGAAACGATGATTTCCATCAGCTTCAATCTGGCAGTACAGCAGAGTGCAGTGTAATGTAAGAAAACATATCTCCGCACTCTCAAAGTCGAAACTATCCGATCGTGGACTCAACCAGGATAGGTGTAATATCAATGGATGGGCTTTCTAAAAAAACCTTCTCAAAAGAGTCATCATTTGTATAGTCATTTGCTTTTGCGCTTCTAGGTTCGCAGCCAGAGCTAATTAGAAGCCTGCTGCGAATTTGGTAGAATAATATGACAAACTGAAGAAGTGGTCAAATTCCACTAGGACCCTTCTGGACAGGCTTATTCATCGTCCACCAGTTCCTTCTAGTATGGTGTCATAAAACGCCGTAGTTCGAGGATAGAGACCTTTAAGATCACTCAACCGATATCAACATGTACAATCAATAATCTGATTCCATTACACATGTTTAGCACTAGCCAGTACAACGATTCCTCTATAATACACCCGCAGCGACGAAACATTGCGGCTGGGAAATGCGCCGTAATTTCGCCCCATTCCAGCCTCTCTTTCTCCTTCTACTTCATTAGCAGGCAATTCTTATCCGCCGAATACGGCAAAGTTTGTTCTTTGCATGAAAGAGGTGAGATTCGGTCTCTGACTTGCTTCAGTTTCCTGCTTGGCACCACGGCCTATGAGTACTCTGGGCGGAGACGGAAGGGGGCGAACGAATTTCGTCGGGCACAAAAAGAATTTAGGCTCAAGTCCTTCAGACTCGATTTTATTTGTAAATATGCGCACCCCATTCCCCGGCCGACTATGTCACAAGACGTTTTATGACAACTCAGAAAGCCATCGCGAGAACCATGTTTCCTGAATGAGATTATAAAAAGTTTTTTGCTAATTTACCAAGTGAAATAATGAAACGAAATATAGAAAAATTGAATCCCAGGTACAAAGCAGGGATACTGGTTTTGCAAACTTCAAAAAAGTCTTCGTCAGTTCAAAAAGCAGGTGATGGTTTGTGGCGATATGGTTCTGTGGGTGAGTCTGAACTCTCCTATCAAGAGAGCCAAATTTGAGGCTTCATTTCAGATGTCAAGGACGTCATATTACCCGCATCCGCCCAAGGCTCGCAGTATAATGGGTTGCGTATAAACAACTCGTGGATGGCGAACAATTTAGTATTTTATCAGCTTCAACATGTTTTACAATGTCTGATTCATAAAACCATTCTCTTTAATAATAAAAGGAACAACAAAGAAAGGAGTCAACGTTCGGATCATTAGTAATGTCCGAAAGTCTGCCTTACCCTCCCATTTCCATAACCTTTCGGCATTAATGAAAATTTAGACACCCGTGAGAAACCAAACCACAAACAATCTGCACTCAAAAAACTTCTGGGTCACCTTTCTCGAAGTCGTTCTTCTCGTTCCTTCAAAGACGGGGACCCGCATAGCAGCGATGCCGAGGCCAAGACATACGAAGACTACTTGAGAAAGGACGAAGAAAACTTGGAAGAATACTACAAAAAGGAAGAAGATAAAATAACGAAGGAGGATGAAACTCGCAAGGATGAATCTGGAAACTATGGAGCATTAATTGACAACTAAATGTGACTATTGGGGACCGTGTTGCGATGGCGCCTGGCAATACTTCTGACTTAACTCGAGAATTTATTACTGTATTGTTTGTGGTCAATGAGATACGGTTTAGTCCTCAACCCTATGCATATGTGAATTATCGTTTGACTTCAGTTAGAGATTACTCATGAAAGATGAGCAGATCCTAAAGGAAAAAGAGGTAATTGTTCTAGAGATGCACATTCACATGGTGAATCAGTCATAGTCTTGTATTGAAAGTCTTTCTGCCCTTACTGACATGGAAGCTTCACAGAGCAAAGGTTTTCTACATCATATACTGCGGTAGTAAGAGACTGGAATCCTGCAACTCACGTGGCAAAATTAGAAAAGGTTTATCATGGGAAAACCCTTCATGTTCGAAGGTTTGGTTTTCTGTTAAGACACTTATTTCAACCATGATCTATTACGAGTGAGCGAAGATGTTCCAGTAGACGAGGTCATTCATTTGGCAGTACCTCGAGTAAATGAGAGAATCGTAACTTCTCCTCGTAAATATCAAAGTTCATGCAGTCTGTTGACCTGAGTCCATCATGGGTCGGATAATGTGGTAAAAAACAGCCAAATCCAATTCTGCCCTCCCAGAGTCGCTATCCAAAGACAAGTTTGGATAGAATGGTTCACAGCGAATCACAGAGTTAGAATAGTCGTTTTTGAAGCTTCGATGGGCCCCGAATATGTAATTCGTTGACAAGTCTGTTTTCTCAGCTGTTGCTCTGTAGTCTGGATAAAATCCGGGGAAAAGGGAGAAAATCTTTGTCAAAGCCGGGGCTTTCAAAGGTCCTTTGGGGCTTGAGGGGTGTGCAAACAACTTCAACAACGGATATGCTGACATTGAAGGCTTGGATCGCCTTCTGTGATCTTGCACTTCAGCCATAGGCAGGGTGCCATTCAGGGGTACTGACTGACGCTCAACCGAAATTGCGATTTTCGTTCCGTCGGTCCATTTATAAGCAACTAATATCGGTGGTTGAACAAGAAAGGACGTCAAAGATGGGACCTTTATTATATTGATGTCTTTGCTTGCGAAAATAGAGCCCCGGGTAATGTTAATATTGGTACACTCCGCGGTAATATGATACGAGACCCGAAGTTCCTCGTGATTAATTGTTACGGGGAGTGTCTTGTTGACTAGTAATTCAAACTGAATGTCGTGGATCCCTGGGAGTAGCTCTTTTTGAGAGCTTGAGGCCTTAGAACCGGATTTTGTATGGAGCATCCGTGATAGAGCTTTGATTCTTGCAAGTCGAAATTGATGAAAGGATGGGATCTAGTGATTACGCGACTGAATTGCGGAAACTTTGAAATTATTTTGCACGTACTCAGAATCTATAGACTATATCAGATCCCGAGTGACGTTTATTATCGAAGATTTCCAATTATCTAATGTAATGGGGATTTCCGCTCTCAACATCGGCATCCTAGAGTCATGTGACTGAGGCCTTAGCAACAAGGCTACCGTTTTGTTTCGTGAGATTGAGTAGCGTTCGTTCGACAGTATCAATAACAAAAACTATGTTCCCCCTTATGAAAATTTTCTCCTGAGGCTGATGAGGTTGTGGTATCGGTATACTACTCATGAAAGGTTTTCTTGTTCATTCTATCAATCCTCTACAACGTCACGCTTTGCCTATCTCGTTCCTGCACTCTGCGAGTGTGGTGGTTTTGTCTCTTCGTGATCGACCCGTCTGCTTGACAGACTGCTAGCGAGCATTCCCATCTTACACTAAATAAATCAGCAATCAATCGTGTCAACGTATGTGTTATAAACTGACTGTTTGATGGGCGTTTCTTCGAAAAACCCTGGAGATTCAAAGATATAGAGGGCATGGGGTGGCTGGTTGATGAACCTCCAAGCCAACTGGCCTGGTAAAACAATAATAGGCATCTGCGCGTCGTCTATCATGAAAACAACATCTTCAATACTAAGGAAGAAAAGGGAAAATGGGAGTCCAGAATACTGATTTCCATCTTCTCTTCTTTTAACTGGCAGTAGCCTTAACATTTTTCTTCTGAAATGAATGATTAACTGCTGATTATCAATAACCACGCCCTCTACAGGTAAAAAAGAATGACTAATTGTCAGGGACTGAGCAGAGTGAGATGGTTCGAAGGGATGGGTCAGAGAGTCGGATTCCATTCAATTATTTCAGTAAAGCGTATGGCCTAGATGGTTGATGTAAAAGGATATTTGTGTCAATCCAATCGCCACAATAGGGGCGACCTTTCCGTACACGACTTAAAGCTGATTTATTGACTTTTGTAACCTTAAATGGGTATTAGATTGCCTTCTATCCATGGGAATAGCTGATGAGTGACATCATTAAGTCGGAGATATAAAGCTTATTGCAAAAAAAAAAAAAAAAACGGGAAGCGATCAACTAATAAGTGAACCTCAATTGATATAGTAGATCGATATTCTGTTTTTGATTTACTCGGGCCGAAGCCGGCATGTAGAGCAACGATAATGACGTACCTCATCGAAGTGATAGCCAGGAACCTTATGTTCAAAAACACTCCTATTGAAACAATGAGATTTGAAGCTTTTTTCGATACCGGTATTGCTGATCTTGATACGTGACGCGAAATGTATTGATAAAGTCTGCTCCAATTTAATGCTCCATCACCCTGAAGGTGCGAATTCGTCCAGGAAAGTACGAATAGACCCAAAAGGAAGCCATACCGAATAATTGTTCATCAGATTTTCTTTGCGAGTGGCTTGAATTCGGGAAAATGCAAGAGAGATATGAAATCATGTTTTTAAAGGATTTCCTATTAAACAAAGAACAAAGTATTCAAGTTGGCCTAATAATTCTCGTACGATGGATCCTCCCGGTCGCACTCCAACCAAAATAATTCATACATTGGCTATATGGGGTTTGATCATACAAGAGCTATCGGTAACTTATATCCTTAAGGATATAAGTAGGGCTTTGAGAATTAATTAACTTTAGAACTTGTAAACATTTTAGCCAAATCGTACGACAGAAATTGCTTGCAGTCAGGATAGTAGGTCTAAATACTGCCCAGATGTAAGGATTTATACCCCCCCTGCAGTGAGCCTCACTTGGCCGGGGCCCGTTGAATAGGACACTGTAAGAGCGGGCTTTGGAGCTCAAAACAAACAAAACAAAACAAAACAAAATAAAAAAGAATAAAAATAAAAATAAAATAAAATACTAATCATAAAAATAATCATTCATCAACATCGCGCGGGTGGGCTTCCTGGTATTTTTCAATGTCCTGGTCGGTCACGCCTGGAACAGGGTCGTATCTAGTTAAGGGAGCCAGTGGAATGCCATGCTCTTTGAACTGCGCCAACTTTTGCTGGGTGAGCTTGTGGGTTTTGTTGACGCTGTAGATCTTGATGCGGTGTGCTGAGGATGTGACATGCAGGCCCCAGTTCCAGGCTGCTCGCACATTAAGTGGTTGGGTATTCAAAGAATTGTCCCAACACCTGCACACAATCTCAATCCAACCTTCTACATCGCAAGGAAGGTCGATATCCCAAGTCCTCCAAGTCCACTTGCCCTTCTTCGATAGTTTCTCTTCTGGAACAGCGTACCAATTGAAGCCCCCATCGGCTGATAGCTCCACACGTTCAGGCCACCGACCACCGCCAGAGTAAGCCCAGCCCTTGCAACGGATCTTACCACTGTGCATAATCACTTGGTTCTGCCATGGAGACATGATAGCAGAGCTGACAGGCATCTCCTGGATCTGGATTCCGTCCATGGGTCGTTGGTTATACTTCCCCATCTGTTGGTTGAAGTACAGATACTCCCTGCTTTGGACAGGTGCCATGGATGGACTCTTAATGGCCTTGATGCGATACAGCCATTTCACACTGCGGGCTCCAATATATCCCATCACGATCACTCGCAATGGGAATCCGTGGATCTTAGGAAGTGGTTCACCGTTCATTTCCCACGCAAGTATAACCTCATTGCTCTTGACTTTAGACCATGGGACGCTAACAACGTAGTTTCCAACATTAAGGTCTTTCACATATGTTTCTACCCCATAGAGTTCAAGGTGCTTGGCGTTGTTGATCAGCCCTCCACAATCTTTGATTAACCTTTTGAGGCTTATGCCTTTGTATCTCGCAGTGCCTATAGCACCCTCGGCCCACGGAGCCTGGGGAACTTCATCGCCTTGGCCAGCGTACATAGAGATCTGCTCGATCCGACGAGTTCCCGAGCATTGCATCGTAATTGTCCTCTCCATCTGTGGAAATACTGACTCGTCCATCAAATCTTTCATGGTGTATGTTTTAGGCGACTTGACAAATCCATCGAGTTTCAATTCGAATTTCCTCTCATCGATCAGGGGGATACCACCGTGGTTACGCACAAAGTGAAGTGAATTTGGAGTAATAGACTTATCTGTAACCAATCGTTTCGGTGGTTCTCCGTTGTAGGGGAAATTGTAGCAGGTGCAACATTTCGGGATGTTTCTCTTTCAGAACTGTCTTCCAAGAATCATCGGCAACTCGAGTTAGCTCCCCACCTAGTGCGGTATGCCATGACTTGAAGTCATCGCCTGGTAACACGGGGTTGGTTGGAGGTATGGGTCCCCATTGAAAGTCAGGGCAGGGCGCAAAAGTTTGCGATATCAAGATTTCGTGTGCTTTGGCTTTCTTTTCAGGATAATCCTCCCATTCAACGTAGCTGGAAAGTCGAGAAATTTATTAGTCGGGTTGCTTGCAACCATACATTGTCATCTCACGGAAAACCATACCCTGTCCAACCCGGCTTTTCACGGGCAAAGAGTTTACTTCGATCACCAACAGCGCGGATAGCCTTTTCATTTTTTGTGACTGGGGCTTCCGCAGGCGGAGCGACGAAGAAAACCGATTTACCACTTTGATCAATGATGGGAAGTTTGTAGGCAGCAAGACCTTGCTCAACCTTCCACTCATCGGGGCGATTATTGATCGGTTTTGTATACTTCGTTCGAGTTTCCATAGTGGAACGCAATGGGGTAGTCATGTGGAATTGAATGGGTACTTCTTTAGAGAAGGTATCTCAAGACATGTGGTCTGTGCCGGATTTTATATCTGACAGATTACGGGGCAGACCGACACGTAGACCGACATTTAGCCCCTTGTTTTGAATTCATGCCTGGGTTGTCCAATCTAACCATTTGTGGTTATTGCCATAGTTGGCACTCATTGGATCCCTTGCCTCGAGTGTCGAAATCAAGGTTTGTATAAGGCGTCATGTGGCGAATAATGCGTTTCTAATGCATAAGAGCGGCAAAGGAATTTGAGTAGGTATTGAAGTAAACCAAAAAATCATGATCTTTACGGGTTCGTGCTTGTTACGGAGCGCTGTTGTTATCTCAAACGATGGATACGAGGTCCATTTACAAGTCAATTGTTTGTATATAACGACTTGTTGTAAAATGATACATTACTGTGTGCTTTTAATACCCACTCGACCCAGGTTGCAACTTGGAAAGGATTATAAAAAAGCGCAAATCGAGTGATTGATGTCATGACTTTTGAAGCGCACCCGGTAACTTTATTTCGACAGGCTTACCACACCACAAATTCTGTTAATAACTAGTGCAATAATACGCCTTTTCTAATCTGCCGTCAATACGTGGTAGTACTGGCCAATTGGTGATAGCCAATTGTCTGGAAGGCGGTAACGTCATTACCAACACTACGATGCGCTAAGGCTTTCGGAAGTCCGGGAAAGACAAAAATACCACATTCATGTGAGACATCGAGTAAATAATAATCTCTCTCTTTCCAATCAAGCTTTGATCTATACAGGGTACACTGAGCGGTCTAGATTTTTTCAAAAAATCGTAAAATTACCCGATGAATGCTTGGCGTGCATAGCAAGCAGTTAGTACATCTGGTGTGAGCATCTGGTTGAACATTCACCCGAATGGTCATAGAGCGTGACTTTATTCTCTTAACACGCCCCGATACCCTTTTCAATTGAACAGATTCTTCGACATGGATTGAGTCGCTGTAATACCAACATTGATGACATTTTGTCACGAGAGCAGAATGGCTTGTAGAAATGATGGGGCGAAATCGGGTGGGAGCACCCACACATACCCCTTACCGAATCATCTGCATCTACACGGCCATGACCGCTCAATCCATAACTAATCCTCTGCAGTCATGGTTCAGCAATCTCTTCTCTCCAGTCCCGATTTGGCACTTCGCAACACTTTTCGTGGTTCGACGCTCAGCAATGCAACTAGTCCTAATTAAGCGTAATCGAGACAACCAATTAGTTACCTTTTGGTCTAACTAAAAGGGGAGGCTTATGGGCATTTACTGTTAGGTAGGCACGGCGGTCTGTATTTACCTCGCAGTAGGGGGGGGTTGGCAGAGCGTCGAAGTCAAATTTGTACGGTCTGAGCGCTCGCATGTCACCATTTAAGGCACCAACATGCAAGTTCGTGGCCCTACTCAGCCAGGCTTCCGGGGATCTAGCATATGATACAGATCTTTCGTAGAGTAAAAGTCCCGGTAGCAATATGTACAAATCCCCCCAAGGCTCATGCATCTGACATCGTTCCACTGGTACGACCAAGCACTACATTATCATCCAATCATATAAATTGGGTTTATTGGTGACCTCGCGCAGTCAAGAGAGATCAGGAACGTGTTTAGTTTGGCCGTAACGGGTCACCTGTCGCTGCGGTCTTAGACCGTGGCGTCAGATAAGGCCCAAATGACCCGGGCCAAACTAGGATGGTGGAGGGGACGGTGGAGAAAGCAGTAGAGACAGTGGAGCCGGCGAGCCTGTCTGGAACTGGTGATTGAGCTTGTATAAGATGGAGGCGTTCGTCGTGAAATATACTCTGAATGCCTCTGAGGTCCATCTCCCAAGCACCTGAATCTGATCATCAAGGATCCCGCTATCGTGCGCATGTTGAGCCGCACCTTTCCGAAAGCTGTGGCCTGAGTAGCCGTCCGTGTGTAACCCGAGTGCCTTTAGCTTAGTGGATAAGGTAGATAGGAAGTTGTTGCGACTGAATGGCTTTCTGTGGAATGAGAATAACGGGGCATCGGACGCTTTAGGATCGAGAAGCAGTAGCGTCTGGAGTGCGTTTACCGGGCAAGCTCCGTCTCCTGTTTTTGCAAGAATGATCTGTGCTCCTTCGTGGCGACGATCCGTCTTACTCCGCTTGAGTGTAAGCTGTGCATGGTCTAACGAGGACGAGAATCGGACATCGGAGCGTGTTAGCTTTGTGGCTAAGAAGATAGGGCGAGGTCTTCTGTTTTATATGTAAATTCTCCAAGGCGGAGGAACCCAGCAAATGCTACCCGACAGGCTGTTGCAAAGTTGAGGTCGTCCAGGAGGTTTGCAGTCATCTCTACAGGATGAGACGGGAATGTACAAAGGCTTGCGGAAAGCTTCGTAATAGTATCACGCGAAATTGGTTTTCTAACCCGGACCTTTGTGATAGGGTTCAATCTTCTTGCGCCGTCTATAAGACGTCGAAAGTGTTTATTATCGAAGAGTTTATCGTCAAGCAAGTTGTCAATATGGTAGGCTCGGAGGGCGGCTAGGTCGGTGAGTGCGGTATCAGGCTTGACGGCCTTTTGGTTTGAATTCCCAAGGAGTCGTGAAGTTAGCCAGGAGGTTAACGACTGTGTTGAGACTGGCCACGGTGGCAAGTTCTGGAGCGCGCAGTGCTTTTCGTAACTGCGTTGAACAGAGAGGTAGACGGAACGCGTATTGGCGCTGAGACCACTCCAGAGAAGTTTTAGGTGGCCTGCATTGAGCTGAGGAGCTCGTGAAGCGAACCACGTGGGCGGTTCAACACTGAGAGGTCCTGCCAGTGAGGACAAATATTAGCAACATCTTGAAAATTGTTACGGGAGAGGGCATCTGCTAGTGTGTTATCCCTGGAAGGGAGCCAGTGTGGCACGATTTGGATGTCTCTCGCCGCCGCTAGGATGAGAAGGCTTTTCAAAGGTACGTTAGGCGTACCATGAAGAAAGCCTTTACTTAGTCCTGTGTGGGCTGTGGAGCTATCCGTGTGGATAACGAGAGTATGATGAAGCCAATGGTGGCTGAAGAGTAGGAATCCTTGGAGGATAGCGTCTACTTCGGTGGTATTGATGTGCGCGTGTGCGACTTGGTGCGCGTGTGCGGCTTGAGCAAGGGCCAGTGAGGCAGCATTGCTTGGATGAAGCTGGTGACAATGGGCCAGCCAGCAGTCTGATATAGACTTAGATGAGAAGAAGAAGAGCCCCTGGCCTGTGTTGGAGGCATCTGTATAGAGATGGGTAATAGGGCGGCGGCAGGGGTCTATCAGGAGTACGCCGTTGAAAAGAGATAAGGAGTCCCTCCACCATTCCAAATCGTCACGTACCTCGTAGGAGATACGGCGGCGCGTGCTCCTCCCATGTGGGAAGGCAGCTTGGAACGTGTATAGAGACTGTAGCCTTGTTCTCCCAAGCCGGACAACTCTTGAACAGAAGGCTAATAAACCTGTAAGACTCTCTGTTTGCTTCAGGAGAGAGACTCGCTGCGTTCAGGGCAGCTGCGGCGTCCAATGTGGCGCGGCACAACTTATCTGGTGGCAGGCGAGCCTCCATTGAAATAGAGTCGATCTGGATACCTAGGACTATAACATCTGTCCCTTGTCGGTCCTTGTTTGTATTGCGAGGGATACATAGGTAGTCAGTGACTCTGTTGTAAACCATATCAAAGGAACCCGTAGGGTCGGACACTGAGGAAGACTGAGTAATTACAATAAAGTCGTCTAGGTAATGATTGATATAAAATGTAGGAAGGAGGCATTGCAGTATCCAATGGAGAGCCTCCGCAAAGAGGTTGAAGAGGAATGGGGCTGTAGCAAGGCCAAAGGGGAGACAGCATTCGACGTAAGTAGAATTGTTCCACTGGAAGGCAAGGAGATGCTGGTTATCTTCAGCAACAGGGACTATTCGAAAGGCGTCCTTGATATCCCTTTTAATGATTATACAACCTAGGCCAGCCTGTGTGACCTGTTTGTAGATATCATCGATTGTCATATATTTGATAGCTGACCAGGATTCTGGTATATCCTGGTTAATACCCTGTCCAGGGGGCCAGGATAGATCATGGATGCGGCGATATCCCCCATCGTGCTTAGGGACTAATCCCAGCGGCGAGACGAAGGAGGGGCTAGACGCTAGTCTTACACGACCAAGATTGAGGTCCTCTGCTAGTTTAGCCGAGATCGTGCTAGGTTCATGTATTTGATGGTTTGTCGAATGGCAAGATTGTTTGCTACCTCTGTAGCCGATCTGGGCGCCATGGGTCAGAATGCCGGTGATAGTATACCCGAGATCGCCTGGATAGTGGCGCAGGAGGTTGCCCCAGCCTTTTGTATACAGTGGTGACGGAGAGAGCTGTAGTTTTGGGAGCTCTGGGTTGAAAACGGGATATTGGGTAGCAGTATTTGGCCTAGGCGATTGGCCTTGGGGTATCAGGCTGAGTGGTGCAGTGTTGCAGCTCCTATCGGCTTCTGTAATGTGTTCCTTAGCAGTAGGGTCTACTTGCTATGTCTTCTTGCGGCAAGAGGAGGCACCATGCTCGCTCAAACCACATGTTGTGCACTCATGGCGTCTCCTACATCCTTCCCAGAGACATCCTGTAGTATTGAACTTATCGCACACCTCGATCTCATTATTTGAAGACCTAGTAGATCTTATTTGGCGAGGTCTGGCTGAAGGGTTTGCAGGGGTCCTCGCAGGTATAGTAAGATTATGACGGAGATATTTCTCACGAAATGGGGCTGTGACAAGGTTGTTCTCGGTTGACAGCTCTCCTTTATCCAGGATATATTGATGGAAGTTAAGGGCAAGCGGCAGTACAGCTTCTGACCACTGATAAGTTTGAGCGAAGTCCAGGATCTGCCTCATGAACATAAGGAGGTTGGGAACTGCCTTTGGATGTTTCTCACTGAAGAGATATCCTATTACAGCCGAGTATGTAAGGAAGTAGCTCGTCCATATTTGAGGGTTAGGGCCCCAGTCTTTAAGCGATGTCGCTGTCTTCTTGAAGCCAACTGTGCCTCCTGACTCGGTTATCTTGAAGACTCTGTCCTCCTGATCTAGCTCGGTGACTGACTTCTCTTTGAAGCGTATAAGTTCAGTTGCCTTCAACTTCCTCTCGAAAACGCGAGTAAGAAGGGCGGCGGAGACACCCGGAAATATGTCGATCAGTGGTTTGACTTCAGGGGGTGGCTCACGGTTTTCCTCAAGGTTATCATCATCTTGCAGGTCCACACGAGGCCTTCTGCGGCGAAGGTCGGTTTCCGCTTCGTCCATTTCAAGGCGCCTGGCCCTGTCTCTCTGTATCTGTCCTAGCCAGCTGGCACGGTCTGTTGCACCCATAGTTTCCCATATGTGGGCCGGGGGCCAAGCTGAGTCAAGTGGGGCAGGCGTTACGCTGCTGGACTGGCTGAACGTCATAGTGAGGAGCGATGTAGTCAAGGCCTATCGGTACTATTGCCGTAGAGAACGGATGGAAAACAAATCGAGACTTGACTGGGGTGAGAGATGACGAGATAGCTACAGAGACAAGCAACCACCTCGCAGGGTAGTTGTAGGAGGGGGAAAACCCTCAGTAATGTCGGTGTAGATATCACGTGAGGCAACCCCAATAAAACTACTCCCTTTATCGACTCGTATATAGTAGCTTTCCATTTGACGAGTTAATACGCACCGTGAACTCTACCTGCTGGATGTCTCGACATGCTTTCTGAAGAGTTGTGCCACACGCAGGCTGTGATTGGCTAGATAGTATTACTACATCGAGCAGTTGATCAAAGCTAGAGATGTTATACAGCTCTGGAACGCTATGATCTGGGCCATCGGTAAATATGGCTATGTAATCAATACGAGGCTGCAATGGGATTATCCTCGTACTCGGCTACCAAAGTGGTGTTGAATCGTCACACGTTCAATGCCAGTGCATGGTGTGGCACGATGTGGACAATCATGCAGATGGTTCCGTAGATATACCTGTAATAAGGGTGTCGAAGTCATTGAGGCGTGTCCAGAGGGAACAAGAAAATGATAGAAGATGATTTCGGTGATGGTGCTGAAGGGTCAAGAGAAACGAACTAGTCCTATGTCTAGAGAGAAGTCCGTCGCTGCTTCCTCAACAACACTGATGATTGGGAAATACTAGTAGGGCTACGCTTCCGTCCTATGTGAGAGTAAAGGAGTTACTAGTCATATCCATTGCGTTACCATTTCCCAGTCTACTAGATCCGATTTGTTATTTCTCATTATTCAGAACCCAATCACGATCAAATCAAACCGATTCCTCCAGTCAGATTACTTTCCAGAGACAGGACCACTTATGGTCTACGTGACTATAGCCAGTGCATACTTGCTTATTCGCGTAGACTAGCTCAACCCTGCCAAATTCTACGCAGCCTTGATCGCGGCTTCTGTGTGCTGCTGCAATCTGGACCCGAGGTCCTTGTTGACACGTCCGAAGAGGCCTAGTGTCGGTGTTAGCCTCCTTTTCTAGCAGACGGAATCGCCGAAGATACTCGGCTAGGGCTACTAGGGAAACTTACTGTAGACAGCCTTTCGCAATTCAGGGTACCTGACACCCTTTATATTGCCGGAGAGGTTCTCAATGACTCTATCCTGGTGACCAGGCTGGCGGCCAATAACTTCCCACAACGCTGAGGGTTGAATGAAATCATCGTCAGTGATCTCGCTGGTATAGGCGGAGACCTCTCCCGCCCACTTTTCGTGTTCGGTGTGTAGGGCCAGTGCAGAAGCGCTAATTCCATTCTCGTCTTGATAGAACTTTGTTGGTTTGATTGAGGAGCCAACGTAGTTGGGGTCACCGCCGTAGTTATCATCAAATCGCATGGCTCCGTCACGCTGGAAGGGGCAGTAGACTTGCACCTTTGCGGCGTTTGTGGGGAGTTGCTGGTAGTTGACGCCGAGGCGGTAGCGGGCTGCATCTTGGTACGCAAAAAGTCGTGCTTGCAGCACTTGGGACAGTTAGTCATGGCTTATCGTAAGGCTAAGTGTCTGGCTTTCCAGCTTACCTGGATCTGCGGACGCAGCAATTCCGGGAACCATTGTCGAGGGCGAGAACGCAGCTTGCTCGATATCGGCGAAGTAGTTTCGCGGCTGTTTCCATCTCAGTGACTGCAATACATGGAGAACGAAAGAAGACTTACATTGCGGTTCATGGTAAGACGACCGATCTGCTGCAGAGGGAAGTCCTTATGAGACCAAACCTTAGTCATGTCGAAGATATTCCACTTATACTTCTCAGCCTCTTCGGGGCTCATCAGTTGGACATAGACGTTCCAGACAGGATAGTCGTTCCTTTCGATAGCCTCGAACATATCGCGAATCATAAAGTCAGGGTCCTCTCCAGCGATCCTGGTAGCTTCTTGGGTAGAGAGGTTCTCAATCCCTTGCTTCGTTTTGATGTGGATTTTAGCGTATTTGAACGAGCCGTCCTAAGTATGGCATTAGTGAAATGTGTAGTATCTGTTAATAGTCGTTGCGTACGGGTTTAGTAAACTTGTATGTATGTCCACTGTATGAGTTCATGTAGCGGACTGACTTCGGAGTCCCGCGGTCACTAAACAGAACCAGAAGTTGATGGATACCCTCAGGGTTGCCCACGTGGAAACTATAGGGTTAGTCTGATTCAGCCATTGGAGCTCGAGAATTTCACCTACTCCCAGAACTGCTATACTGATTAGTTTTCTGATCCCACATCACCGGTAAAAAGAAATTAGAGACATACCATATTAGCGTCGGGGAGATGAGTTTGAGGGTGTCGCTTGTGAGAGCGGTTCATAGAAGGGAACTTGATTGGATCGCGAATGAAGAAGACAGGCTAAATCGACGAATATCAGACACAAAAGGAGAGAAAGAAAAGTACAAATAATGCACCACATACCGTGTTGTTAAAAACGAAATCTTGGTTTCCCTCGTCGGTATAGAACTTCATGGCCCATCCGTGCACATCGCGGGAAGTATCAGCAGATCCGGACTCCGGCCCGACCGTTGACACGCGCTGAAGTACGGGCGTCTTCTTTCCGACCTTGTTGAGGAAGCTGGCGCTGGTAAAGTCGGAACAGTCGCGGGTGGCTTCGAATTCTCCGTAGGATCTACAACTGTCAACCAGATAATTCCTCCAGGAGGTGTTGATGGCTTACCCGACAGCTTTGGCGTGAACGACTCTATTTAAGATATAGCGTCAGTGTACTGTAGAATCTTGGAACTGAGGGGTCACTTGAGAAATTTAACTTACCGCTCTGGGATTCTTTCGCGGGAGAAGTGAGCAAGGGTCTCAATGAGCTGGGTATCCTGAAGCAATCCTAGGCCGCCGCCCTGTCTGCCCCGCATCAGAACAGCCGTCTTGCTGTTTGCGAAGGGACAGCCTACAAGAGTCAGTCGAAAGCAGAAACCCAAAGTGGAGAGGTGCTGTACCTTCGGCAAGAGTGTAGTATCTATCGTCGCCCATATTGAATAATAATTGATTTGATGGAAATATGTCAGATACAGAAAAAGTGAATGTATGCGACAAAGCCAGAGCTCGCTCGAGGAACGCAACTTAATATATTCTCCAGTCCGGAAACAGCTCAACGTCGTGGTGCCCGCCTTTGGATGGCATTTGCACTGGGTCTTAGTGTTACAATTACACTCATTCGGGCCCAGTGCTCCACCGCAAAAGGTCTACCGAGTATAAACTCCTCACCATTGTCACACCATCATCACCATGGTCATGTATTGATCCTATGCACGAGATGACGCAGTGGTGCGCGTGGTAACCAAGCTCACCAAAGTCAATCGGAGCTTTGTGAGAAAATGACAGCATCGTCGATGTAAGAGAGTTCGAACCAGATCAACTCGGTCCCCACTCAAAAAGCAGCTCTGTGATTAGACCGATGCCACTACCAGAATCTGGTCAGTGCAGCTGCGCCGGAATCTGGACCCCACTGCCGAAAGCTTGAAATGCTCCATCACTACAAAGTACGGATACAGTATTTTGTCGAACTGAGAGTGTGGTTAAATACCAATAATACCGTTCGGATGTAATTTTTCAACTATTATAGTGCAGTCATTCTCGAAATCGCCTTGACTAGAGGAGACTGAGGTTCTCTTTCTCGGTCCAACAGCCAATGCTTTAGCGCGGATCATTAATTGTGCGGTTCACACTAAGTTGAGGGCCGTTGTGCAATGCAGCCTGTATGGTATTGTACCTGCCCCTCGTAAAGATGCGCACAGCGCCTAGAATGTGAGGTAAACGACGATAATTACTGTACTAGATAAGGTTCATATTACAGCAGTGGGTGGCCGGTCCAATTCGTTATTTGGCCTAGGGTCTTGGCAGTGGGGCCAGGAAAGAGTTTCTCTGTGTGTAGTGGTCAAGGCGATTGCGAAAATCACTGTACTCGATAAATGCTTAATTTGGATCGATTCGTTCTCTCAGTGCTAATCTTGAAAGTAAACTATCAACTAGTAATCAATTTGAGGTTGTGTGTAATTAGAAAATGCCGAGGTCGATGTTACTCATGTATTTGATAAACCATTTTTCTCGGGACATTTCACGCTGCAATCGTCTTAATCGCTGGGGCCGTCGAAGCGTCCGATCCTCGATGGATACCGGCGACTGCACTTTTGGGTACGAATCGTAGGCCAAATATGACCATACTCAGGATTAACAGCCCAACAAGAACGCCCAAAGTCACCAGTGCACCGATGACGCCTGCCACTCCTAAACTCATCCCTCTGCCCGAACAAGAACCGACCGAGGAAGCAGACGAGGAACCATCGCCAGCACCAGAGCTTGAGGCGCAGATTCCAGTGCTATTTCCACAGGCATCACACCATTGCTGCTGCGATGTAATGGCAAACTCATTTGTCTTGTCCACAAATTGCGACCAAGGGAGTTCGATCGTAGATTGTCCAAAAAGTGGATAAGCTAGCAGCTTTGCTGAGTCCCCTATATCACTTCCGTTGTGGAAAACGAAACGAACTCTAATGTCCGACGTGGGGGGGCATGCCAGTTCCCTCGTCGTTTGTCACAAGCTCCCATGCCATGGATGAAGCATAGCTAGGGATTCCGGTAAAGTTCGCATTGGCGGATGAGAGCCCGGCAAGGCCAAAGTAGGACAGGAAAGAGGCGTATGCACCAAACTGGACGTTCAGCTTGGATTCCCCGCCAGATGTAATTGTTTCGTTCAAGGCTGTCAGAACTTCGCCTGCCAAAGTCATACCTGCAACAGCACGGATGGGGTCTGAAATATTGTACGCCAGGTTGAACTCGTGCTCATTCCCAAGAACAAGTAGCTCTTGCATGACCGTGTCGGTAAGAGCGGCGGATGAGGGGAAGCTCGCAGTGGAGTTATGGATCAAAGCCACGTAGAGCAAATCCCATATGGTGTATGCATTCTTGTAACTCAACTCACTAGGGTTGAATGTCTGATTCACTAGCGGCTCAAGAGACTGGTAGAGTCCGCGCGTGGTTGACAGTAGGTCGTGGTAGGATTTCGAATTCAAGTAGTTATTACTGCTGAATTTGGCCTTGCTACAGGAAGAGGTGCTCTGCAGCCACGTGTTGTCCTCACTACCACTGCCAGATCGCACATCTGACATAGGAATCAGCTGGTAGCCGTTCAAGGGGGACTGGATGGTTGATCCATTGCGAAGAGTATCCGTGGCAATAGAGCCAACAGGGGGGTAGAGGCCTTGCAGGAATCCTTCTCCGGAGTTGTCAATCACATCATCTTGAGGCGCACTCGCGGTGACCTGGGCCAAGTTAACGATGTCGGTACTGATTCCATCGATCTGATAGGAAGAGTTATCCGAGATATAGCGGTCATGGAAAAAGGACCCAGTCCTATACTCCTGACTATACCCGAGACTGGTCAACTTGGTTGGTGGCCAGGCTTTAGCGGTGCGATCCCCATGCCGCTGGAAAATATATACCCCCCAGGACCCGTTCCGCGTTGACAAGGTCTGCAAGTAGCAGGGATGCCACAACGGTGAGTGTGCTGATGAAAGACATGGTTGACAACATTCACTCTCGCTGGTTACTGATCGAAGGCGTATTTCACGCAGCATACTATCGCAGCGGGCGTCTCGAGTTTATGAATCACCGGTCTCATGCGGGGTAATGCTGAACCCACTGCTCGATGCAGCTAGAAGTAAGTTTCACCGCTAGTCGGATGGCGGCGGAGACTTTCACTTCGGACGTCAAGGGTCTGGCCGAGGGCCCTCATTTCTATTCAAGGCGACTCTCCTATGAGTTTTTTATAGGGATTTCTATAAAAATGATATCATCACCCCGACCAGAAGTAGGATGTGTGTCAGGTAGGTTTATAGACAAAAATGGATTCCTGAAGCGAGCGAGATCCAGGTGTAGTCTCAGTCTGTTCAGAGTCCAGATATAGAAGTTCCCTAGATCCTATTTCCCGCTCAGTAAAAGTTGAACTACTCAGGCTCCAAAAATCAGCAGGGATCGGAGAAATTGACCCCGCTCTCGCTCGGGCCCACCAAAAGAGAACAAACTAGACTTACCTGCAGTAGAGGTAGTAGTAGTATCTAGTATACTGGACCAGCGTAAGCTGGATTCTTCGGATTGTGATTGGGTTTCCATTGCCGATGTTACCATCATCTGCACCTCGTAACTTGGATCTCTCGCGGTCAGGACATACTATTTCTTGCACGGAATATGATTCACTCAATAGTTCCGCCCTAGCCGCCAAAAGAATTCCAGCACAAGTGTTCGTTACGACGAGTTACAAGCATTAGGTTTACCCAAAGGGTATTTATGGTGCAGAATGTATGGTAGACTGACATGAAGGGCAAGGTCGGAAATAAGGATTGTTTCACTTCTGACCACAACATATCACTTATTCACATTACGATGGGATCGGCTGGTCGAAGACCGGGAAAATGGCTCTGATAGAAAATGTTTACTAGCATGGTACTCGGAAATCAGCACGGGTTATCGCAGAACAGTACCATGCACTCGAAACAAGATTTGATAATTATAGAAGACATAATCTCGCAAATTGAAATTCGTATTGTCCATCCAGATGCATGGAAGATAAACAGGACGTAAATCATTCAATTCATAACAAAAAATTCACATTTACCCACCAATCAGAATCATGGGACGGTTCTTTATATTCTTCAGTTCATCCATGCCGGCATGTTTCGCCTTCTTGCGCTTCACGGCCATACCGATGACATCCAGAATCTCGCGCTCGCGTTCATTGACCGGTTCCCCACTGTCGTCAAGTCGCGTCGCAGTCTGCATACTCTCTAGAAAGCCCAGGCTTTTCAAGGCCTCATCGTCGATAGGCTGCCCGTAACTCTCCTTGCGGATGATATCCCGCAGCGACACCTCCGAGGTGCCGAAGAGACACACCTTTAAGTTGCCGTCACTGGTAATGCGGAGTCGATTGCAGGTGCCGCAGAAATTGTGTGTCATGCTCGTAATAAATCCAATGCGGCCCTCAAATCCAGGAACATGATATGTCTTGCTAGTATCATTTTTATGATCGGCAATCTTCACCAATGCCGGATATTCTTGTCGAATAACTGCGAGCATCTCCTGGTACGAGAACATCTTTCCCTGGTTCCACTTATTCCCGTCAAATGGCATATATTCAATAAAGCGGATCTCGAGGGGCATCTCACGAGTCATTTCGACAAATGGGATGATCTCACGATCATTCAATCCGCGCATTACAACGCAGTTTATCTTCAGCTTGATGCCGGCGCCGGCCCGGTTCATTTCCAATATGCGATCAATACTCTTCATCACCGCCTCGAACCCGCTCCGGCGGGTCATGATCTGGAACTGGAATGGATCCAAAGTATCCAGGCTCAGATTTACACCTGTCAGGCCTGCTTCTACCATCTGGTCCAGCTTCCGGTGTAGTGAGACCCCGTTTGTGGTCAAACAGAGCTCGCGAAGCCCATTTTGCCGGAGCTGGCCAATTCCTTGCATCAACGGTACAATGTCCCTCCGGACGGTTGGCTCCCCACCCGTCAGACGGATCTTTGTGACGCCCTGGGAGACAAAGAGTGATGACAGGTAAAGTATTTCCGGCGTGGTCAACAGCTGGGGTGGTGGTGACAGCTCGATGCCTTCCTCGGGCATGCAGTACAAACATCGCAGGTTGCACCGTTCCGTGACGCTGATCCGGAGGTAATCATGCTGGCGATGAAATCGGTCCGTGAGAAAGTCCGAGAACGGCTTGGCCGTCGGTTCGTTTAATGATCGCGGAGGCCGAGATGTCTATCAAGAGGACCTGGTCAGATTATGTGACTGCCATAACTATACGAACGGGACGCACTGAGGGCATCCCACTTGAAGTCTGTAAACACCGTCGCCCTCCCTCCACGACTCGGGAAAAGCGTTGGAGGCGAACGTTCGGAGCGAGCACGCGAAGACAGGCTGTCCACTTTTTGAATTGTTGCTGGGCCATGATACACTGCTATCATGTTCTAGGGAAGTGAACTCGCTAGTCGAAGCGGAAGTCACTTCAGGTGGCCTTGGGCGAGGTCTGAGCACAACCCCATCATACACACCTTTCCCCGGTCGGACCTCTAGGTGACGCCACTTTCCTAATCATGTTTCCCGGGGAGCCTACAGAATAATTGGCCACAACACACCGCCTTATCGGGACCGATCCCAAAGTATTAGTGACTAATCCATTGAGATGGGTCAGTCCCCGATCGGTCGGCCCCCACACCCGGCCCCATCTTTCGTGGACACCGCAAATTTTCAAGGCTGTAGCATGATGCAATCACTCTGCTCTTGCTCTTCAACGAGGACTCCATCGAATCTTTCAACGGAAGAAACCCTCTCTGGATAGGACAAGAAGTCTTAACTCTCGACATTGATCAAATGAACTTGATCGATTGGGTACCATGAGAATGAAAGATACGAGCCAAAACCGAGGTACCTCCTGATGTATCTCGCACCAAACGGAGAGAATAAGGTTCACTTTGTACCGACAATTGCCGTTTATCATCAAGCTTTCCGCTATAACAGTTCTATCCCAGTTCGGCCGAAGTCGTGAGGTCATTTCATACCTCATCATCATGCCGAGGCCCACGGAATCACCTCAACTGGATGCGGTCTGAACCCTACTTCCACATTGAGTTTGGAAGCACGCAAAGACGTCGAAGCATGTCTTCTCAATCTGCTTTAGATTCTCGCAAACAACGAGAAGTAGGTATCAATAGATGATGAATCGACGCCAGATTCACTTTTGTCGACCATGCACGAACATTAGCGCGGCACATGCAGCCATATTAAGTTGACTATGAGGCTTTAGATCTATTATTAAGTCGTTATTTAGGTAGAAAATAAATGAGCGTATCGGAGAGACATTACGAGAGTAGAATCCCGGAGTAGTCCCCTTGTTTACCTGTTAACTCGTAGGCGCATATCATGTTCAAAAACAAGGTAGCAAATGAAAATAAACACCGTCCTCAGTTACTGAAGAATAGAATCACATCAAACCTCCATAGGTCTGGCCCTCTTGCTCGAGCTGTTCATCCTCTTTAAGATATTGCTTGAAGCCGGCCTCGTCCTTCTTCAAATCGGAACGTATGCCACCTTCGCCGCCTTGCAGCTTATCCTTGGAATCCTGCTCCTCGTGTCCATGCTTATGATGGTGGTCGAAAATCTTCTCGAAAAAGCCCTCCTTATGCTTGGCGGGCTGCTGGGTGTCTAGTATCATTGTAATTCTTTGGTTAGCAATGTAATTGGAAGAAAATGGAAGCAAGCAACAGTGGAAGTTCGTACCTTGAGGCATTTTGATGGAATGAAGCCTGAAGACAGATTTGTATATGGTGTGGCCTATTGCTGTCTTCGGAATAAAGATAGTTATTCTTGGGGTAAAACAGGTTTGCTAGATAATTCTGAATAGATGCTCATCCTCCATCCTATATACTGTACCCCTAAACCCTACAATATACCACGTATGAAACTGTGGGGATGATTCAATGACGCAAGGAGTCACCGATCAGCTTTCCTGATCCGGTAATAGTATTAGCCAATAAGAGCCTATTATGTAGAATATCAACCGTGTCACTGGGATTCTAGGTCCACTGAGGAGTGTCCAAGCTCGTCAGGGCGCGGGCTCGGAGCTCGGTCCTACAACACTGGCAAACTTCGAAACACATCATGTATGATTGGTTAATCAGGCTTCTCCTTTCACCTCACTCATTGCTGTTCGCCAGGTCTCGTGTACAGCTCCATTGCTGATCATTGCTCGTAATTCTCTCTTCATTGGACTCAGAACACCGTCAACGGTTTTCTCATCCTCGTACGGCGTATACAACCGTCGCGACTCGTCGGCATTTGGAGGTTCAGAACGGCCAGTGCTACTCGTCCTTGAAGCTATCCCACAATATAACCAAACAATGAGTAGCATAATGACCGAATGCACTCAGCCCGCGACAGCCCCCCCTCACGCGACACGCAACCTTTCTCGTCTTGACCGTCACATCTCCCTCCGCAATCCCAACCATACGCTCAACGCTCGCCAGCGTCCCCAGCATCTCCAAAAATGTCTCCTTCCGCGATGCAGATGCCAAATTCACCTGTACTGTCGGTATAGGTGCCTCTATTTGGGACGCCTTAACCAGCAACCTTCCGCGTCCTAAAGAATTACATCCCTTCCGCGAAGTCAAGGGCGCCAAATACTCGGCAATCTCAACACCAGGCGACCTCCTCTTCCATATCCGCTCCGAACGTCGCGATCTATGCTTCGAGTTCGAGCGGCAGCTCATGGATAGCCTCGGTGATGCGGTGCATCTCGAAGATGAGACCATTGGATTCCGCTACTTTGATACGCGCGATCTCCTCGGTTTCGTTGATGGTACTGCGAACCCTGTGGGGCCGAGTGTGCCACTGTCGGTCCTCGTTGCTGCTGAAGATGATCATCCGCATGCGCAAGGGGGCAGCTACGTAGTTATTCAGAAATACGTTCATGATATGGCTGGGTGGAAAAGCCTCGAGTCCGAACAACAAGAGCAGATCATCGGGCGCACAAAGCCCGATAACATGGAGCTCGATGACGTCGAAGACGGGAAGCAGGCGTCCCACAAGACACTCAGCACGATTGAAGATGAGGACGGCAATGAACACGATATTCTGCGTGATAACATGCCGTTTGGATCGCCTGCATCTGGTGAGTATGGTACTTACTTCATTGGGTATACGCGGAGGCTGTGGGTTATTGAGAAGATGATCGAGCGAATGTTTGTGGGGCATCCCTCTGGGCTACATGATCGCTTACTAGATTATTCGCGACCGTTGACTGGTTGTGTTTTCTTTGCGCCTTCGGCGGATGTTCTGGATGGCCTTGGAGGGTGATGCAAAACATATAAGACGCCTTATGCCACTTTCGGATCTTTTTAATTTACATGAACCGCTTCACGAAATGGTCGACTAATAAGAGGAAAATTCAGATTCCGTATGTCCCCTGGGAACCTAAATTGTCCGCCTCATTTTGATCTGTCCGGCTCACGTATGGATCTTGCCACGGACTAGACGCTCTCGTCACAGGCTCGCGGGCTTAAGGGTTGGGGTTTATAGTCTTATATGTCGTCAGATTTCTTTTCTTCAATCGAACATCGGGCTGAACCGATTCCGCTTGACCCGATTTGACCTGAATTAATGGTTTATGTATGCTTTAATCTGGTTGTGAAGTAAGTTCGTGAGTGCAGTTACCCTGTAGGTGATTTCGTTTTTCTTTCTTTCTTTCTTTCTTTCTTTCTGCTTATTTTTAGTCTTTTCATTTCAATAAATGTATAGCAGTGCCCAAATATCAGGCCGACCTACCGGTTACGGAAACACCAACTCAGACGATAAAAGCAAGCAAGAGCATTGGCGCCTAGTATCAACAACATTTAGTTCTCGACTCAAAGTTACAGCCAAATTATTCCCAAAGATGCTTAGGGTTCGTTGCCCAGCTACATACACTTTTATGCCACATTACTGGTGAATCCAGACCCCCCCAACCGCTAAGTTAGCTCAGCACAAGCGCAATTCCAAGAACGGTCATTGGCTACCATCAAAAGCACAGGTAACTTTAGAATGGGGAGGGAATTCCCCAATATTATAGTGGAGGGGATGCACTCCCAGTCACTAAAGTCCGGCGACGGCTTCAGAAAATGATCTGAGAATGGCCAACGAAAAACTCGAAAGGGCCATCAGGATGAGACCCCAGAATATAAAGGGAAAGTGATGATCGTTTGATGTGACCTAAAAACCGCCCTAGCTACTTAGCCATATTTAAATACGGCTCTATAGGGTTTTATTTGCGCATGCTAATGTTATGATTATTATACGATGTAAGTGCTTTTTCCGGTCGCAAGACATAAAAAGAATGACGCTTGCAAAAAGATACGCCTCTCCGTTTTTGGTCAATTGCTAGACCAAATGAACAAAGTATGAGGTTCAATGTATATATATTTACATATCTACATGAATATGTATGGGAGACCGCTTTTTTTAATGCCCACGCAAAGAAGACAATAGCGAATCGGGTGTCCATTCATCGTCAATCAAAAATTTCCCAGTTTCTCCCGAAGACTTGAAGAGGTTCAAAAGGCATTTTTCCACTCCTTGACGCGCTTCCAAACTTAGCATCCCTAGAATGTTCACCATTTCCACGAGATTATTAACTCTGAGTCTCCCTTTGTCATATAGCCCTATTAGGGTTTGATATAAAATAGATTTCAGGTTAGAAGTAGAATAACTCCATGCTTCTTCAGACTCCTTTAAAGCCCTGTCCATCAACTGCAGCGTCCTCAATGTGCGAGGCATGTGAGGTGTTTCTGCGTATGAAAGCGACATGGAATCCTGCAAGATGATACCGATGGAAAGGAGACATGCTAGCAATTCGTATTCCACACCAGGATTATCAGGGCTAGGGCGCGAAGTTTCAACATGAAGCCAATAACTGTCATGTAAAAAGCTGATCGCGCGATGAAGTGAGGGAAAATGAAATAACCCAACATTGTTGGAATATCCCATAAATGTTCTCATATCCTGAATGAAAGATATCAACCAAAGGCAGCGCACCTTTTGAACATCGACAGACAAAAATGCTTGGTGGACGACGGGGGATTGCGATATTTGCTCAAGGTTGTTTGTTGACTCGAGCCACGAGGGCCGTGACATTAAAGAAACCCTGAGAATAAATCAGATCAGACACTCTAGCAAAACTCAGAGATAACAAACACAACCCACAGATAGACAACAAGTTGCAGCCGCCAATTGTCACAAATTTTCCCCACGCCGCCTCGGGCCTCAATCATTCTTTGCAAGCCATCTCGGTGGATCTTCCATTCTTTATCAGTTCCCCAATATCTCTAAAGGATTCGAAATTAGACATCTTAGGCAGAGAAAGTATTGAGTGGCGTGGAATAGAATAGGTACCTCGAATGTAAGAAGGCGAATGACAGCAGCAAAAGCATCATCGTCTAGCTCTTTTTCAGGATTAGCTATCCAAGAACGCAGAATTCTTACTGCCTCCGCTTTATATTTCAAACATTGGATGACTTTGTACCTCGCCGTGGGGGCGACCCAACATAGAGGTGAGCTAGGTGGGCTGCAGAATGAGCCATGATGCAATTGAAAGATGAAGCATTAGATAGGTCTAGAGGAAACCAAACGTCTCTCATTGGATTGAACCCCATCGCGCTTAGATCCTCGAACATCATAGCTGCATGGGTGCATATCCCTAAGATCCGGTAAGTTCGCTCAAATCCTTCTTTAGTCTGCTTCCGGACACATACAATGGTGTAAAAGTTTCTGGTGTTGACTCGTGAGATAGACGGGGCACGTTTGGAATGGATCAGGTCTCGAATTAAACAAGGCACGGCTCACACTGCTCAAAAGCTGCTCTGCAACATTGGAATCATTACCCTTGTCATCATTCGAATGATTCTGCCGCCACTTAGAGAAATCATCTGTCGAGTTGTCTTGGTGATTGGTTGTTTGTCCGTTCGGTCCGTGGCGAGGAAGAATTGCCCGAGATACTTGCCTATGACCAGATTTTGTCTGCTGCTGGCGTCTATGTCGCTGTTTCCAGTACTCGCGCATAGCATGACTTCGAGCTTCGGATTGACTATTCTCCGTCACAAAAGTGAACTGGGAGGAATCGTTGAACGAACTAGAGTGGTCTAGAAAGGACATGATACCTTTTTGGTCCAAGGCCGATGGCAAGGTGAATGAGCTTTCTACAGCAAAAATTGTGGAAGATGACAAATTGTGGCCCGCTGGCTAAAACGGAATCGTTCTAGGTCACCTGACCTTTTGGTTCTATGGTTAGACCTCGCCAAGCGCCGGCTTGGATTGGGATTTCGATTTCTTTACTCGCCCACGGGTAACTTACCGCGGGCTTGGGCGGTGGGTGGGATTTGGCGAAGACTAAGGATGGCAGGTTCTGAGAATTGAGGAGCGAGTTGGCAAATTGACGGTTTTGACTCACTACTTTCGATGCCCTTGCCGCCTTCATTACGGTCTCTTGGATCGGTGATCACCGTTGGTATACTCAACTGCAAGAAACCACTCTAAAAGCTTATTTATTTACTGTATCGATATCTCCTCGGTTCAAATTTGATCCGTCTCATCACCGCACTCGACATTTACCGTTCACCAGTGAACATTGAACGGCTAACATTTGAACGGCTAAGCAGTTTACTTTTCACTTTTTGCCAGTTACTCCTCATCAGTCACCGCCGTTTTCTCAAAAAATGAACCTCGCGACTGGCGCGTTTAGTAGATCTATCTATTGAGTCGTTTACCAATCTCTTCACATCCAGGAAACCAGATATTCCGAAAGAATTTGATCAAAAATGAATAACAGCAGAGTGCACTCGAGCCCAATACTACTTGGGTGACCAAGTTACAGATACATATGTATTTCATACTGTAGCACTAGTGGGGTCGAACGTAGTGCCGAGACAAAAACTAGGCGAACTTAAGCCATCCCGACGAGAGTGAATGCGGAATCTGAGGCGTGAGTCTAATAATGCTACGAGATATCAAATTAGTTTAGTGAGTTATTCAGCCAACTAGGTAATTGGGTAATACACTGTAACAGATGCGGAGGTCTTGGCTGTTATAGCGCCCTGGAGTATAAAATCAACCACGCGTTGACCAAAAGTTCCAAAAATACTAGATATAAAAAGGCAATAGCATACAGTATTGTCGAATTCGCCCAGAATTTATCGCTGCACATACTCAGGCTAGGCTGGCCTATTTGGCCTGGACCCTGGTCTGATACCCGCCCGGTGTACTGTAGAATGTGGAAAAGATACGCCTTCCTCTTTTCTTCCACATCTTAATTTCTCGTGATCTATGAAAGAAGTCTTTTGATTCAGAGATGTAAACAAAGGCAAGATCAGTGGTAGAGATCTTTTTGATGACTCTGGATAGCATCCGAACCCTTCTCTGCCACCATGTAGACTTGAGTTCTGAATGCGACAGTCCGGAATAACAGGAATAACAGAAGCGTCAATGACCCGCAGGTTACTGATGCCATGTGCCTTCAGACCCGCATCTACTACACCTGAGTGGATACTCATCGAGAGTCGAGCAGTACCGCAATGATGAAAAGAGGTTTGAGAGCGATACAGAACTGTTCTCTTCATCGCTTGGTCGTCATGGAGAGGCATATCCCAAGGATATTCATCCACAACAATGTCCTTAAATCCTTCACCATTCTTGAGCACATCATACGCAAACCTGATACCCTTGCGAATGGCAATAGTATCAGGGCCATCGTTTAAATAGTTCAATTTGATGTTAGGTTTCTCCAAAGAATCCATGCTATTCAGGGTGACCTCGCCGCCCTTAAAGACAGGACGAACAAGATCCACCATAACCGTCATATAGCTTCCTCTGTTTGGATGCGGGAAATGCCGCTGGAAGGCACTGCCAATTAGAGGAATGAAACTAAGTTCAAAACGTGGCTGGCCATATGGAAAGAACGAATCGAGCCCACAATTTGCTGCTTTTGCTTTAAGTTCTTCGGGTGAATTTTCCGGATACTTGTTGATGCGAGGGAAACCAATCATTCCAAGGAAAGGCGAGCTCATAGGGCCATGGTGTCCCTTGGATTAGGCGGTCAGAGCTTCATTCAGCAGCGGCCCTTTCTCAGAACATGGTCATCCATTGGGAAGTCATCCTTGAGACGGAAAACAAAGGGAACGCCGGGGTGATCCAAGAGATGCTGGCCCACATGGCGCGAATCAACAACCACGGGAATATTATGCTTAGCCAGCTCAGATGCCGGCCCGATACCGCTGAGGATCAGCAGCTTATTAGTTTCAAAAACCCCCTGAGAGACGATACCTTCGCGGGTAGCATAGAGGTTCAACTCTTGTCCAGAGCCGGTAATCACGGTAACACCCTTAGCGGTACGGCCGGCATTATCAATGATGAGCCGTTTCGAGTGAGCCTCAGGGGGTATAGTGATATTCGGCTTATCCACAACTTCCAGGACGCTTCCTGAGCGCCGAGCTTTATAGATAGTGTTGACACTATGAACTAGGCTATGCATCTCACCATAAAAGAAGTTTTCTGAGATAGGTTGACCAGTAGACTTCCAGGCTTTGGCGAGGCGGTCACGAAATCCCTTCATTTCCAGGATGAGCTCAGCATGAGAAATTGGAATTAAACCGCCTGCACCAATCTTCTTAAGCTCTAGAGGATAAAGGCCAGCGTCATCGCAATAAGTCACACTCTTCCGAAGATAAGGTACGAGAGGGTCACAAGTCCACTCCTTCCCACCGTATCGTTCCCACATATCACAGGTGCCCGGGTGTCCTTAGAACCAGGGACCCAAGAAAAGTAATTCAAGGATGAGCTACCACCAAGAGCCTTTCCACGGGTGTTGGGCTTCTCGATACGCTCGTAGTCATCGCGCTTCACCATGGTAATTTTGTAAGCCCAATCATACTGGCTGTCACGAATGTCCATAGCAAGACCAGGTGTCCGAATTTCCTCACTGCCCTTGGAGCTTCCGGTGCCAGCTTCGATGAGAGTTCTGGAATGGGGGCTTTCTGTAAGGCGACAAGCAACGATGTTGCCTGCTGTACCACCATCAACCACAATAAAGTCGAAGCGGGTACCGTCTTGGACAGACATAGTTGCGGAAACCTTAAGAGATGCGATTGTAGATAAGAACTGAACACAGATAAATCAGACAGCTCAAGATCGACTCAGCTTTTTATAGTGATGCTGCTTGCTCATGATGTGGAAGTCTGGAGTCATCAATTACACCATTGTATAGCAGTTAAGGAACGCCCTGGCCCTAGCTGTCTAGCAAATTCAGAAGTTGAATATGATACAAAGTCTGAAATGAAATGGCTCGTTATACTGTTCTGATATCGCGGTTTGCTCCAATGTGCGCCATTGGTCGAAAAGGATTCCCATTTTAGGCTCCGCATGCATTCGGAAACTATTTTCAAACGACTTGTCCGATATACGTCAATAATTTCTGGAAAGAGTTGGAATTTGTTGGGCTTAAACGATACTAGGTGAGGCTTTACCTTGAGGGCAATATATCATCGACTCACCTTCTCTAGATTTCGCCAAGGAAAGTGAAGTGCACTGAGTTTGTTTCTTTTTTTTTGTTATAGTATGTATAATCTGATATCATAACGTGTTTTGAGATATGGCCATTTTTGATAAAAATCTATGGCCAGTGGGGCACCCTCACTGCCCCACTATGAAGACCAACTTCGGTAATAGTATTTGACCAATAAAATCACCTACTGTATTGCCTCATAGGTGTGGCGTGTTCAGGCTTGCTTGATTTTCAGTTGCATGTTCTCACCGCTACCCCACATAGAGGCAGGTTTGGAATTGAGAATTTGGCGGCTCCGAGGCTTGGGTAAAACGTATTTTGGAGTGCATCTTTGAAACGATAATATTGTGATGTGGCCCCTGAAGCCCCCTGCTACGCATTCCCTCCAGCCATGGACTCGTATTATCTGCTGCATTCTCCACCCAGATAGGGGCTCTTAATGGTCAGTCCGTGATGCTCTACCTCATCTTGGCCACTCCCTACTAATGGCAGGGAGCTGCTGAAGAACAAGACAGTATGACCCAAGAGACTGAATACGAGATCGGTATTTTATATTTCGCCTAGTATGATTAAAATCTCGGCATGTTATTCCTTTTTCGGGTTGGCTAATGGATCAAAAGGACAACTTTGATTATTTGCTTTCACTCGTCATCTTTCACTTGAAAAAAATTGATTTCCAAGGGCCTTGCAATTATAGAAGGAGTATCGACGGAAAGTAACGAGTGCGCAAATACTGTATTCTCGTCAAGAGTCTTTACTCACTCCTCTGTCACTGATAGCACAGAAGCCCTTGCACGGTCGGCTCTTTGAGTAAGAAGAACGTCATCCTTTTAACACGCCGACCGAACGCCTCATTAGATCTCTGCCTTCACGTCCGAACTGCAAATGGTCGGATCTTTCTAAAATGTCTGAACGAGCGACCTTTATGTGAGAGCCATTATCGTGACAGTCGAAGTGACTGATCTGTAATTCGTGGTTTGATTGGTGTTCCATACGTTTAGATGTCTAGTGACTAGTTACCATAGTTGTATTTGAAATCTGATTCTGTCGATCCTCAAAGCGGCTGTGAACACGCGAACATGTGCCAATATCAGGGCTGTGAAACGAGGCATTGCAGCATGGTCCATTAATAATGCTTCATCCTCCCTCTAGGTAAGCAGTAGCAGATGGGGATAGCCGCACTGAGTCGCAAAAGCATGTAAACATAAATTCTAGCAGCCAGCCTTGAATTATTCTGAACAATGTGCTTCACTGTTTCATACTATGAAGGCTTGATCGTCTCTCACTCGGAGGGCGCTGTGCCCTCGCATGTCTCAATCTACCTCAATTTATCCCAGTCATGCGTTTCTGTCTTCAATGCTCTCCAAGTATCTGTGGTGATCCTAGGATCTTACGGGCTGTTCTCAAGAATGAAAATTTTGTCGCAATATACCATGAGACTGTTTTTGATATTTCATTCCTGGTAAACGCGGAGGTGCGCATACCCCATGCCGCACTGGAGCTCTCTACTTAGCATGGAGGTGAATTTCTCTTATCACTAAAACGACAAATTTCAAGGCCTCCTGAAAGACAGGCAGCAATTAGCTCTAAAACTGCGATGATCGGTAATAGGGGCTAGCAGAAAACATACAGGGATTTCACTCCCAGCTCATCTACTGAGCGGGCATCATGTTATAAACTACCTCTATTCAGGCATCAACTCACTTTCCTCCCCGGAGAAGCCGTCCACAAAGCAAGGGAGGAGAGAAAGGCACCTGAGCCTGAAATTTATAGCCGGACCTGACTGGGATATCTCCTCGCAATCATTTTCAACGGCAACTTGCTCGAATTCGTAGAGTAATATAGATTCTAGTACCCGGAAATCTTTGAAAAGGCTTGGGGAAATCTCATCTTCGCCTAAATTATGAACAAAGCTATGATGTGATTTCCAATGTTGTCGAGATCAATGCACTGGGTTTCACCCTGAGACGTGGGGCACTCGAAATTTCATGGCATTGCCGATCTCCACTAGCGAATAGGGAAACACTATTGACCAATTGAATTTTTACATTTCAATAAATCTCTTTTAGGTAGTACTTCCTCTTTTGGAACTGCTAGTAATTTTGTTCATTTGCCTGGATATACTTTATGAAGAGTAAAACCAGTTTGCCATGTTCAGCAGCGTTGTGATACTGAGAAGAGAACTGCCTTCAAAAAGGTTACGGGGTACTTACATAGAAGAAATGAACGCAGAGCTAGGCGGTTTTGCCCAGTGTAAGCTTTATGAATCGAAAGCTCTTGCGAGACAGCTTCATGGACATACGAGACAGGTCATCAGTAATACATATACACACCCGGGCTATGTCGCTAAGGTTTTCAGTCTACATTAAGAATGGCAAAAAGGGCTTTGGGAGGGTTTAAACCTATACGGTTTCAGAGGAAAGAATATCTGCACAATAGATCCTTTTCAATCTGATCGCTAACAAAAACTTTCTGCACTGAGCAACGATGGCCTCCCGAATTGTAAATGAAACAAATCGAAGCGAATCCCCAGACAACGATAGTCAGAAAGCACGCAACTATTTCGAAACATTACCAGAGCCTGGTCCGCCTGAATTCGCATTTGTTAGTGGTATGGGGAATACCACTTACCGAAGCCATGCAATGAAATCCTACTGGAGGCATAAGAAGAGCGAACAGCGACGCCAAGAAGACGCCGGACATACCAAACCAGCTTTGCGACCATTGTTATCCCGCAAAGTGGGAGCAAAAGACGAGCGCGATAGTCCCCCTCAGTCTCAATTTCAACCAACAGAAGACTCTTACTCGTATCTTCATGACTCTTCTATCTCAATCAAGGAGACAAGAGCACCTGGTATCCCCCAGCAGATATTCTCCGGGATAAACTTTGCATTATCTTCAAGCTTGTACCAGGAAGCTGAATTCGGCTCGTTTCAAACTTCAGTACATCATCACCGGTATTTCTATCATTGTAAGCCCAGATGGAGCAAATTGTACCACACCAGAGTGTCCCGAATACTGACAAGCTCACCTGCTGTCCTAGGGCTCGGTATGCACGCCGAGCTCATACATTCAGGGCTCAAATCGCAGACCTTTTCCCCGTTCAAAGATATTTGGATACCACTCGACCTATCAAATGCCGCGTCATTCAACGGGATATTGGCCCATGCAGCTGCTGACCTCAATGGCCGGCGAGAACATGCGGACAAATCAGAAGCCTTGAAATTCAAAACCGAAGCCATAGGTACTATCAATCTATGGCTTAGCACTTCGACAAATGCAATTAAAGATGAGGTCTTCGCTGGCGTCGTGCGGCTTCTCACCTTTGAGGTACGTTGAATCTTGCTATACATGCAGTATCTCCCCGTCGGTAAGAAAAGTTTGATCGGTTTTGATCAAAATTCAGCGAAACGAAATTTCGAGGACTAATATTCATGGGATACCCAGAGATTCTGGGGCACACGAGACAGATTCTATATGCACAAACATGGACTTCGGCAAATTGCACATACCAGGGGAGGATATCAAGATATCCATACAAATTGGAGGCTTCAAATTGCTGTTGCCTTGTAAGTCTTCCTTATCATTTCAACTAATTCGATATCTGTATTTGACTTAATTCCCAGGCTCAATATCGTCGAGATAGAAGAAACAGAGCAGCCACCATTGGTGGTTCGTTTGCTCCAGGAATATGAGAGCTTTATATTTGAGATCTTAGGTCTATGCTACTTGCCCTACAAATCATCAAAGCGGTTCCAGGACTTCAATCACTTGCAACAGGCTGCCTCATTGAAAGAAGCGATCAACACGTTACAAAATCGACGAAAAACAGAACAAAACACAAATGGGAATGCTCAAAGTGATCAATCAGTCTCCCAGTGTCTGAGGTTATTACTTTTCATATGGGCTTCCGTGCAAGAAAGTGAAAAAAGCTTTTATGAAAGTCTGGGCCAGAAAGAAAGCAATATATTGTCCTCTCTGGATAACTTTCTTCGAGAGTCGCCACACATCTGGGCCGGTTCTTTGAATGACGCTCTATCGACTATTTGGGAGAGCTTCTCACATAGAGAGGAATATAAGAACCTAATTCTTTTTGTTACTATGGTGGCTGGACCTCTCTTGGATATCAGTCCTAAAGCCCGTTGGGGAATTGAAGAGTGCCTTCTGTGCTATTGGAGTCCGGAAAAGATATAATTGAATTCACTGAGATTAGAGTACGTCGCTTCAAAGTGATGCATTCAGAAAAACGACAGCAATGGAATAATGGATTGATGATGGGCCAAACTGTGGTTGGAAAACCAACTAGCCCTTCTCTGCGTTTGACAACAACTCAGCAGGCTCCGCAAATGAAAATCGTTCTCATCCTATTCAGCTTCCACATTTCTGACAAAACCCCAAAACCCTACTCATAAATCAGTCTCCATATGTATCAATGGGAAAATGTCTGAAGAGAGGGAGAGAGGGAGAGAGGGAGAGAGAAAGCGGGGAGTCGCGGTCGCGCCTACGGCGTTGATTTTGAGCAAAGTTTCCTGCCCAACATTGAGTCAACATGATTAGACTGAAGTCAACACACCCCTAATGTATGGTGGCCATCATAATCCTTCACAACACGAACGAGATGAGAAATAAGAGGCTTGTTGTAGGTAGTAATCGTGTTTCGCGTGAAAAGGCTAAACAGGTAAAATAGGATTTGACGAAACCCATCAGTTCAGAGGGGTGCTTTCAACCTCGGACTCCTTTTAGAAGACGCTTTTGAGGGCCTACATCCTCAGAATATCGAAAATATATTTACATGTACAAGTGACTAAAATGTCCACAGGTTGAGAATAATTCCTCAAATAAAACCGAGCATATTTGGACTAAATGCGATCTTCCAATTTTGTCCTTCTTTGCAAATTTTGATCAAACCTAGAGGGTGTTTAATCTTTGGAGTTCCAGTTTGTGAATTTTCTCCAGCATTCTCAAATTCTCCTTGTATTCTGCCAGCCCGTCTCTTGTCCTTGATGAAGGTCGTTTTGTTGGTTCATCACTCATCTCGACACACTCTCGCCCGTCGCCGAGCGGGATTACACGAGACGGGGAATGCTTTCCGCCGATGAAATGTGGTTTTCGTTCAGTATCTAACTCAAACATTAAGGCCTGACGAAACATGGACAGATACATAAAGATATATTCACTCACGTTTGAGCATTTGATCTGAGGATAGGTTTTCAACAATCTCTTGGCGGCAGTTCAGCGTTGTCACAATGGATAAAATAAAGCGGACAGAACAGAAATAATGGAAATGTCTTAACGTGGTGGGACCACAGTTCGTTTATGATCATCGTAGACCCCTGCACCCTCCATTTTGGCTCAATTTGGCCACTTTCCATAGAAACCAAAGAGTATTTTCCAAAAACGGTGAGACTATACAACCAATCAAGAGTTGCACCGCCAAATCTGTCATTATTAGAAAGCGAAAATTCAGAAACAAGTCATTAGCGAACTATTCGAAATGGGATTTGAGGTATAGCACCCCTGCTCGGGCTACACGTAGCCATCGACGGCGCCGTCTCACAAGGGTGCCTTGAGGACTTTCTACAGAGGTCAGTGAATTTTCTTATCGAATACGTGATTGACGGAGTGCAGGGTCAGGAGACGCGAATGCCAAATTCAAATTACCTGTCGTACTCTGCCGGCTTCTTTTCATTATGTGCCGACCTATACAATTCGCGGTCCAATGTTCATCAAATCCGGCGTTTGTTCAGCTTGATGTTTAATTTTAAATCGAAATCAGCCTCCACGCTTTGAGCTGGCTACTATGAAGTTCCACTATTCAAACCCAGTTGTAATTTATTGGGTTATTTACCAATTACAAGTACTGTATGTAAAATTTGTGTCTTGCGTCCAGTAAGCCGCCCAAATCTTCTGACTGGCTGCTTGGGTAGATAACGGTAGTAAAGCTTTCTTATTGGGCGATTGCTCCTGCTTCATCAAGTAATGATCATCACCAACGATGGTCATTAGTCATACCACCCGAAACTCGAAAGCAGAAACAAAGCCCAAATGTGACTTCGTAGCGATAATACTCCAGCCTTAGGAAGTGGACACATCGTTGGATCATATTACTTTTCCATGTTATGTACCTGTGAACTTTGAACTTGTTTCTGTTGAACTCATGATGGCTAAAGCATGTAAGTTATATTATACCTCTACATGTACACGCCTACTCGGTATTTTGTCCTCGTCTATATTGATCAGTACGGGAAAGTTCACCATACAGTGTTCCTTTGATCATCCACCATAGCGAGACTAGCCCCCAAATTACTGCGGAACTCCAGAAGGCGGTGGCAAATTCCACTGAAGTTGAACAGCAAAAGCCTTCCCTGAAATTCCCCTCCACCCAGCTATTTCCTGGTCGCCTCGTGAGTTATGGTTCTGACAATTCCCGGTTACCAAAGGACATACAGGCCGAGGGATATATTGCGCCCACCTCAAATGAATGCCATGAATAACATACTTCACGGCCAGGATATGGATGCTAGCTCGGCCACCTTGAAAGATGAACTGTTTCACATGAAAACCCCTTTTACGAAGAAGCAAAGACTGGAGCTTCATGAAGCAATATTATCTATAAAAGACACAAAGTTCCCTCGTCGATACTATGAAATGGCCTTTCTGGATTTAGAGCAAACAAACCGCCGAGTCCTGGCAGAAGTCTATGTGAAATTTTGTTGAGCCCCACAAGCACGTTAAGCACCCTTAAAATGGACGGAAAGTAGTGGCAGGGGAGATACAGCAATCAAGTCCCGGGGAGAGTGGGCCACCATGGTAGCCTCCTGAAGTGCGCCATCGAGAGCCCGGCCATCTACTCAAAGCAGGCAATAGGATATATCCGGTGACATGTCGGTCCTCTGTGCCACTGTTTTCGATGTGACTTAGCACTTTGCGGGCGTCTTCCGCGATGTTGTCCATGGATTGAGGGCCGTTATTTTTGGTATTCCTTTTCTCATCGGGGGCGAGAAGACCCTCGTGATGGGCATTTATACAGCACATAAAGTGATAACCTGATCGGGATACTAAGGTCGGAGATTGGTCTACAGCGAACCAGGAGTAGATGACCGCGAGAGTTGGTGTGGGTTCAAGGACATTGTTGAGGACGAATACCCGTGGGAAATGCCGCTGCACGACGATGAGGCAATGAAGCGAACCGTGTTGGATCGTTCTCAAACCTCTTTCCATCCTTGCGGTACCGCTCGCCTGTCCAAGGATATCAAACAGGGTGTGGTCGATGCTCATCTGAAGGTGCACGGAATTAACAAGCTCCGTGTTATTGACGCCTCTGTCATCCCTGTTATTCCCGACTGCCGCATCCAGAATTCGGTCTACATGGTGGCTGAGAAAGGTGCTGATGCTATCAAGCGTGATCACGGAGACCTCTACAACTAGGATGGGCAATTAAGTCATGTCGAGAGCGAGGGGCGCTCGGATCTGTCGGATGAAGCCTATGCGTTGAACACGGTAACTATTCTAGCTCCCGGTTAGCCAATAGCCCTTCCCGCTTCCCTCCCCAAACTGTATCTAGTGTATGTGGCCAATCTATCTCTCGGAATATTATCGGACAGCTTTAATTATAGATGTTGGGAGAAAACATCTGGACAAGGTCGGACGGAGGTGTGCGCACCCAATCCAGTCTAACAGCAGCCGTGGAATCATTACCGTTCGTGTCCGACGATGTTTCAGACAGGGAGACGTATCGCCATCGAATAAGGATATAGCTGCTTCTTGAGGCTAAATTAACTTATAATCAATCAAAGGCGCTTTCATTAAAAAGCTTCAGATCCCAATTTTGGGTTTCCCAGTAGATGAGAAGTACAGGATGTATGAAACGTTCGTATCGAAAGGGTTATAGGTCTCACCAAAATACGTGGGCTGTCTGCCCACGTATTTTGGTGAGACCTGAGTCCTACAACGTCTGACAAAGGGAACCGTGCATCTGTTCTAACGCATCATGTGCCAAATGGCAATCGAGCTGGAAGAATTGGAAGGTGAAATGAAAAGTATGTATTTTTCCTCCACTGTGAAATATATTTGGAATACTAGTTAGTGGTCTCAATAGCAATTTTCCACAAATCTTGCTTTTTTTAGGTAAAATCCGGCCGTCTAAAGATGCTGAGAGCGCAATTATATACGATCACAAGCTCTCTTTGAATATGTCGACTATGCCTAAACCGATCTCGAATTTCATCTGCCAGGTCTGGAATGCAAAAGAGCAATTAACCTTATACTAGTCTTCACCGGTATTTGGAATAGGTGACACACTGCGACCAGATTCCAGGTCCCCCCCAACGGTGGCTGGCACTGTTGCGAGGCCGGAAGATACTATTTTGAGTAGAGAGGGTACCACTACATGTGCTGAGGGCGTCTATTTCTATTGAGGGTCGTCTATCTTGCGAGAGACTGCTGCTTTCCAGGGAACAACTCCTTCGGGAGGGATCACGACCACAAGACTCTTCTTCGGCCTCAGCAACGTCTCGCGTACAGCGCTGGGTACTTTCGCGGTTGGCGGTACGAACAACATCATCAATGTGGTTGATGCGGTCGTCGAAGACGTCGCCCATGATATCATTAGAAATGAAATCCGACATGCCCAGAGAAAAATCGACATGTTTTCGTGAATGCGGTTGGCCGCGAGATCGAGCAGCGGCAGTGTCCATGCCCTGGCGTAGGATGGAATCCGAGCGGGCACCGCTACCGGTACTGATAACAGCGCTCTCTGATGATTCGCCGATCGGAATTTTCGCGCTTTCTTGAGTCGTCTGGAGTTTGGTTAGTTCCCTCGTCGGCCAGTCAGAATAGTGAACGTGGAATGGCGTGTCGAGTTTGTAGCCCTGGAGGTTCATCCGAGGGCCCTCGATGCCGATCTCTTGGAGTGTAGTCATGAGCATGCAGATAATTTTTTTACGGCGCAGCAAGCGGAGGCCCTCATTCTGCCAGTTCGACTTGTAGAAGAAGACGATATTTAGGGTGACCGAAAAGTTTTCCGTCATCTCACGGAGCTCGGTTGCGATATCACTCTGGAAGTCGCGCTTCTCACTTCGGACAAATTCAAGTAACCACCGGCGAAGTTCTTCAATTTGCTCGATACTCGTGCCGTATTTGATGACTATGGGAACGGCCTCCGCTAGCGCACCTGAACGTCGCTGATTCAGGATATAAAGCGCATTTAAGTAACTGTTTGGCGCCTGGAGCACATGGCCTTGCATTATTTGAACCTGGTGTATAGGAGAGTGATTTCTTTGACGAAGTAGTCATCGCCTAAACCAACATCCCCAGAGTTACCGTAAATGGTCACGCGGTCGCCAACATCGAATGGGTGCTTCACGAAGACGAAAATAATTGACTGCAGGAACTCGGTGGCAGTGGTGGAAAACAACCAAGACAGACCCAAAATAGTGGAGCCAGCAGAGGTGAGCACACCAGCAGCAGAAGTTGAGATCAATGAGAGGAATACAAGAAGCACAATGACAAACACGAAGAACATGACGACTTGATCCAGCTTAGAAATGACCGAATCGAGGCCTTTCAGTGACGCAGTGATGGACTTGCGCTCTCGGCCAATATCCACACAAGCAGCTTCCAGCTCCTCCATAGAGATATCTCCGTTCAGGTCCCGATCGAACATAGAGAAAGCGGCCTCGGCCTCCTCATGATTGTCAAAAGCCTCCTTAAGATCACTCGAGAAGACCTTATCGAAGCCATCGCGCACGAAGGTGCGATAAAGACGACGAGCTAAACCTTGACACCCAGAGGTAGAGCGGAGAAGCATGAGGATAATTTGGTAGGGGTCACTGCTACTCTTTGGCTGCCTGCCGGTGAAATCGGCAACCACACCGCCTGCTATATCACTGAATTTGTTGCCAGCTTTTGTTACAGCGCGCTGAGCAGCGACCCCGGCCTGAGTGGCATACTTTAAGGGGCTTTTGATGTAATCAAAGGTCTGTGTGTTCGAATTATTCTTAAATGCCTCATCCTCATCCCCGAACCGGGTTTGCGATAAGCGAAGAAGCTTGGCCAAGCTCCCGATCTGAAACTTATTGGTCTCGATTCGGTCGGCGTAGGTGCGCTGGTGGAAGCTGATAGCGATTGCTTGAATGACGAACTTCTCGATCAAGTTGAGAATTTTCCACACCAAAACGACAATAATGATCTTGTTAAGTGTATTCTCCCAACTCCGTGTGGTTTTTTCACCGTCCACATGATGATTTTTCATGGTGGGTAGAAACGAGATCTCCACGGCGAGCCACCAGAGGAAAAGGGCGAAATGAACTTCCAATTGTTTCGCCATATCGCGCCATTTCTTTGAATTGTTGCTAAATATACTAGCGAAAATACCCGCAGCGGGTGGCAGACATTTTCCCACATCAATTCAACACCACCGACGCTGGAATTGGGATATTCGAGTCCACCGACAAGCAGGGGGATCAAGAGAATCAAGGCCATAGGCACGATGTAGGTCAGATAGCGAACAACGAAGCTAGATTGGTGGATATTCTTCACTAAAGCGGCAAGCTTGGTGCTCGGGCTCTCGGGAGGTTGATATATAACAGTCTTTTCGTGAAGAGGATTGATGGCCTCGTCGAACGCATCGGCAGGTTCACCATGATGCGATCGGGCTCGATTCATCGAATATCGCTCACCGTACTCGCCATCTCCGCCTTGGGTGGAGCGAGATACCACGCGTTTCGCCTCGAGAAGCATCGAGTCATCCTGCAGGCGAGTATTCTGTTCTCGGTGTATGGAGCGCGTACGCATCGGCGATGGGCAAGCTTCGTCTCTCGATGTCGTGTCAAATTTTAGGTCATTGGGTGATTCAACAGAGGATTTGTCACGTCGGTACCACCCCCCGAGGGAGGCAGACCTTCCAGCAGCGATCGATCTTGTTTCAATTCTTGGGAATGATATGATTTTTCCTCCTTCGTGGGACTTGACATCATGACTCTACGTTGATAGGGTGAATGCTTCAGGGCTTGCTCGCCTCACTTAGATGATTACCCCAAGTTTTGATAAATGTAAATCGCGTCAAAAGGATATATATTCGAGATATGGCCAAATGCTGTGACTCAGATATATCTGTGGTAGGAGTCGAAAAAAGGGATGAAGGAAATGAAGGCAAACAGGCAGTTGTTCCACCAAGAGAACTTAGGATTCGCAGTGAAAGTTCAGCACAAATGGTACAATCAAGTGGACCGCGGCGTGGAGCCAGTGCGTCCGAATCACGGCAAAACCTCGGGTTCTCGGTTAGAATGGTAATGAACATCAAAGAAGAGTTCCTCGGCAAGTTTAGAATGAATTTTAATATATCTTCTGTTTTTCTGCATGTATTAAACCGGAACAAGGAAAGTTACTTCAAAAGGTGCTCACTTGTGAGTATGATATGACCATGGACTTTACTTCATTTTACAGGATCATTGATGCTATGTAACCAAATCATAATCTCGGATTAATCGGCAATGCTATAGCCCCACAGTCGGCCCGGTGATCCCCACAGGGTGGCGCGATGACTGGTGGGAAGAAAAGGTTACATGATAGCAGTGCCGCGTATTACAATACTGCGCGGACCCCACCTGGCGGTGAGCTGATCTCACATTTCGTAATTTCTTCTACCTCCGACGCTCACTCATGACAGGTTGGGCAAGAGGGAACGAGACCAAGTCATGTTGCCAATACGCAACAACACCAGAAAGCGTGCGTGGGGAAAAGCGCTTTCCTGTCCAATCCGGCAACATTTCGTCAAAACCATGACGGACCCGCAAATACATGTACTGGCCCTTTGCCATCAAAGGGCATAAGCAGAGAGCGAATTAATTGGTGAAATGTTATTTTTTGACATATTGTTGGGCATTCAACTCGCCTATGATGATTGCGCCCGGGGTAAATGTTCCGGTATATTATAGTATGAGAGGAACCTCGTCATGATCAAATTACAGAACAAATATATGGTCGGCCAGAGCAACAACTGGGTTTCGAACGTGATATAGTACCTTCGACTTGCAGTAAGAGGATACTCCGTGCGATATAAATAGGTGCCAATTTATTACTGAAAGAAACAATGACTCGTTTCTATTGAGCTCCTTTTCTTTTTGGCCCGAGAAGGATGTCCGGCGTTGCGTCGAGTGCCCATAATCCTTGGTAAACTTCCAGCCCAGCATAAGAGCTTTAATGAAAATTCGCCCCTGGTACTGTAGAGGTTGAAGCGCCTGCGGCACTTGAAACGGCTTAGTGGAAAACTTTTGCTCAATCGTGAGCCGCAAGAGAGCAGGATAGTAGAACGTCGCGATGAGTGTATGATGTGTTGTATGAGATCTCCGAAGGATATTTTTTCGGATAAACTCGGAGCTCCGTTGAAGCTTCCAGGCTGTTCTTTGCTAGAGGAGACCAGAGGGTAATAAGAAGCTCTTCTGAGAAATCTAACAACGAAATCAGATGAGCATCACGTGTATCCTTGCTACTAGATAACTTACCAATAAGGTCTTCGATGAAGGCAAGTCGTCTGCTTCCTTTGTGCTCTTTCAAAAATTGGGTCATGAGAGTCAAACCCAGGAAGAACTACACAAAGATATAGGCGCTTTGCCTAATTTTTGGTGGATAGTAAGCTGGAATTCCTATTCAGGGGCATCTTCTCGTTAGCATATGGTAAGATGGCTGAGCATCAGTGCACATTTTAATCAGGGGCAGTCTTCACAATCAAGCCAAGATGAGCTGTGGGCGTTGTTGTGAATCTAACCGCAAAGACGATTCCAGCTTTATTGAATTCCAGACAGAAAATATTTGAATAGAGGCTAAGAGCTAGTTCGAGATATTCCAATACCATTCCAATATTGATGTTGTTGTCTAAATTGGCGGCTATGTACGATATCGTACTCTCAGTCGTGTTCGCAGAAAGGATCGGCGAAGAGAAGAGGGGCAGAGCTTTTTCAGTCCAGGTCTGATTTGAGGATGTCACGATAGCAGGTCTTTCGGCGAGGGGAGGCTTGGTTTATTTATAGAGTTGAGACTTGCATCACCACTTGTCAGCTGCGATAACTGTCCATAATTGAGGGGAGAACCAAGAGAATGACCGTTAAATGATAAAATGTTGAATACTGCAGGCTTAATTTGATGCTGCTGGCCATGGCTCTACCAGTCTTCCCTCGGTGACGAACTTGACAGGGTGTTCTGCTGGTGCGGCGGCACAGCTCTATTCCCACTGCAGCTGCGTCATCCATCTCGGGTCCCATACCCACCAAGACGGGATCATTCGATATCTGCGCAAAGTGTAGTCGAACGTCCTCATAGGGGAGTCGTATCTGGCTACAGGTTGCATTAAATAAGGGGATGAGACTCGAGGCCTTGGATAACAGTCACTTGAGCTCGTAATCGGCCTCACCGGGATGTACTGTAAACAGAAAGAATTCATACTTAGTCACTCAGACAAAAACCATGTCTCCCTCAAATGAAGAAAGAAAACTCCTCGCTTGAGTTGTCAAGAAGCTAGGTGCGCGGCTTGGTACCTGTATATAATTGATAAGGCGTACTTTGAGTGAAAGAAAGCGCTCATAATCGGCGGGAGGAATGGAATGGGATGACCAGTTGCTGCCTCACCTGTCGCGACAACGTACGTTCTCACATTGATTAATGTTGCAACGCGTCGTCGATTCTTTTCTGTCACATCTCCAGGAATGTTCAAACGGTGCCAACTGTGAAGAACCATTCTTCATATACTGGATTTTCCGAGTAGGAAATGCATTCCCTCTGAGTTCTGCGTTACATCAATGTTGAAACGTTGAACTAGCTGCAATTAAAGGCTCGTCTGTGTTTATGCCCTCATAATTTATAATGATCATTGCGTCAATGTAAGCAGAACGACTGACTACAATTCTATAAATGCTCGGTCCCTCGATAGGAGAACAGTCATTTGCAAACATTCTTTTACCACTCTGGGGCAGAGAATATCGATCGATTTTCGTCTTCGCCAGCCACACTTCGGTATGGACTGACCTCGAAGTCATGCACTTATACTTAAATTAAGCTTTTGCAGCACACTAGCCTGTCATTGTTCGATGCTGAAGCCTTCAAACAGCAAGTGAGTGAAGCCGCCCCGTCATTTAAATCATGCTCACATGGAAAAGGCCTACTGTAGGATCAGCCCCACCTCCGCCACTCCTCTGAGAAGCCATTAGACGGATCCTGGATGGCCTTAGACCGATCGGAGCTGCGGGCACAGTGAGTTATGAAGATCCTTCAAAAGCTGCCTACTGATAATTAGTGATAGATCGAAGTCACCCTTCATGCAGCCGTTTGGCCTTGCTAGAATGCAATTGACAGCAATAGCTGACATCGCAAGTTCTTATCATTGCGGCAGTTTTGAGAGTAATTTTCCGTGCTGGAAACTCACTGTATAGGAAGGCAAATTTTCTATCGCGAGTCGCTCAATGTCCTGTAAGTCACCCCAGTGCGTTGCCACTGCCCATTGCCAACGCCCGGAACTGAAGAGTCTATCTGTTTGAGGCTCTCCGTTATTCAGAAAATATCGCTGATGTCCCTTTGCGGTCGTAGGGCGAATGTCGATATTGCACTCGACATGATCGAGCTATATTCCCCATCGTCCTTGAAATCAAGCCAGGTGCACCAAGCTGATGAGCCAAACCACTGGCTTCCAGTGCGTTTGCGCCTTTTTTGTTTCTAAAGACTTGGTTGAAAGGGCCACTTCGCCTAACATATTCAGCGGGCCCAATTCAAAAAGGCTTTGAGGCCCTCTGGTTAGCCATACGGTAGCGTTCCAAAGTGTTTTCACCCCTCCAGCATTAGCCTGTCCGATCGAAGGTTGACTGTCACTGCATTAGGAACTTGCCGTACTCCGACGGCTATGAACCTCTTGTTCTCGTCTGATCCGAAGCCTCGTCGGCAGCAATAGCCCGGTCGCATACTAGACTGTGTGAGCCATCGCAGCATCGACGACCACCAAGAGAGACCACACTTTTTATAAAAGCAAAATCAGCCAATGATGCATCAAATTACCGGCCACGAGCTGAGGGCCAGCACTGTCAATCCTGGTTGTAGCTGAGCAAGCAACAAGCCTGGCTGCAGCACTAGATCTACCTCAGATCACTCGCCGCGAGAGCAGTCGTTTTAAGGTCAGTTCCTAGACAGAATACCATGAATATCTCCTCCGATGGTACTTTGTCTTGGCACGGTTGAAGATTTGCCCGGGGCCATGCATTGGCCGATTATCTGGCTATTAATGCCTTGTCAGTGCCAAACACAGATTCGGCCTTGCAAAAGAAAAAAAGTCGTCCATAATTAACCCCACCCGATGATCATTGATCTCGTATAATATTTATTCATGCTTCGTTCAGGATTTTCTCCGAATCGCTCTGAACGAATCACTGATGTTCTTTTCTGATTGCTGGTCAGATTGGCATACTGCGCCCGACGGACGCGACCCAGCTGGGAAAGACGCGCTGCATCGTGCGGATTCGTCTCACCGCCTTGCTCCTAGCGCTTGTCATCGGACCAATGCGGCCAGCGGACACAGCAGTCTCCTTTTCTCCCGTTGCATCTAGCTAAAGCGGCAGGTTCTCGGCAGGTTCTCTGACTCGACAGTGAATGCACTTGCGCTGTAGTGAGAAGGGTTAGCCACGACCCACGGTAAAACACCTACATGCTGAAGGGAACTGATCGCAATAAGCCCCTTATGATCTTTTCACATTTTCTTCTCTCTGAAGAACCCTTTTTTATCCAGTTTGATTGCCAGTGCTCCCCCCCCCCCCTCCCGAACTGCTGACCGTCGTCTTCCTCGGGATTTCTTTTTTGTCACTGCATCCTGATTCAAGCGAATTCTACAGCACCATCTATACGTAGAGTACAGCTATCCAGAAACCTCGTTGAAGACGCTGCTGGAAGATCACGGTGGTCGCTCCTACTCGCGCCGGCCCACCATGACTTCGGCTGCAGCGGAGCTGGAAAACTACCTTCAGTCAATGTTGGCTTTGAAACCGCCTGGGGCTTCTGGCTCCAAAGTCTACAGCATCACTAAGCTGTGCACAGCCAATGTTAAGGTGCGAGACATTCTCCTAGTCTCAAGACATGCCGCGTGTTGAGATGGCTGACAATGAAGAGATCGTTGCGATGATTTTGATACGAGGCTAATTTTTCAAAACAGGATGAACCGGTTCTCATTGAAAATATCTACACTCACTTCAAGAAGGCCCCTGGCACCCATAAGTTGGGCGTTCTCTATGTGATAGACTCTATAGTCCGGCACTGGATTGAAACCACTCGCAAAGCTGGCCGACCTCCGCGGAACGCCGCACCGGATGGGACTTTCGCTGCTGGTGTCGATCGAATTACTAAGTTGTTGCCCGTGTTGATGACCGACATCATCTCCAGCGCGCCAAAGGATCACGAGGTACAAATACACTTGAATCAAAATCTTCAGCCAGGCAACTTTCAATCATTGCTTTGTGAGTTTTGCTAGCTCGGGAGATTTTGTTGCTCACGCATGTGTCTCTGGTCACTTTAGGAAAAGATCAAGAAGCTCGTTGACATCTGGGAGTGCTGCGGCTCCATTCCATCCTCCATGCTTGCTTCATTGCGCGACAAGTTCAACCTCCTGCCGCGTGGTAAGATTTCAATCCCATTCTTTAACTTTCGTCGTCTTCTGATCCAGTCACCTGTATTGTGGTTTCCCAGATGTGCAAATTTCCACGCCACAACGCTTGTCAGCCGCGTGCTTTAACTCTTCAAAAGTCCCAGCTCCACTACAGCCTGTCAATAGCTCACCCGAAGCGGCAAGTTCTGTTTCTCATGCTAACGCGTCTGCTGCCCTGACCCCATCAGTCTCTGCTCTGGAATCCACTTCAACTGTTGATTCATTTCGATTACCTCACACGACGCCTATACCCTATACAAGTGCTAGATCTGGTGGTGGCGTGGCTGGCCCATTGACCGCTTCGAGCGGTCTTGGCCAGTGCTCTGTTACGTTACAGTCCCAGAGTCAGAGTCAGTCTACGAATCCTTTGGCAGCCGCTCCGGCTATGTATGGAAACGCGAGATTGCAGCCGGGGTTCTCGCAGGACCAGTGGGCGGCAGCTCTGCAATTGTCCAACATGAATAATGTCATGGGCGCTGCAAACCCTGCTCAGCTGCCTGGCCTTGGCGCCATATCCGGCCAGGGCGCTCTTGGAAGGGGTGAAACCGACGTGCAGAGCTGCGACGATCTTGAATATGAGAAAGTGGATGGCCACGGGTATCGTCCAATTTCTCTCTCTCCGGATTTTCATCGAAATCACAATGCTTTGCCCTCTCACCGCCACGGCCAGCCGTTCCGCCACGAATATCATGGCGATTTTCAAAGTCATCGGGGCAAGGCATACCGTAGGGGTAGTCCACCGGACAGGGAACGCCAGTCAGAGTCCCCACGTCGAAAAGGCTATAATGTCTTTCCGCCATGTCCGAAGCTCGTCGAGTGGGACTACTCCATCGGCCCGGGGAACATCAAAATTCTTAGTCGCACCCTTACTGTCAGCGGCGTTTTCTCTGAGGCTTATCTTCGTTCGCACTTCAGCACTTTTGGCGTCGTTCAAACCTGCATTATCGATAGTGATAAGCGTCGTGCTCTCATTAAGATGCTTAGTCGCCAGGATGCGGCGAGAGCTCGTGAAGGAGGAGGAACTTACCGCTCGAGCGAGAGGCCACTCCCCACCCGATGGGGCGTCGGCTTCGGCCCGCGTGACTGCAGCGACTATGAGACTGGCATCAGCGCTATTCTAATCGACCGATTCACCAATGCGGATCGCAAATGGCTACTCACGGCGGAGTATGGTGGCACCGGAGGTTGCCCAATCAAATCGGGAATGGTAGTCGAGGAGCCAGAGATTGAAATCGGCGCTGGCATCTCATCTAAGGCCATCAGCCGACGCATTGCAAATGGCACTGGCGGGCACCATGGCCGAAGTTCAGGCGGCTTTGGTGGCCGCGGTCGTGGTTGCGGTGGTTCCTTAAAACGCCAAGGCTTTGGCAATGGACGCTAAGACTTTCTTCTTTGGCACAATTGACAACCCAAAGCCCCAAAGCTCCAATCCGAACTTGAATGGCGTATCTACAGATATGCTTTCACTTTACTGAACCGCACGGTCCGATCGAACAACACAGCTGCAAATATATAGATCAAACAACATCAAAATATGAGCTTGCTTCATTCACCGTAGCATCAGGGTATCACTTAGACAATACCCGGTCGGCGCTTTATCTTCAAAGGTATAGTTATCTACTCGTGTCTGCTTCATACTATGACAGTCCTCTGCAAACTCTCCCAAATCACTGCAAACTCTCTCAAATCAGGTTTCAAACTTAAGATCGCCAAGAATGTGTCAACGCTGCCTTTAATGGTCCATGTTTATTTCATGTCATTCGAAGTGCTAGAATAGTCCACATCGTGCCTGGGCGTCCCACGATAGCCGGCACGTGCTGTAAGGCCCTGCAAAAGCGCACATATCTCGATGTTTCCTCTTTTCCTAGCTTGGCCCAGGGGAGACACACTATTATCATCGGAATTCCCGGGCTCCAAATCCGACAGCTGCGCCAGTCGAAGGATCAGTCTTTTGTTGCCAGTATTTGCTGCATGCCATAGTACCGAGCGGCCTCTCTGGTCTCGTTCATTCACCAGAGTCTTTCGATTTAGAAGTAGAACATCTATGATCTCATTCCTCGTGGGGTCCAGGCCGTCGTATGTCATGGTAGCCAGAAGAAGGGCGCTTCTTCCCGCGGAATCGAGATAGTTGACGTCAATGTGTTTGTGATCCAAGATGATTTGCATTGCAACAGGGTCGTCATATATCACAGCCAGATGAAGTGCGGTGTATCCTCTGTCGTCTCGAATGTTGACATTGAGTTGCGGGTCTCGCAGAAGGATCCTCAAGATCTCGTGTTGCTGATGTTCGAGCGCTGTCAGAATTGGAGGTAGAGCTTGCGGACTCCGGCCATTGATATCAATATCATGTCAACAAAGTAGCTTTCGAACGGTAGACACTTTTCCTTGCATGATAGCAAAAGACAGGGCGGCATGAGCCCATTGATCGAAGTGAGTAACATCTAGAGAATTTTCGCATGGCAATCGACCAGCTAGAACAGAAGCGGCTAAAATCATCGGACAGGTTAGTAGCTGCCTTGAGTCTTCCTTATGCTTGAATAAGTGGGGGTGACTTACAAATGACGGATGGGAGGTGAGCCATATTTTCGATAATGATAAGATTATCTTGCTTTTTTGTTGTCTCGATGATCCGGACTTGCTGAACGGAGCTCTCGTTGCTGTATTTTCGATGGCTTTTATCCAGCACAAAGACATAAAAGGCAGTATTTATAGCAAGACTTTGTTGCGATCAGCTTTGATCTCAAGAATGTTTGATTTGTATTCACATATTTTCACATATGAGCTCCCATAGTTGGGCTGCTCCCATTTCAGTCCTACTTAGAGCTCATGCCATACTATTATGAACCCCTGTGGTCCTCAAAAGGGATTGATTCCACGGAGCAAGCTGCCTGCTCCTGGGAATATAGCTTTCAAGGACTCACGTATCTGAAGATGCAGATTGTGTGCTCCGGAGCATTGACTACCAAAAGTAGAAAACCAGAAGCTGATCTTAGATACAAGGCTTAGCGCAAGAAAACAGAAGAATGTTAGCTTCCTCTTGTTCATAGTCGCACAGATGAGCCATGTGGGACGGTACCATGCACAAATCGTCTTTACTGCATGCCAGTCTCTGACACATTTTAACATAGTTCCCAGGAGCTCGATGCAGACATTGCCTTATGCGGGCTAAAAGCTGATGGTAAGACATTTGTGCTACAGAACAAGTATGACAATTTATCTCCTCCTCCTGGGATATCATCGGGCTCTTCTGTCGTTCAATTACGGTTGCTTTATTTAATGATCTGAATCTCGCCATCGGCGCTCTCTTCTCACCGCGACACATCTATCTCCATTTCGCTTGTCATGGCTTCCGAACTTAGCTTCCAAGCACTGCTGATCACCGTGCTTCTATTCGCTTTGATTGCTAGGTCCCTTCTTTTGTGGGTGTTCGAAGATGATTTGCCATTTCATAAGATGGACTTGGCGCTATGCGTCTTATCCATTCTCCTGTCCGCTGTATTAACAGGGCTTTGTTGGAGCGAGAAGAAATCAATATGGACTCGAATTCTGCTTGGAACTCTTTCAACAATTCCTTCTATGCAAATTGTTCGTCATAGCTTGAAGAAACTCAATTCCATGCTAATACTGGCCTAGTTTCTCCGCATCAGTTTTCAGCAGCTCAACAGTCCTTTCATAAATCGATCGACGCGTGTCTTATTCAGAATCTATGCTTTGACATCAACGGCCTTAAAGATAATAAGTACATTCATTGGGATATTCATGCTAGATGAAATTCAATTCATCACCCCCTTCCTGCTTTTCCTGGATCATCTCAGTGAAATGACATGGTACCTGTCGTTAGTAAAGAGAGCCACGCAAGGCCGGAGAAAGTTACATTTTATCTTATCCCATTCATCAAATGTGGGTCTTCTCTTGCTAGGAGTCGCAATTTTCGGTGCCATCTCAAGGAAATGGGAGATTGCGCTTGAGGTAATTCTTCCTAATTTGAGCCTACATGATGAGAGAACTAACACAAGTCAGACCCAGCTTATAATTTGCACCATGTCGGCAATTGCCAATCCATTGAGTGATATGCAATGAAAGGCTCAAGGTACATCTGTTGAACACAAATGGGCTAGAATTCGAAAAGATCAGCCATCTCAAAATCTCATCGCTGTATCAATATCGGTTAGCCATAAGGCGAGGGGTTTAAGTTGAGCAAGATAAGATTGCTGTGAAGCTTGATCATACCTTTCTCATGCATGTGATATTGTATCTACTGGAAAACGATTCTACACTATTTATATCAAGGGGCTGATCCAATCGAAATCACTCGAGAGCTGTAATCCTACAAAATTAGCATATCTACTTCAACTTCCGATCAGATCTTGAAATCTTGATACGGGGGGGATTTATATGACCTCATACTATGAGGATTTCCCAGCTTTCTCAAGCAGCAGTCCCATATAAGGAGTACAGGGCTGCTCTAGAGATTTCGAAGATTTGAGAAAAGTCAGTAAGATTACATAGACGGGAGCGAAGAGGACTTGCGATGCGGCGGCTGCGCATTTGAGGGTTACGTCACGCCGTGGACCATACAGTATCTACTCATCAAGCTGCGGAAGATCGGGTAGGTACAAAATCACTGCTCAATGGACATGAATCATTCTGCGGCTGGGCCAATAAGAAGCCAGTGTGCAACAAGGCTTGACGTTCACGAGAATCCATTGAGTGAAGGAAAGAACTGTTTATTGACGAGTGAAATTAAATGACATGACAATTTTGGCCGTCGCCTGTGGAAAGAATGTGAGGATTAACGTCAATGGATGTTGCGACGTGTTGTTGATATTTGCTGCGATATTGCCGGGTGTGTTGAAACGGTGAAAACGACAGTAAAACGTTCGTCATCTGCGGTAATAGACCCTAAGAAAGACCCATGATACCTCCGAAACTATGAAAGGTACGTGTTCTTTATATTGTTGAAATGTTAAACCGTCCGCAGTTCAGCGACCAACTCTGTTGGTGGGCTCACAATTCGCAATGTCCGTTATAACGACGCTAGTGGAAGGGCTGGCTACAGTGCTTCATATACCCCAGTTCCTCGCCAGCAGAACAATCTTTCTCAATCACTCCTTTGTTGTCATTCCGGGTCAAAGGATATGGAAAGCCTTTTGTCTCCGCCAGCTATCTTTTTGTATGTAATCCCGCATCTTGCCATGCAATTGTGATTGAACTGACTTCTTTTATCACGACCAGCTCGTCTACGCTCAACGTCGACTCTTCAAAAGCAAGCGAGTGTAATTACTCCGTCATTGGAATCATGCTGACATGAAATATGCTCAAGATTAGCCCTCCTCTACTATTCCTCTTGAAACCATTTGACGGACCTTGAATGACCTCGAAAATGATCAAAGCTGCGATCGCTGTGAGTTGTAAACTGCCTTCATAGACTGCCTACTAACGATTAATGTCAGCTCAAGGGAAATCCTTGTGCAGCCATTTGGCCTTCCCGGATACAGCACATAGTAACAGCTGATAACGTAAGTTTATCATTGCGGCAATCTTGATCATATTTACCCGCTGCTGACGACTCACTCTATAGAAAGACATGCCTTCAATTAAGGGTCGCTCAATATCTTGTAGGTCACCTTGGTACGTTGCCTCTGCTTAATACCATGGACAGGCTACATTTTGGATCTCAGCGCGGATACCATTTGCTAAAATTTTACCTTGTCGTGCTCTCCTTTCGACAGAAGAGATTACTGGCGCGTCTTCCCAGTCATCGGACAGAGGCCAGGAAAGCACTCGCCACGACCGAGCCGCACTTCCCTATCGTCTTACCCCAAAATGGAGTTGGTATCCATTTGATTCCCCAGTATATCGGTCTGTGAAGTATCGGTATTGGCTCAAGTACTTCGGCTGCGCTGAGCTCGGATGTGAGAAGGCCTACTTCAAATGAAGTTGTCGCCGATGTGCTACTGAGTGGATTTGACAAATAGCCAGAAAAAGCTCACTTTTTAAAAAAAAAAACATGACTCCATGTGTTTTATGAGTATACAGGTGTTGTTCTTCGAATTGGTCAAATGACAGAAACGTGCTGCTAGGGTGGCGAGGGATACAATCAGCATATACCTGCCGAGCAGGGCTTGGCGTCATATTTAAAAAATCAGCAAAATTGAACCCTTGGCAATGAGTTGTAACATTTGGGCTCAATTTCGGTGGGGTGAGGTGTTTGTTCGGAGTAGAAGGTGGGAAGGCCTGCTGTGACGAGCTCGCTGCGACACGACCTGAAAATGAGTTAGTGAAACGCCTCAGGTCGGCCCCATCTTCATGCTGCGCAATTCGACAATTGTTAAACAGTCGAGCGTGCTTAGTGGGCGGGATTTGTGCAGGAAAAGAGTCCCCAGTGAATCTCATATTGTGAAAACTATACAAGGGTAGATCTGGTTCATTCTCTTCATACGACGAGCCGTGGTAAACGGGGGATGACAGGTTTGGGACCGATGCCTCCGATATGGAGGAAACATGGTTCTGCCAGGTTGCGAGATGTTGATTGGCCACTATGGAAGGCTCCAGACGCTGGTATGAGCTTTTCGGCAAGGAACCGGTGGCTTTTACTGGTGATTCTGTGTCTGAATCAGATCGCAATTGGGTACGACTGACGGAAAGTATTGGCTGCATGACCTCGCGGTTGTATGACACTGCACGCTTGCTATGAGCTGACCGAGGGAGTGTCTTCGAGGAAATGGCTTCTCGATGACAAGGAGATTTAAAGGGAGTCTGACAACCGCTCCGTGAGAAGTCGAACGAGGAATCGGAACGCTTGTCGCTATCGAGGGGTGGATTCGAAATTAGATCATGAAGCTGTCCATACTGGTATTTGATTTTGGCAAGGCGGAAACGACTTTGCAGATTCAGAGACACCTGTATTTGTGAATTCTTGATCAGTCCAACATCCATCGCAGATATATTTGCAGTCTTGGCGGCCCCTCCTCTGATGCTGGCATGGACCCAGACAATCTGTCGGGGAATGATGTGCACTTTTCACTCATCGCAAGGAATCCTTACCTGGGCAATATCGATTTCGTGAGCGCCCTTGTCCGCCAAACTCGGCTGTGAACACATTGTCGAAATGGTTCATGGCAAGAAAACAGAAGCCGCGGAGCGGATGGTCAGACCGATAATACAGTCTCTTCTGCTTCTCACCGCCTTGGATGTCAGCCAGGCAATCTCGATGGATGAGTTTGATCGACATACTACGCAAAATCGCCTGCGTTCACTGCTTTAACTTGTCGTCCAGGCGACAGCGCGACGTAAAATAACTCAGAGCTGAATCAATATTTGTTCACGCGATAGAAAGCTTGATTCTTCCGAACATATTTCATTTATCATTTTGTGTCGGCGTGATCGAATGAAAGACACCTAGGGAGCTCAAACGCTGATCTTGCGGGATATGTACCCGGAGGTACGGCGGATATCATTATTTGGAAAATCGTGGATATGGTTAAGCGAAATTCACGCAACGTCGCCTCTCCTGTGGGCTTAAAGGGTTCGTTGCATTGGCTTGCTAATAACGGCCCGGGTTCGATTCCTGCGGGATACACTCAGATGACACTTCATCAGAAAAACGGGTCAAATTGCTTGATTTCCCGTGTCATTTCGCATTTCCACGGTTGATTGTAACCACTTGGCTACTTCGTGATTATAGTGAAATCGTGTTTCATAGTCGCTTGAGTATGCGGGATCAAGGCAACATCCGCCGGTACTCAGACGTCTGCCACAGGCGACTAATTCAACTGACGCGTCGCAGCGTCTCGCGCCGAACACACGTGTCATTTTCACATCAATAAAAACATGACGGCTTCTTTCGAAATCAAAAGACTACGTCTTATCCACGATTCATCACAAACCGACCTGGCTACTTTGAGAAATAGTTGAGCAATCTTAACACCGCGACAATTGACTGCTGCGCTTCGCCGTGCTGCTTTCTGTTGATGGGTTCGTGGATGTGATCGAGGAGGACGCATTCGATCCGCTTGGGGCCGCAATTGGGAGGAACTAGCCATCTTCTTATCTGCGATTTGGCAACATGCTTAATTTCTCACCCGGAACTTGCATTGATGAGAACGTGTTGCCAGCTCCGTTCGTGAAGCGGGGATGGCCGCACCTTGGCATCGCTGTCTGCATTGAGATATGGCAAAAGAAATTCTCCGAGGTACTAGAGAAGCTGGTAGTCAGACACAATTTCAGATGGGGTGGCCAGGGTGGCCAGAGTGGCCGGCAACTACGTTAGTTCGATCCAGGTGAAGACCATGTGGGCGCAACCGGACTTCGGAAGAGCTCAATATAATTTTGCATTTCCAGAGGATCCAATCATCATCAGGCCCCATAATCGTTGGGCTTTTAACTATGCTTACAGTTGATGATTTCCATTTATCGGTAAGCGCACCCACTCACTCATTCAATGGATTGGTTGCAAGGTAAGAGTTGTCATCATTGGCGCCAACACAGCCATGAGCCGAGAAAGCCCACCAATAACAGGAGGCACAAGGCCTTACCCCGCCTTTTCTCCCCTGATCGCTTTTGCTACTCCTGAAGGTCATTGTCATGGCCTCGAGATATATTTCACCTACAGAATACTCCTGCAATGGCAGAACGCACATTATTTACTCCCAATCCATTCCAAAAACTCAGTTAAAGTGCTTCTCAGCCCAAAATATCCCGACATATCTTTTCCGTGTTGTCGCTCCGGAGACTGCAGGGAGCACGAGCCTGTCTACTGTTACTTCAAGAGCCATGATGGACCCCGAATGCGGCCATCGCCCAGACGATATCTTTCGCCTCGACCTAGCTGATGCCGCTGCTCTAGTTCACGCACATTTCGAATGGAAATGCGACGAAAAATGCAACTTTATGAGCTGGACTAGCTCCTTGCTCTTTGCATTGCATTATGGGTTTTATAGGCATAAGAAGGATCATGATAAGCCAGACCTTAGCAGAATAGTGCTCTATATTCTTGACACCAGTGGGCTCCCAGAAGGAACATTTATCAAAGACCTGGACATCCTCGATGCCTTCAAAGGGGAGTCAGCTGGCCTAAAAAGTTTTCTGCACATGCGGCGCGGACAAGGTAGGAAGAGATATTATTTCGGCGAATATATCACACAGGGCCAATTACAGATTGACGGAAGATGTGCAAGTGTTTCCCTGCAGCAATTGTTAAATTCAGGATTATTCGAACTTAACCCCGTTCTGGGTAACAAAGACGGATGGGATTTCCTTGCGAGCAGAGTTTTAGATCTTCGAAAGGGCTCGACGACGTTGGTACCCACAACGCCTTCTGAAGTCCGAAAGGCAATCACGATAGCTCAAAGCTGTTTCGGAGACCGTTGGGTAGTTCCTCTTTCAGCAATGCTACTTGCAATAAAGCCGGGAAGTCAAGACAACGCTAAAATTGCAGCGGCGTATTCGGCGATGTTCGCAGGTGAGTATTTGACTGTGTAACTTCGAAGATTGACTTATACTTATTGATATATATTAGCGGAGGAAATTGAAGTTCAAAATATTCTAATCGATCCGGATGGTTTACCGGAGACTAAACGTTTCGGAGATATCCTCAATGTCATCAACCGCGAGTTCAATAATAGCGACATCAACGTTTTGCTGAATCCTTTCTCGAGGATGGGATTTCTATAATACATGTCATGCATTGTTGGAAACATTTCTGAAGCTCCCTAAATAGTGAGATAATTACGGGAAACTTAATTCTTCGTCAATTAGCAGGGCTGGGGCGCGTTGCTAAGGGAAGACTGGGTCTCAATGCAAAAATGTAATTAGGGATTTACAAAAAGAGATCATAACCCACAACGATATCTCGGAGCTCCTTCCTGGGAAGATTGGGATGAACAATATATCCAATGTGAAAGAGGCTCCTAGCGCAGTCGACTACAGGGAAATCCCACAGGCGAAGCGGTCGTCACGCGGTCTTTTCATTAAGCCATAAAAAATGGCTTCAAGAGTTTCAGATATCCATCCAACAGATAAGGCTCGGTAAGTTTCTCAACATGACGCTTGTAAGATATATGTATACCGAATGATATACCGGTAATAATGTATATCATCCTGTACATGCTTGTACCGAGGGCACCAATTGAACCAGTTGATTGAATAATTATCCCGGAGATCGCTGTTGATAGCGTCTCAATGGTTGAAGGCTAGTATCAGCGTTTTAAACCGCGGTCATCCCGATTTGACCTGGTTTACCATAAACAGCAGATGTAGCAGTAGGGAATCGCTAATCCAGCCAATTCTTAACCGTTATTCTTAGCCGGTACCCAGCTAGACCAGCGTTTTGAGCTCCACGGGTGTCTTTTATTTGACCATGAATATGTAATATGATATTCGATAGAGTTCTAGGAGAACGGGCTTTTTATCGCTGAGATCCTAATGGTTCTTCCCAATTCTACCGCTAAAATGTATATACAGTGCGAGTGTTAGTACAATCCCCTGAGGGTGTCCTGATACGATAAGGATACGAGTGAAGAATGTGAGATTTGCCTGATATTGGTATGATGATATTCAGACTAATCGCTGGTCCTCCTAAGAGGATCCAGCTCCTCCCTTTAAGGGGATGCCTCTGTGTGTATGCAAAGCAGGTAAGCGAGGTGATGTATCAACAAGCGGCTCCGGTGGTGGATAGGCACCTCCTCCGCATCTCCTATACCTCATTGTATGGTTGGCGTAACAAAATTAGCAAGATCACAGAGAATCGGCCATTCAGACGAGTCAAATGACCGATTGACTGAATTTCGCCCACCCAACAGAAATCACACATGCAAGGATTCTTGGCCTTAGAGAAGGATAGAAAAGTCAAACGGAACAAAATCCTGTTAGATTAGATGATAGAGCCCATATGGGTGAGGGTGTTTCGTATAGCGGACGAACGGGATGTATAGTCGGCTTGGTCTATTTGGACAGAACCTCGACTAGTTGCTTTCGATACGGCATAATGATGAACCGTCACAGCTACTCAAATAATACCAAGGGCAGGAATCAGGACCAAGATTCACATTGAACGCTCCACTGTAGTCTGATTGCATCTAGAGTGCATTGCTTCAAGTACCAGCCCCATTGTGGCTTGAAGGCAGTGCCTGGAAATACGTGGGAGGCTCCCCGGAACCTGGCTCTCCTAGGAACTATGAATGCAATCCTAGGGGCATGAGCAGTGCTACTCTTACAATCCGCTTTGCGAGCGAAACTTCCATTCTTCGCAACGCATTCTTGTAGTAGGAGCTGCCTTGATAGATCCGACACGATGATTGTGTTAGCGGCACGACGAACGATATAAACTTGTCTGGCCGCTCTTTTCACGAGGCCATGATAACTCTACGCGCGAATTTATTGCCTTATCCTTGCTCGCCATCCCAATATTCATTATGGTTCGTAACGGATGTACTTTACGTTGGCAACTACATACTAAACTAGAAGCAGCCCCATTTGCGAGGTCTACCGAATCCAATCTTATACAGAGTTGCAGCATATCTCGAGAGCAGCGAGATATTTGCTCTTGCGAGATCATGTCGAAATCTCAGAGCCAGGCTACAGCCGGCCATACTTGCAATCAACGTCGAATGTCAAAACAGCAATTTGCTCGGCCTCGCTGCCATGCACAACGATATTGACCTCGCCGAAAGACTTCTGCAACGCAAGGCAGACGTCAACGCGTTCTTTCGAGGGAAGACCCCGGTGATAAGGGCTCTCAAGTACTCATCCTATGACGTATTGCAGCTCCTGCTGGAAAGCCCTACGCTGAATATCAACCTCCAAAATCAGGCGCAAGAAAGCGCGCTATGGTATGCTGTCACATACGGAACTTGTTCTGTGGTACAGAGTTTGCTGGAGGTCCCAAGTGTACAAGTTGACCTCCCGCACAGGCGAGGACGAACGGCCCTCCATCTCGCGGTCTGGTGGGGAAAAACGGGCCTGGCGCATCTGCTCCTCTCCAGCGGCAGCGATCCTTTCACTACAGATGACTTTGGCAAGTCACCCCGCGCATGGGCATGGCGCATCGGCCGGCCGTCCATGAAGTGGATCTTTGTAGGCCCACAGGAAGCTAGACACTCGCTCTCTTTCCACAGGCCATCCGCCGGTTATCAGACCACTGATAACAGCGAGCTGCCGCTCCACCAAGCAGTAGCGCATGGATCCGCAGACGCTGTCAAGCTACTTCTGACGCAGAAGGAGCTGGCCCTGGATGCTCAGGATCACAACGGAGATACTCCACTCCACCTCGTTGTTCGATGTCGGCGTCTGGCAGTGGTGGAATTGCTGTTGAGCCATCCGTGCGCCGACGTAAATTGTCGAGACAAAGACGGCAACACTCCGCTTTGGTTGTCGACGTTCTTATCGCGCGATGACATAACTGAGAGGCTGTTAAAGGCGAGTGGCATTGATATCAACTTTGTGGGTGGTCGTGGTCAGACCCAATCGCCTTCCACTTCGCTGCACCACGCGGTCGCAAGGAGTGACACAGTCGTTCTGCGGTGGCTTCTCAAAACGCCTGGCATCGACCCTAATCTCTGCGTGGCAGGGGTGTCTCCTCTTTCCGCGGCGGCCGCGAAAGGCAGCACTCATGCGATGACGATGCTCTTGAACAAGGGAGTCATAGAGATCAATGCGACCGAGTTGGCAGATCCGCCCCTCTGTCGAGCGGTGGAAAACGGCCGCTTGGAAGGGGTAAAGCTCTTGGTCCGGCAGGGCGAGGCTCTGGCAATTAACCAGAGCACTGCTACCGTCCAAGACACCGCCCTGTGTCTCGCCGCCCGGGCGGGCGACTCGGAGATGGTGCGAGTTTTACTGCGCCATCCCAAAATTGATCCCAACCACCAGAATCGTTGGTTCGAGGATCCTTTGTTGCTTGCAGTTAAAGGCGGACACTTGGTGGTCGTTGAAATGCTGCTGCAGGACCCGAGAATGAGGCTTACCAGTTTATGGGCATCGCTTTATTTTGCCGAGGAGGGTCCAATTCGGCAGGCAATCCAGAAGCGGGTCAATGATCTCCGCAGCCGTCGAAGTACAAGTACAGTCTCATCATTAAAATGGAGAATCGGTGGATTCCTCAAAAATCAGCAAAAGACTTGTACGGCAGGGCGATACAAACTGCATTGAAAGGCCGGCGGAGGTGTGGAATGGGATGGTGGAAGGCCAGGAACTTGATGGATTGAGAATAATGCCAACCGTCATAGGACGCGGCGTTGATAGCTCGACAGTAATCAAGTATAGATACTGCCACAGAATGTTTCTCTCTGCATCAATTCATGAGCGACCCTGTTGCTGATCCTCATCTATGCGATATGGTAAACGGGCTTAGATTGAAATATGCGTCGTTATAGAGCTCCATTCCGGGTAAGAAGCTGATAATTGCGGGTGTGGAGAACATGTTGGGCTTCGCGTGCCTTCTGTCATGATAGCATATAAGAAACCTCTGAAGATTCTCTTCTCCCAGCCCATGCAGCTCACTTCGTACATAAAGAAAATGGACGCACCAGATCGCTCTTCATCGACCGAGCGACCAATTAAAAGACAGCGGCAGCGCCCCAAACACTCTGGGGATGACACTACCGCCAACCTGCATGGCATATTCCGAGAACCTTCGTGGTGTGAAAGTATCGAGTTCAAGGTCAGAATCTTCCCAGTAGCAAAATGGGAGCCTAGTTGACATGTAATAGAACACCACTGGCGCTGCCAGTCTTTTGCCAACTGAGGCCAAGCAGATTTTCCGGATGGGCTCTTCCATCTCGAGACCAGCTCTCGACCTACTCGATCTATTCCTATGTCTCTGGCAATGTTATGTAGCCAAATCTGCTGAGAAAATCCGACTTGAGAGCGAACGACGCCAATTTTCGCTGTCTAATTACGAACTAAAAGCAGGAAATGGTCTTCTACAGCAGCGTTGTAATGAGCAGGCCCTGGTACTCTGGGACCGTGGGCGCGCAGCCCACGCTGTTCAGAATGGAATTGTGTCGATATTACGGACGTGTGACCGGAATTCTGGCCAGAAATATTGTTTCTGAGTGTTCAACAAACATTGGTGAATATGTATGAAAGCGAGGACGCTGGATGATCTTTTCTTACGATGAACGGGGATGACCGCTGAGATGCCGATGCAGCCGAGAGTTAACTCCCGTTGAGCTTGTGACTACCCATACCTTGCTCAAATAGAAGTATCGATGGACCTTTGATTAGTACGATGTCTGGCTTTGATAAGAAGGTTAAATTGGCCTATTGCTCGCTCCCTTTCTAACCCGCAAGTTCGTCGATCGAATACCAATGATCCAGTTCTGTTCTCTCCAACTCCTTGAACTCTCGACGTCCGAGGAAATGAACCATCTGGCCCAAATTGGTTGGTAAAGTCCATTCCACATCTCTCAAAACGCATACTTACACCAAGCAGACTTTGTTTCCGATGATGATGTCCACGCAGCCTGGCAGGAGTCCTCTAACGTACCCGCTGTACCCCCCTGCCTTGCTACCGACCACCGCGGATTGAAGCAAACTTCATTCAACTTATCAGGGGTCTCCAGCTCTGAAATTTACGGGCTATCTTTGATCGACTGTGTTTTTTATCCGAATCATGAAACCCAACAAAGCTTTCCGTGGACAGGTCCGGATCCTCTGTCTCCGTCTACCAAGGCGGAGGATATTTTTATATACTTTTCTGCCTTCTTGCTATCAGAGGAAGTCTACTGGGTGGAATTTTTGTCTTTCAAGATTTGACTCTTTCAGTGATGAGTTGATGGGTGAGCATCTCTTTTTCCTACCACGATTCGAGACAGCGATGGGGAATCTGTCTCGGGTGCGCAAGCAGATTCTCGAAATTATCTCCCGAGTATGCTCTGCAGCACAGATTGCCCGTTTCCGACTGTCCATGTGGCCACGCTTGGAGTCCCTTCCCAACACTCAGCAGTTCATGATGTCGCCGCACTCCACTCTGCCTACATTGCCTTGCCTCGATCCGGGGGTTTTCGTCCACAATCTGCGCGGAAATTTCAGATAGAAGTGGCAATTGAACTATTAATACAGAATCGGACTGCAACAAATCTGTTCCGAGAAGTAGTAGGCTGCAAATACCAGTGCCGAGATGCTCGCCTTGCCGAATGAAATTTTTGAGCTCTAATGCCAAAGATGAAATCAAATAGTTTCGAGAGAACATCTGCCAGAAGCAAGTTATTTGATGCACTCTATTCTTCCCCTATTATTCAAGACCCTTGTCACTAGGACTCCACATTTGGTGCTTCAATGAAACAAAATCACATTGTTTCTGCCTTATTTTGCTAATTTCGGCTCTCCGTATATCAGATACTCCTTAATTTTCCATTCCTCATTTCATTAGAAGAGGAGAGAAGTAAACTGATATCCATGGACCTGTATCTTCATTCCACTTGTCTGTATACTGCCTGCGCAAGCCCCTCGATATTTCCTGCTAACGAATACAGAAAAGAAACCCGAAGCTCATGAGGCTGGTCAAAATCACAAGGCCACCAAACACAATCTGTCCAATAGCTCCATGGTATATAATGCTGCAACGAGGAACGACGCTTCGGTCGTCCAATGCTGCAAAGACGTCAAGAAACCCATGCATCTGGTCCATAATATATCCACCCAAAGACAACACAGCTACTCCGAAGAAGAACTGGATGAAAAAGAAGTTATCAACAGAGCTTCTCCATTCTCGTATCCACCTTGGGTGGGCGAAAAGTGTAGCGCCAAACACGGAAAACAGAGCCGAGGAAATTGCGACAATGATCATTGCGCTGCGAAATTCACTCATGAGCTTTTTGAATGTGTCGTACAGGATTGGGTTGCTGGATTCAATGAGGCCAGCTGTTGCTTGGTCTCGTAAAACATCTGCAAAGCGAGCAGTGGCGGAATTGAATGCAGCGACGAGTAGCCAAATCGTGGCGAGGAGAAAGACTCCTAGGCGTAAAAGAATACTGGATGCATCGGTATACTGAGACATGGTGTAGCCAAATGGGGAAGTGGGGATGAAAAACTGCCAAAAGCTTAAGCTGCAAGATTTCAGGGGCTTGGGTAAAGCTCAAAATGAGTAGGTAAAAGGAGTTGGAACAATAGGACAATTATCCGGGAACAAGCATATAAATAGTTTTTTTAGATTATAAAGGCATCGGCAAATGCATCATCATTGCAAGCTTACAAGCCACGATAGATTGGTTGCCTACGATTCCTTTCTTGCACCAGCCTGTCAATAAATACCCGTTATAGCACCAGATATCCTAGGAGCAGATAAGGAATACCATTTATCCCTAGCTATTGAGACAATCGGTTGGAAGGATCATATTAGCATTCCCCAGAACTGTAATTGCTCCCAGGAATTGGACGTAGCTTTATAGGAATCATTTTTGAAATGGCAATGCTTAGAACGAATAGGTATTTTTGGTACCCACAGCTCGCATATTCAGCTTCATGCAAAGATTTGATTTCCTCTCTTACTGTATGATGAGTGCCCTGAACAGTTGGTGTATGCTCAAAACTTTTACATTGCAGTAAATCACTTACTTTCGAGGGGACGGCCTTTGGCAGCGTTGTACAGAAAGAGATGAAATGCTTTAGCTACATACCCGAGTAGCGAGTGTCTAGTAGTTTGAGATATGTTCCAGTAGACCTATTTGGAGGTAGCGATTCTTCGCTGGCTCGGAACCAGAACTATGTTCCACCTGTACCTAATGAACATCACCAGTCTCGTTTGAGTGGCGATTCCAAAAGTATGCCCGAAAGCCCGAAAAATTACTCAAGACCCGCCAGACCAGTCAGCTCCCCGCGAGAGTACTGGCTCCAGTCGTTAAGAATGCTGATCAATCGCTGTCGAGACAATTCCAAATCTCGGTCCAAGAGAAGCAATCGAGACTGCTGCTCGTCACGGTGGAGTTGAAGTCCATCTCTTTCGTCGTTCAGATGCATGTTAGCCTCTCGCAATGTTTGGTTGTCACTTTCGAGGCTCTCGCCATCGAGGTGCTTGGACACGCATGACCTGCAAAGACGTCGGTAGAGACCCAAAATTCGCGCTCCTTGGAAGGCTAAATTTGGATCTTCCCCGCTCAAGATCTGTCAAGTCCCTCATAACGCGCTGATAAGGTTCGTTCACCGACATGACTCGCTCGTATGTTTCCTACTGCGAGTAGAAGAAAAATCATCAGCCAAAGTATTCAAAACATCTGAGAAGGCATCGCGGCCTCGCTACCTACCACTAGGGGGTTCTTCTCGGGGTTTCGGCCAACGCCGATGGGACTGTCGCACTCAAGCGTTTGATCCAACTTGAATTCAGACAGCTGGCCTTCTTTCATGCCTTGGCCGACTCGGACGTCATTTGTGATATTCATACCGGCCATGATGAAAAGTTACTTTTTATTTGGCGGATGAGGGGGCTGTCAATCTCTCCTTTGTAGACTTATCAAAAACATGTGTAGAAGTAAATTACTTCAAATTTTGTATTCGTGAACCAGGATCATATTCAAGGCAGTTGGTTCTTGCGTCGTTGATAATTCAGTCATGACAGGTTAAACATGATGCATCCATGGTCAGGCCCAGGATTCCAACGGTAGACCAAAGATCGGTCACAGCTCTAATTCACCAAACTCTCAACTATTAAATTGATTGACCGATATTTTCGCAATCAAAACTGTGACTCATCGAATACTACCAACGCCTGTTTGTTGTATTGAGAAAACCTCATCCTTGATGACCAGATTGTACTGGCTTTGAACGACCAACTCCCTCCATCCATTCTATGCGCGTTGAAATATGCATGTTTTAATGTGGCAAGCCTCTTGGTCTGCTCGATCTATATTTGAGGGCTGAATGCCCTGAGAATTTGAAGGTTCCGATTGAAAATTCCTATTGACTGAAATCTTTTCAACAGGAAATCCTCAACATGTATTTCCCATTTTCTCTTTTTTTCCAGCTACTCATTCTGGAAAGCACTGTTGGAAATAACATCCCGAACCACCGATATGCGCAACTTCGTCTTTGGGATAGTTGCCATTGCTATGGCAAAAGTTTAGGCGAAGAAGGTATCTATGGCAGCCAGCTCGGTTTGTGTGTGCAATCGCGCGACAATAATACGATTCATTCTGTCAATGTAGAATTTATCGACATAGGGTGTTCAGGTACGTCACTACAGGCCCCAATGGAGGAATTACAGCTAAATTCTTCCAGTCCTCGTTTACAATGACAGATACTGTCAGATTGGGGAGGAAATCGCCAGACACAACACATGTATGACCGACGAGCAAGGATATAGGTCGCATCGGCTGCTCTGCGATACAAAATTCTCCATACTGGGTGCATATCCCCTATATCAACTATAGTGAGGGCAACTACCGGAGGAAGCGCAAATTAAAAGTGCGACATGAGCTTAGCACTAATCATGGCTTCACGCTGTGAAGTATAACTCTCTTGAAAATGAGACAAAGTCTGAAATTCGAAAGTAATTCGCATCTGCAGATTTTTTTTGAGATGTGAATCTGTCGACAATAGTGGAGCAGTTACTTACAGCTGTCTCCTATTGGTTTCTTCTTTACGCCGCTTTCCTTTGCCTTTTGTATATACTTTTGGGGCTCCGAGACAACACAAAGTCACTCTCGAGTATCCCATGGGTCCTACGAGACATGGAGAAGTTGGTTCCATCCACATATCGACTATGAGCCAGTTCTGCAGATGGGTATTTAACATACCCTCTACCTGCCATTCTTTTGATCTCAATCAATCAATCCTATATGTCAATTCTACTGATTGGTTCCCCTTCTGAAAAGATATCCCCATTCATTGCATACTATGCCGTACTGTATTAGCCTGTTCTGACACCTTGATTATGTTTGGTACGGAGTCACCGTCTTGGTTTTGAAGACAACTTTACAGATATCGTGAACGAGTTCGCGGCAGAAATGACCCATACATTACACAATACGGAACACCGACATAGGTCTTGAATGAATCAAGTTGCGCTGGTCAGATTCCTTCCCACCTTTACCGACAGAACCTCAGGGCTTGCTTCTTAGTAAGCCCCTCTCTTGTGGATTCTGTCCAAATCGAGCTCCAGTGGTAATTTACCACTGACATAATATCCTCTCCACTACTATTTGTCGACGATGGATCAATCGGTAAGGTCTGGTACGTAGCAATGGATTATCGCTAAACAGCTGTTCCCTTCTAAGTACATCCGTCCGCCTGTTCCATACATAGTTACTCAGACTCACGGGCTTGCTTCTTAGTAAGCTCCTCTTCTGTAGATCCTCTCCGAAACGGGCTCTAGTGGCAATCAACCACTGACAGCTGAGCTTACCGATAGTTCCTGTTAAGGGGTCTATCCTGATTCGACACTTTTCCCCCTGCTAGGCCAAACGAAGGGTTGGGTGGACCGAGTCAAGACACTTAAAGAATCTAAGTGAACATCAAAGTGAACAAAGCGTGAGACCTCCGGGCAGCGACAGGGGCTCAGGCGAATGGACTCGCGCTCCGCCTGCAATGGCTACCGGGACACTGTGGTACAGTAATGCAGGAAACGACGCAGCAAGATGGCTGAGTAGGAACGCCGCGGGGCTCAGGCAGACCACACCCCTTTCTGCCTCGTACTCGCAAGGAAAACAGGCATTGATCTGAAGCAAGATTGTTGTTATCCAGTGGAGGCAAGCATAGAATTCCACCACCAAAGGTAGTCACCCGCGAAGAGTTGACAACACACGGCCGGCCAACTACATGAGAAGGTTTTACATCATCGTACAAAATGATCGTACAAACAAAAGCCAAGAGAAAGTCGTTGCGGACGTCAGGTCCGAAGCAGGGGAGAACCACTTAGGCCGCGACTTGTCTCCGTTCTCTCGAGCTCAAGTCACGTTTCATTTCCCCGTTGGTAGCATAGCCGCCGTGCCAAAGAGCCTGTTTGACAGTGATGGAGCTGGGGAGATTCTTGAGATCAGGCCTGAGGTATTTCATTCTTGCAGCACGCCACCGACGCGCTTGTCGTCCTATTTGGCCTTTGCGGGGTTTGACTAGCTTCGTTTCACTAGAATATTCATCGGAAACATCTTCTGGCTCGGCTCTCGTGCCCTTGGATCTTGATCTTGCATTATTGATGGGTTGTTGCACTGAGGGTAGGGTAGGGTTTATAGGCGGCGGCCCGGCGGGCAGCGGCGGGGGAGCGGAATGCACTCCGCTATCATGATAAAGTTCTGACGGCGGCGGTGGAGGCACTCTGTGCCCAGCGAATCTGCTTTCTGTCATGAAGACCCGACGAAGTTGATTGTGCTGTTCAGTGTATTTTTCGAAGTTCGCCGCAATGATCGGCCCCAGAATGCTCTTGTTCGGGCCTCGGACGAGTGCGAGGTGTTCCATACGATTTTTCAGGGTGGTATGAGCACTAGCGAAGGTGCGAAGAATCAGGTCGATCGCCCTTGTGCCGCCAGAGATATCGTTGTCCGTATTGTTAGGATCTTCAATAGTGAGACGATCGGGGGTTCCAAATGATTTCTGTTGTGTTTCATGAGTCAGATAGTGCATAAGTGGACCATTTGAACCTATCCCACCTTGCTGAAATATCCCGGAGGATCCAAACAGATTGCCGCTTGATTGTATTGAAACTTGTTTCCGTAGAAATTAAAGAATTCCATGAGAATGCTGCCAGGGTTGAGCTGCATATGTCCTTTGGGCAGATGCTGGAGTAGACTTGTGACCAAGCAAGTGACGGAGAAGCCTCCCAGTCCACCAGTCCGGACTTCATTGAGGCCACGGATGAGCAAAAACTGCTTGACCACTGACAGAATAACGGGCATTATGGGGAACTGCTCCTTCCATGTTTTAAATGTCTCGTTGGCCATCAACCCACTGTTGTTGTCAAAGGACATATCAACACGCAGCCCAGTCAGCCGGTCCACGAACTTCAGGATCGGGACCCGAGCATGGGTAACGCACTCGATCGAACCAGGAACAGCAATATTGGTACTTTCCAGGAAGCCCGAAATTGCGTTTAGTTTTCCTTTCCTCTCACCAAATGAACGCACTCCTGTGCGTCTGAAATTGTCGGACAGTAGTACCAGATCAATATCCGCGGTAGGCAGGTAGATACCAGAGGCAGAAGAGCCAAAAGCATGGATTTCAGTGCCAGCGTATCGACTTTGAAATGCAATATTCAATCGCTCGACGAGATCTCTACGGACAACGTTTCCAAATTCCTGCGGCTTGGCCCAGTCATAAAAGCTGAGAATCTCGCGATCTAACCTAGTGCGGGTTTAGAAAAGGAAAGACTCAATAGCGATCGAGAGGACAGGGGAAGTACAGACTGAAATTCTATGTGCAAGGAAGACGGAGTGGACTCAAACCAAGGCGTACCCGTCTCTTGGGACGGTGGTCTCCACTCCTTGATAACTGAACCGTCGCAGTTGTACTTGCTTGTAGGCTTGCCGGTCTTCCTAACGTGGCGTTTGATCGCACCCCTCCGGTTCGCTTTCGACTCGGGTCGGCAGAGTATACATTTTCCTGGCTTGTTGGCCCTTTGAGGGCGATATCGGAGGCGTTCTCGGGAGCGTTGCTCTGATGCTCTGATTTTTCTGATATCATGCTGAGGGAAACGAAATCCAAGTTCTCCCTGAGTTCATCTGTCTCAGCTGCCTTCGCTTTATCGCCAAGTCTTGGTTTTTGAATCAGCTTGACAACATCGAGCCTTTGATTCGTTTGTTTGCTTCGTAAGGGTATCGCAGTGTAAGGATCCGGGTTGGACCATCTCGGAACAGAGGGGCAAGGGTTTGAAATTGGTGTAGGGTCTTGGGATTCATCAACACTCATTGTGCGCTTCTTGTGTGGTCGCTCAGTGTCGGAGGCATCATCGGACGTGTCCCTTTTGGTCTCTTTGCTATTGCTCGAAGCAAGCAAGGAGGCGAACTTGCGTGGAGGTTTGGTCTTGGTTTCACCTTGGAGTTTTTCCGGTGTGCTATCACTCTTTCTAGATAGCAGCGGTCGGTCTGCAGTGGGAGTTGATGGATTCGGACGCGATCCACGGTAGTTTGGATTCCCTCTGAACTGTAAGGCTGACATTCTGGAGGGTCGCAATCAAGCAAGAGATGATCAGTGAACGCAAATTAGACGCGTGCAGTATTGCTTATTGTTGTAGTTCAGAGGTATCAATTGTCTTATTTTTCAGAGGGAAACATTAGGCTATATATATACAACGAGAAGATCAAGTTGATTTCCAATCAACTTGGTTCTTTATATAGATATCTCGGGATTAATTCCGATGGTTCGGCTTGGTTCCTGATCTGCACCAGCCTCATATCACAACATTCCCCCTCAGGATCGCTTTGCTGGCAGAGCGATACTGGAATTTCGCAGAGCAGTCAGGCCTCGGTAAAACCACTCAAAAACCTTCATGGGAAAATTAAGTGGAAAGAGCGCCTATGCTGTCATGCATGTAGCCTTTGAGTTTCTGAGGCGTCAATTCCTAAGAGACTACAAAACTTGGCAAAGGACATAGGCCCCAATGGCTTAGTGAGGCCATCTGCGGCCTGTTCCTTAGTTGGAACATATTGAAGCCCAATCTCGCCTGCATCCAGCACAGTTCGCTGATAGTGAAATTTCACATTGAAATGCTTCGTTCGTTTGTGGAATTCAGGGTTGCGAGAAAGCGCAATGGCAGACTGGTTGTCAGCCATGATGTTAGTGACCGGAGACCGGTACAGTTGCGTTTCGGCTAGAAAGGTGCGGAGCCACTGCAGATGCAGAATGGCATTGTATTGTCCGATGTATTCGGCATGTGTCGTAGACGTGGCCACTTCCCCTGTCTCTTAGACGACCAGGAAACTGGCGCCCCTGCAAGTTGGAATACATAGCCAGACGTCGAGTATGCTCCGTCAGTAACGATAGAACCCCCCGAAGTCGGCGTCTGTATACCCGATTAGCTGTCCACTGCGGTAGGTGATACGATGAGACTGTGTGGCTTGGATGTAGCGAAGCAATCGCTGCAGAGCAACTTGGTGGTGTGCTTGCGGCTGAGACGTGAAGCGACTCAACGTGCCCAGTGCAAACGCAATATCCGGTCGCGTGCCAACCATCAGATACATCAACGAACCGATGGCAGTCGCATAACGAGCCTTTGCTTCCTCGTCCAGAAGTGCCTCGTCTGGACGATGATTCAGGATTTGCTTCGGATTCATCGGCGTAGGCTTCGGCTGACAAGTTTCCATGCCAAAGTCTGAGAGTACCTTCTGGACATACTGGTGTTGGTGAATGGATACGGATCCATCGACGTGATAGTCGAACTGGATCCCGAGGAACGAGCGTGGCGTCCCCAGGTCATTCAATTGGAATTCTGCTTGCAATGCTCGTTGCACTTGTTCTATCTCATGCGAGTTTGCAGCAGCAATGAGAAAGTCATCGACGTAAACACAGACCACGCAATTGGATTTGTAGAATACACAGTTGTCCGATTGAGCCATGGTGAACCCATGAGAAGCCAGGACGCGGTGGACGCATTGGTACCAAATCCGCGGGGCCTGCTTCAGCCCATAGAGTGAGCGGCGCAGTCGGCATACGTATCCTGACTCTTCGAAGCCTTCGGGTAGTTCCATATAGATAGGCGAATCGACATCACCATGAAGGAATGCGGTGATCGCATCGAATTGGTGGAGTTTCCATCCGCGCAGCACGGCACTGGCAACAATGCAGCGAACGGAGTCCATCCGGGACACCGCAGCGAATGTTTCGTGATAGTCGATACCATGTTTCTGCCGGTAGCCTTTAATGACCAATCGCGCTTTGCGCGTTCCGTTGGCTTTGGTCTTGAAGATCCATTTGCACCCAATTACATGATCTGTGGCGGGAACGTCCTTTCGCGGGACCTTTTCCCATGTTCCGTGTTCGAGAAGTGACGCATATTCTTTCTGGATGGCGGCCCACCATTCCAGCTGGTTTGATCCAGACACCGCTTCACGAAAGGTCGTCGGGTCGACCTGTCTGTCCGATGCGGTGTTCAATGTGCCTGCCGAGTACACCTTGCCGAGTGATTCCAGGAGGCGCCGTGACGGTCTTCGTCTGCGACCATAGATTGAATACCCAAGATCCGATATCAAGTCGGTTCCTTGTTGGCTTGGATTGACCACTGGAGGTGTCTGTTCGTCACGCTCAAATGGCGTTTTATCTTTATCACCTGACAGAGGTAATGGCGATGGAGGTGGTGTAGGCAGCCCACTGGCTGAGCTCGGCATTGATGGAAAGACGGGCGATGGAGGAGCGTTGTCCGGGAGGTCGTTGCCTGTTTCCCCCTCGACGAGTGGCGCCACCGGGGTCCTCTCGTCGAACTCGACATCACGGGAAAAGACCGTCTTTCCCGAATGGATTTCATAGAGCTTGTACTGATTCGGCTCGCAATAACCTAGCAGTCGGCACTCAGACGATCTCGCTCCGAGTTTTGCTCGATGCTCTTTTGGGATTAAGACCCATGCCCGGGAGCCAATCCGTCGTAGATGTAACAGCGATGGCGGCTTCCCGTAGATAATTTCGTACGGGGTCTTTTTCCGGAGGATTGAAGCTGGCGCGCGCAGCTTCAGATAGACCACAGTGTCCACTAACTCGAACCACCAGGAAGGAGGTAGGTTCGCATCGGACAAGAGCGTGTTGATCCGCTCCCGGATAGTGCGGTTGGTGCGTTCGGCCAGTCCATTCTGTCCTTTGCAGTATGGCGGCGAGGTGTCGAACTCAACTCCCTGGCTTTCGAGGTGTGTTCCGATCGGCAGGTATTCTCTTCCATTGTCGGTGAGGAACCTCTTGATCTGGGCGCCGAACTGTCGGTGCACCCAGGCCTCAAATTGTCGGAACTTCTGGAGCGCTTCATGCTTCCATCTCATGGTATACGCCCACGAGCCTCGAGAATAGTCGTCAGTAAAGGTGATCACGTACCTGGAGCCATCTTTGGCCATCGGCATCTCCATGATGTCCGAATGAATCAATTCGAAGATTCTCGTTGAATGCAGACGTGGCCGTCGCGCACGGGAGTTCCTCTTCTGATGCTGCTTACCCGACATGCACGCCGGGCACTGCGGCGTTGCCTGCAGCTGCGCCTGCGTCAGCGGTCGGTACGGAGTGCCGGTCTGCCGGAGGACCACCCGCAAGTCACCCCGGTTCAGATGTCCCATCCGAGCGTGCCACAGCGCTTCGAAGGCCTGGTCCACTCCTGTGCCCGCATCTGCTTCGAGTATCACAGCTTCACCACCGAGTTCAGAGGTTGACGCTGTACATTCTACGTCACTTGACTCTCGAGGGTCGTCGACGTCCATGGCCACCGCCTGCGGTTCCAGGGAATCTGCATGGTCATGAGTCGCCGGCGCCCTCGCCAGTTGGACTCGCTCTCGGGATCTCTTGCTCACATGGCACCGCAGGATCAGTAGATCCTCCTCCGTATGGTAGGCGGTCCCCACCGTCCGTCCTCGGCGTTGCACAAAGACGTTCTGCGGGTGCGCCACCACCGAATAGCGGTCTCGCAACAGCTTCGGCACGCTGATCAGGTTCATCCCAACGCGTGGCGCGAAATATACATTCTTTAACACCAGGGGTTGGTTGAACTTCCCCCGGAGCGTGAGCTTCACCGTACCAATCCCTTCGGCTTCCACTGGATCGCCCGCCGTGTCCCCCGCCGTGTCCAACATCTCGCGATGGGGCCGAAGACTGCTGAAGCAGCTGCGGTCCCAGCAGATGTGGCTGGTGGCGGCCGAGTCCAGGATCCACCGGGGTTGCGGTGTGTGGGTATAAAGGGTCGTCACCCTCGCCCTCACGATATTGATCCTCGGTCTCTTGGAAGTCGGCGGGCCCTGCCGATCTTCCATCTGGCTTGATGGTATGTTTTGTAGATTATTTCTTGGTGAGCCGGAAACACTCCGTTCCGCCTTCAGGGCATGGTCCCTGGGCGGCTGTTGTTCGCGCTGCTTCTTCCAGCACTCCGCAGCTACATGGCCGCGCTTCTTGCAGTAGTTGCATTTCTTGGTGTTCTTCTGCACCGTGTTGATGGAAGGGTTGCTCGTTCAGTTGGGGACTCTCTGCGGGAACGTCGCAGCGTCCTTCCGCAGCACCGTCTGCTCGGCATTCGCCAGACGGTTGCCAATAGTCGCTGGGTTGACGGGATCCTTATCATTTTGGATCGCATCCACGATCAGGATGTATTCTGGTCCGATCTGCGTGAGCAGAATCGCAATATGGGCTTTGTCGCCGATCGATCCAGGGGCGATCACATTCAATCGGTGCACTAGCATCCGTACACGATCGACAAATTCGCGGGCACTGCGCTCGCCGGTGGTTTCACGAAGCTGAGCAAACAGCTCGCAGAACGTCGCGAGTTCCATCCGCCGGTACCGCTCTTCGAGCTCATTCCAGAGGTCGCGGGATGTTCCCAGCCCCGCGACATGGATACTGATCTGGGGGGGATAGGTACCGGAAGATGGTGTGGTAGGCTTCGGCTTCGCGGCGCGACCATTCATGGTGGCGCTCGAATGCCTGGACCTCCACTTCGAGGCGCGCTTCGATGGCGCGTTGCCTCACCGCCCCAACCAGGTGCGGTTCCACCAGAGGGTGGATGTCCGCCGTGATGGGTTTGGCGTATTTGAACGAGCAGTCAGGACGCTCAAGGTCGCCCGACACGACATCCCAGACCTGCCTTGCCTTGAGGTAGGAGGTCATGAGACGTTTCCAGGTTGCGAAGTTGTTCGCTTCCTGTCAAAGGCTCAATGGCTGTAACGGCTCGGTCGGGCGAGTCGTGGACCAGAGCCGACATGATGGTTGATGTAAAGCGGGGTAGATATAATCACGAAAGATTAAGATGATTCTCAGATGAGTAGAGACGGCACCCGAGAGTTGCTCCCGGGCTCATAACCTGTTGTTGTTCAGAGGTATGGATTGTGTTTTTTATTTAGAGAGAAACATGATGCTATATATACAACGAGAAAGAACAAGTTGATTGTAAATCAACTTGGTTGTTCGTATAGATACCTCGGGATTAATTCCGATGGTTCGGCTTGGTTCCTGATCTGCACCAGCCTCATATCACAACAATTACCCGTTAGCAGTTGTGTAACTTTTGGCCGTATAATATATGCTCTTGGTACCTATTTGTCAGTGGCTGTCACACCAAACTCGAGCCGATATCCTCTCGTAGTGATTTCTTGTGACGCGAGCACGACGCCATGCCCTAGGCATTCTAGAGTGGACGGAAAGCGTGCTTCCAAAGCCCCACACCCCTCGGAAAGATCATGTAGGGTAATCTTCCAGTCCTGTTTTCGAATTTATACTCCAACAATGGCTAGGTCAGGCTGGAAAAGTGATCCAAGGCATTGTATCAATGCCACCTGCTGAGGCAATGCGTGGTGTTGTGTGGGAGGAGAATATCGTCGAGGGATTCGGATGGGCCTTGTGTCTCGCAAGGCCATGAATCGTCCGAGCGACATGGCTCAAGCATCGTTCTTAGTGGCTTCGGTGGTGTTTCTTGGGGTCCTCAGGCGGTTGGTACTGTACATCGTGTTTCTTGGAGACAAGTCTTGGAATGATCGCGTAGGGAGCTTCTCTATTCACCGCCTTAATTGCCGGTCTGGCAGGCGGCCCGGGATGATCACCCAGAGATGACCCGGCAAAAGGGATTAACGGAAAAAGATCGCAGCATGAGTGCTTGCTTGGTACTTTCGAGATTTGTGATATTTCGGAGGTGTACATGGAAATATTCATCACCGAAATGAGCAATTATCATCGTTGAGAACAATTTAAATGATGCCGCAGAATTATTTTTTCTGGTAAAGCTTATGTTGATGAAAGTTGACACGATGGTTGTTGGTGTTTTGATTTGGTAGCTGCGTCACGAACGTTGAAGCGACGTTGAAATCCTGGAATAAGACTTCAGAATAGTTTTTCATCGAGATGAAAACTGCGGTTCCAATCGAACTAGCATATAATCAATCGTGAAATGGTTCAACAGGCCACGATATGAGGGCCATGAGGTTGGATATTGGTTCCCAGTTGAGACTTTGTCCATTATGACCCAGAATGAATGGCTAATTATTCTTTCTTCCTGCAGGTTCAATGTCAATATTGCGCCCTGCGTGACCGAGCTGGGAACGACGCGTTGCATCACGTGGAGTCACCTCGTTACCATACACCTGCCTTGCTCGAAAATAAGCCTGGGGCGCACAAGCCACATGGCGCCGGCCATTGACTCTTAGTACAGTTCCCGCTCCCAAAGGCCAAAGAAATCCGGTTGAAACATGGCCGCTCCGCTCGGCTTAGTGGGCCTCAGTTCGGGAGGGGTCGGTACCCTCCGGTTAGCCAAAAGGTAGTATTGCCGAATGTGTGTTTACCTCCCACTGGCCTCGCCTTTTCAAAGCGATGTTAAGTATTATTATAAGACCAGCCACCCATCTTTCTTACAGCTCCCGATCTTTTGTGGATATTACCGTGATATAAACCTGCGGCGTTGTGTACCGAGCGGGAGGTAACCGCAGATCGATGGCGGACCCACCTGCGGGAGGCCCATTCCACAAACAACCAAGAAACCATCGCCAGCATCGCAGGGGACGACCACCAAGCTCGAGCCGTCATCGACGCGGTCGGCTCGCTGAACGAGAATCGGAAACGAATTCGAAGCGGCGATGCCTTTACACCATCGGATCCGGCGGGTCGGATCACGACCAAGGAGGTGTGGAAGCTCATCGGCTCCTTGAAAGATGTCATCCGCCACCAAACCGCAGCAATCGAAACTACCCAGAACGAACTTCAGAGACTTGTACATGGCCAGAACATTCTTCAGGAACAAAATGTCAAGCCCATGAGGAGCTGAATGCTTTGCGAGCGCTATTCGAAGCGGCACCGCCGACGGCCTCAACCAGATCCTGGGCCGAAGTGGCAGCAGGGAATATCAGTCCATCCCAAACAAGTCCACGGGGAACCCAGATAGAAACGAACTGCGTCTGAATATGCACCCAGAGAAATCTGGTGGACTCAAGGGGCAATGAGAACCCTGACCGAAACACCTTTGTGCGATACTCTCAATCAAATCTGCCACAACCATATTCGCAAGACCCTCACGAACGCCGTTTCGACACAAGATGCCCAAGTGGTTAGGGCCGGCACCACCAAAAAACCTATTTCATTCGTTTCAAGGACACATAATTGGCCGAAACGGCCCATAATAACTCTGAATGGCTGGAAAACTTGGAAACAACAGGAAGCTAGTAAAGCCACGTTTCGGAATGGTCGTGCATCGGATTCCCACAGAGAATTTCGATCTGGAAACCTATAACGCCCGAGCGATGGAGAAAGGTATCGCAGAGAACGATCTGACAGAACGGAGCTACCACATTGAGGAGGTAGCATGGCTCAGGAGAGCGGACAAGGCCTTCGGGAAGTTTGCTTCACTTGGGGTCTGGTTCGACTCTGCTGCGGGAGCGGAACACGTCCTTAACTAGCAGATTTGTTGTCCAACGGTACATTGATAGCGTTGAGCGACGAGAAATCAAGAACAAGAGATGTTTCCGGTGTCAACGATTCGGACACCTAGCATGGTCATGCAAGGAGACCCCGCGATGCGCAATTTGTGCAGGTCAACACGAAGGGCTTCCAATAAATCTGGATCGGATAGTGGCGGAGATCGTAGCATTACTGAATAGAAACTATCTAAATATGACAACCTCATGGATGTCATTCGTTGAGCTGCGTTCATTGCACTTCCAGGGGCCTTTGATTACAAGACTGATCCATCTTGTCCCGCCCTAGGAATGAAAAGTTTCCCTGCTGGAATACTTAGCATTAAAGATGCTAATCGATCAATTGCTGCAAGAGAGACCAAAGAGAATATTCAGGACCAAAAGCGACTAGCAAAAGAGTATGAGAAAGCATATGGTAAACCACTAGCAAACCCGGAAATCAGGCATCAGTCGAGGCAGAAAAAACTGCAGAAGTAGACGGAGAGGCCTTTTTACGACCCGCCTTCAATATGCTTGATAAATAGTGTGAACAGCTTCAAAATTTGTTATTGCGGTGCAGGACGCCTAAAGCGGTAAGCGTGCAGAGACGCAAATACAGGGTTGTGGGCGGCCCGCTCGATTTTGCTTTACAAATCCGTATGGTAAGGGGAACATTTCGAATTCAGACTCCTGGCTCTCTTATTCGTGCGAGCCAACCAGGCCCACAGCCGTTCCGACACACTTCCTGGTTATGTAATCATGTGATTTCCTTGGTTTGTACTGTGTTCGAACCGCGGTTTTCGAGGTCACATTACGAGGCCTAGGTGGCTGCATTAGCTTTTCTGCGCATCATCGAACCAGCATTGGTTGCAAGTTGCAACCTTATTGAACTCCGCGGAGGATGTTATCAAAGTAGTGATGGTGCGCTGTATTAAATTGAGAGTCGCACCTTATGCTCAACGGTATCCATCGGCGAATAACTATGGTCTCATTGTCGTGAACATTTAATGTCTCCTCACTGGAAGTGACCGATGGCAAGCGTTATCTCCCCCGGAAGCTTGCAGCATGCCGCAACCTGCAACGGGGAATATTACGGTCGTTCATTATTTCGAAATGATCGAAACTCGACTCGAACGGTCTCGTATACTTGGGATTCCACCCGAACGCCAGGATCATCCGCTGCCGATCATCCCGATAAAAGACAACAAGATGGCCAGGTCCTAGCCAATTCAGTATCATCAAATTCTTCGGCCGCATTTCGCAAGCCTGCGATCCGATATAAACATGGGCAACGTACACAAGCGACAGATAAAGATACAACAGTTGTGAAGAATGTGCATTTCAATGAAACTTTCGAGCAAAGCTGTTTCTTCCTGTCAGCAGATGCTCCCCAGGCATTGATGCCAGGCATAGCTTCGACAAGAAATGGAGAGGACAGCATATCTTCTGATATGAACGAACGAAAAAAGCTTTGCCTGTTGCTCTCCCCGCATGCGTCACTATCAGTGTGGCGGCCTGTTCAGTTAGAGAGCCTGGAACTTTTGCCAACCGGAAATCAGATCAAAGGGACGGTGAAAGTGCTAAATATCGGATGGGAGAAAGTTGTGGCTGCTCGTTTCTCCTTCGATGGGTGGAAAACGGTTTCGGAGGTAGCCGCGGAACATGGGCAGTCCCTGTACTTGGGGCATTCAGTTGTTTCTGACAGGTTCGTTTTCTTGATTAATCATGAAACCTTCCCTCTTGAAATTGGAAACATTATTTGTGTCTGCATTCGTTACAATGTTCTCGGCCAGGAATACTGGGACAATAATGGAGGCACCAATTTCAATGTCACCTTGTCCATTTAGGCAATTGTTTAAAATTGGCACGGTTAGCCTCAAAATCTCTGTTTTATTCATGTAACTCTGTCAGTGATTAAGACGGCTTTCGAACGCTAGTTGAGCTCATGTATTGACCTATGGCCCCAGCTCTTTCTACCTCGAAATTTCGTATGAATACAAACCGCGTTTCCATGGTGAAACATGGTGGTAAGCATTCCAGAGAGTTGGGATCTTAGCCGACTGTGCGACCAGGTCCTTTGAAATATTTTGTTTGTTGTTGGGGATGGTGATGTTCATCCTTGACCGTGGTTTCGCTACGGTCCTTTGAAATTTGCTGGATTGTCGTATTGGACACATCCCCCAGGAACTGAGTCGTATGCGCTTTGGCTATGACTGAGCGTGCGGTCGTTGTGTGCCTGCTTGCAGAGCCAATAAATTGGAACACATTCTCCTCTGCAACGACATCCTCAAAGATGTTGCGACGTCCATCTTCTCGGTTCACCTCAGGAGTGAGGTGTTCCCTTTCAGTCGTTTCGGGATATTGGACTCCTTCACTCATGGTTTGTGGAATATTTGAGCTGAAGATTCAACTTCGGGGCTGGGGTAGTTAAAGTGGCTGGTCGCCCATCTCCATGACTCATTAATAAGCCATCCCGCGTGTAACGTAACGTAATTCCCGGCCGTCTCGAACACCCAGCCGTCCCGAACACCCCAGACACCATACTAATTACGATATTTCAGATTATGATATTTCAACCCACAAGGGTCTATATAAGTTAATGGGATATTCAAGTATTAAATATGTCATATTACGTATATTTATCAGGTCAAAAACTATTTTCAGGTTCTGTAATATTAATATATAAATATGCATCACCTTGTCGGCGTGTATTTCAGTAATATATGTAAATAACAATGTAATCTATTTATTGATGAATCCATACTAGTTAATGTATTACCAGTAACTATCCTACCAAAAATCAAGCAATATTGTGTTCTTGTTGTTGATATATAGCGACCTGAAATATCGCGTTTACTATGGTGTTTAGGGGTGTTCGGGACGGCTGGGTGTTCGAGACGGCCGGGAATTACGTTAACGTAGATCCCAGGCTAACCAATCACCCCAGCCAAAACGCGTCCTTTTTACCTTGCATTTTCCAACACCCAACATGCCACCAAAAATATCAGACAGCGCCAGAAATCGCCAGGGAGAGAGGGCAGGGCCTTCATAGCTATCAAAACATCGCAGCTCTCTGCTCTAGGAAATGAGTTCTGATTTCCGTTGAGGGCAACCCTTTCATCTTTCAGTGTAGGCGGTATGATCCCGGTATTTGAGTTTAGTGGCTTGCGTTGGTTGGTGCGCGAGGAGCGAATCATGTCAGGGGAGCAAGCGCGCGACTTTTTTGAGTGTCCTGGGTTTTGCCGCGCGCTATCTAAATGCGGAAAGGTCCTAATTCGAATTTCTCACTGGATGCTTACCCCGCAGCCTCTCACTTTCACATAAATTTACTGCTTTCCACTCGCATTACTAGAAAGTAACCGATCGTGCTTTTTTGAATTTACTCCGCCATTATTGTTTGAGGATATCTCGATAATTTACTATGGCGGAAGTCATCGGTACCGCATCTGCTGTCGCAACCTTTGTGACTCTGGCTCTTGAAACTTCTATAAACCTCTACCAGACAATTCAGAGCCTTCAATCGCGGGAAAAGGTGATCCGTGAGCTCCGCCAGGAATTAGAAGCTCTTCAAGGAGTACTTCGAGCTTTGGAGGAGTCGATCAGTAACCTTGATGTTGATCTAGCGTCGCTTGAACAACCGCTCACGAGGTGCAAAAATGCCTGCGAGGATTTCAATATTCTTATAATGAGATGTACCTCACATTCCACCCAACAGCGGAGTAGCAGAAGAGACTGGCTCAAGCTGAGATATATGGGAGACGATATTTCGGGGTTCAAGAACATGTTGGCGGGATATAAATCAACTATCTCAATCGCGCTCGCATATGCAAATTTGTAAGTGCCTGCCCTTCCATTATCTTATAAGTTTAACATTCTATCATAAGGAGTTCAACGAAGGTTACGAAGGCTGTTCTTGAGGAATTTAAAGACCTCATAGAGAACACCAAATGTGATCTAGAAAGTCACTTGAACGATATTCGAACACGGCTACAGACAGCAAATACTAAAGGTCCTGTGGTTGCTGGTATTGAGGCAGCCGAGCTTCGAATAATGGAGGATGAGAAAAACAGCACACAAAAGAGCTTAGAGATTTGTGAGCAGTTTCTTATACTTATAGACCAGTCGCGACCTGATCTATTGGGGAATGTCACAGAATTCTCGAAGCCTTTCGAACTTGTGCCTTCATCCGTGGCTCCTAATTTGTCATCGTTGATCAATGCAGAAGGGCTCAATTCTGCACATAAGGAGCTCACAAGCTGGAAACTACGACTGCTCCATCATCTGTATGGAATTGATCGAAACATTCAGGGACAACGGCGCTACCTCACTTCGTCGGATAATGAGCAGGCGCCTGAGGAACAAGGCTTTAGGGAAGAATTAAGCGGCACTGAAGCACTGTTAGCTTTCTGCAAGCAAGCGGAAGAAGAAGCGAATCGCCCACGAACTCACTATTTTGAGGATGTCACTACAGGCGATAACAGCCGTCAAGCCCTTGTCACCACCCTCGAAGACCTCATTTCTGCCAAGCGCATAAAGGCTGGTGATAACTCATATCAGGCGCTTGGCAATATGTCGGACGACAGTATACAGTCGTTCTTCCGTCGCCCCGGGCCTAGTGATAGCTCGGCCAACCAAGAAAAGCAGAAAGGGAATAATCCGAAACGTTAGGGAAGTAATGCACTTTGCTGTTGCTTTCAAATGAGAGATTCTTGTTGTTCAGATGGGCCTGAAAGTGATTTCTGAGAATACTATGGAATACAGTAGCATCTCAACTGTGCTCACAAGTGACTGAATGTGGCATATTGCGTAGGCGGGCATTTTATGCCCTTCACATGTTTTCAGACTCGCACTGGTATTGCTAATAGCCATGTGAACCTCAGATGGTTCTACATTAGGAGCCAAGGCTGAAGGCGGAACGGTGGTCATAGACCTCGCCCAGAATTCACTACTTCCATGCCGCTCGAGTTCGGCTAGTTGAGTATATAGGGAGGTTTATAAGTAGGTTCGCTTTCAAGAATAGACACAGTATCAAGTTTTGCAATTTCCTACCGCGTTATATTCCTCTTTATTTACTTCCTGAGTTTCTTTAATGATAATGCAATGTGCTACTTGTAATGTGATGTGTTTCCTCGGGTAGCGGTAATTGTTTGACAGTCTTTTATTTTCTGATACTACGATATCGGAGCCGGGGGCAGTCAAAAGGGAATAGAATCGCCTAGAGTGAACTGCTTCAGAAAAGTGAAGCCGTTGTGGCAGCACTACTGGAGTACCAAAATTTGTATGCGCTGGAAATAGCCCAACCTGACTGCCACGTCCTGCTCGAGCTCTTCGAATGACAGAGTGACAAGGAGCCTTGTTTGTGACTGAACGGGGATTATCAGAAAGTTGGGAAAGGTGTCTCAAATGTGGGGCTTCGTCAAAGGATATTGTTAAATGTTACGCCAGTCAGCACAATACAGAATGGGATTCCAATGTAATCGAGGTGCAATTCCCCTCAAAAATGCTTACAATAGCCCGAAAAGCGTGGGGTTTAGTTTCTACTAACCGATTACACTATTTCTTGCGTGTTCAATATACAGCTTACCTCATACGTCCAATCATGATGTATTTGGAATGGTTACTATAGGCTGCTAGCTGAAACAGAATGCCTCAAAACAGAGCCCCTTCTTTACTGCCAGGGAAGTACATGTATTTGCTATTCTCATGTCTGATAGATTCTCGGCCTCTTGCAAGAGCCAGCTCATATCCCGAATGCTTCTCTTCACGGTTGAGTGTGTTGATAAAGTAAGACCGCCGTGAAGTCTTTCCCCAGTCTGGTCTCAGCTTCCACCTGGGATTGAAGGCCCTTTCATCCGCGATGACTGGGAAAATCGGAACTGCCTAAAAGCACGCGGTGCATTCCTTCAAATCCGTCCACATCCGTCCCAAACATGGAAGGACTATAATTCAGTATCGTCGCCAAGACAAGGGCGCGGCGTGATGAAAGATCTGGCGATCAATCTTTCAATAGCTCAAAGATCGAACTGTAATGACGAGAAGTTCGACCAACCAGATGAATTCTCAAGCTCTTTCATTTGGCCGTCTTCTCTTCTTTATTATCTTGTAGCGAGGTCCATGCATAGGTGTGCTATTCGGCAGAGGTAATGAGGCTGAAAGACCATAGCTTACCCGCCGAGGCGGTTGTATGGAGCTGGGCTGACCGCGAATGAAAAGATCATGATGGTAGACTGCCCCAGATTTGTGAAAACCATGATAATAAAGCCGCCGAATGAAGGATTGATAGCTTTTTGCGGAGAGTTGATCAAGAATGTTCGGTGGAATTTCGCTTTCCTGGGCAATCCAGACAGATCGTCCGTCTTCCGACCAACGCATTGCTTCTTCATTCGCTGGCTCGTCAAGTATACTTGTACAAGTTAATTGAGAACACAATGTCTTGAGCAATTTTGTTCCGCATAATCTACTTCACTTACTCACTGAGGCTCTGGATGAAATCAGAGTCATGTAACCTGTTTCCTTCACCGGCACCATTGGCTGATGGTGTAATACTTCGCGGAGTGCCATTTCCAGCAAGATTGTTCCCTATTGAAGGCTGATCGCATGAGGCTCCATTGAATGGCGGACGTTTTTGGTCGCTATTTGGACAATGGAGATCCGTTGGAACGCGGAGTGGACGCTGGTCACACACAGGTTGATCTTGAAGATCTTTGGTCAAGCTTTGGCAAAGGACAGGACCCTGAGTTATATCAAGTCCAGGACTATTTCCAGGATTCGAGTTAAGCAATTGATCTTGAGAAGATTGAGTAACCTTATCACGATGGTTTCGAAGATACTGCTCAACGAGGGAGACTTTCTCAAGGACTGTATGCTCTCACGTCAGTTATTCGTGTCGCACAGTTCACCAAATAACCTACCTTCATTCACTTCGCGCCGAGTATCATCGAGCTCATGTAATGTCACTTCACATGATTGTAGTTCCTTTTTGTAGTCATTTCTATCAGGCCAAGGGGAAAGGAAACGCCAAGGTCGGCCGGAGCGGAGTAATTCCAGGTCATGAACTGACAGTTCAACCTTACTTCCACCGACACTAAATTGTGATGAGCCCTCAAACTGGGGCCCGGCAAAGAGGATAATTGCTGTCCAACTCAGCGGCGTTCCCTCTTTTATGAAGGGTACTGCAGTTGAAAAGAGACGTTCCACACTCTTGCTTAAGCGAACGCTGGTGAGCTCTTCTCCACGACCGAAAGCAATACTGCCAGCCCCATGTAACACCGACAAATAATCGTCTAACTTCGTCGAAAATGCAGAAAGGGGAGTATCAGCAAGACTCAGAACGCTGAGCTCTTTATCCTTACGTCGACTGATGAAATCGTGCACTTGGTGTCGATCACTTTGCGAAAGGTTTTCGCTGTTCTCATCACTAGAGCAGGCCATAGTCATAGTTTCACTTCCTGGGGGCTTTGCTTATATGAAAGAAGGGGAAGAAGACTGATGTCGCATCGTTGGCGGCTCTTCAAATTCCAGGCGGTGGATTTTCTGACGCCCCTGATTAGTCATATCAGACGGGTCAAAAAGCTTAGGCCAGGCATAGTGTCACATCGCGCAGGAGCGTGCTCAGTTTTAGTGGACAAAAGCGGCGAGAGAGTGAGCGGAAGGGGAGCGCCAAGACTTGCGCGCTTTGAAATCGATCCTCTATTCTTCGCTCCCCACCGGCAGAAATCATTAAGTTCCTTCATATGATACACTCCGAAGAATACCTTAAACTAATTTCTCGGCATCGACAAAATGAGGAGAGCTATACTCCATTTTCTTAGAGGATCTTAGCAATTATGTTACGCTGGACAGGAATGGTCGGAGTAAATAAAACCATTGGCTTTACTACGAGCTGAATCGATCTCTCTCTCTACTATAGTATAGGCGAAGCTACTATGTCACCCTGTGATTTCATACCGACATTCTCTAGTCCATAAATTCCTCCGCTCACCGCTTTGATTTTAGACATAAAGAAATGTAATGGTGCAAGGGGGTGTGTATCAGCGCGCAATATTTAAAAACTATGCAGATCCTTGACAGCTGAACGCATCGCTTGCGAGATCGAAGGATGCGGCATAGCAATGCAAAATCACCGAATGATTTTTTCACGATCTGTTTTCTGGGCATAAGTGCCGGAAAGCCCCCAGCAGAGTTTTCATTGAAAATTTTCTCAAAGCGTACGCTATCTAGACAATGGTACAAGTGCGAGGTGATCCGCGTTGACCACTGCGTTCCTGAGAAATTCAGTATGGCAGCACAACCAAACAGCTTCGAAAAACTTCCTCTCATGGAATGTAGACACAAATTGCATTCCAGATGTCAACAAATCCTATATGAGAACGCTTTTAATCCATGGATCGAGGACATTGACTCTGGCAGCAGACACCTGAAAATGCAGGAGTTATCCACTAGTTTAACTAGCAAGCTAATATTGCTAGTGTCCACATTCTCGGTGTTACTGCTCGCTAACGTGACAGTTGCTACCCCGAACGTCACTTCCTGCCGCTGTCTCCCACAAGAGAGCTGCTGGCCCACGCAACAGGATTGGTTTTCCTTTAATCGCTCTATCCAAGGGAATCTTGTCGCAGTCCGACCCGTTGCGGATGTCTGCTACCGAGCAGAATTCGACAAGGAAGCATGCCAGAAAATCACTGCGTCATGGTCATATCCCGTATGACGAGCGGCTGAGCCTGGTGCGGTACAATGGGAGAATTGGGAAGCTTGGCCGGAACGGGATGAGAGGTGCTATAATGAGACTTCGAACACAACATGCAGCCAGGGAAGCGTCTCACTATACTCGGCAAAGTCGAGACTGTATCTCAAATCCAGGACACAATTCATTTGCCGAAGCCCATAACATACGACTTGTGATTAGGAACTCAGGCCACGACTTCCTAGGCCGCTCCTTGGCTCCTGAATCTCTACAGATCTTTACCGGTGACATAAGGGCATACAGCTACATGAAAACTTCATACCAAAAGGAACATTTCAAAATAGCAGCGGCGAAGGCCCCGCTGTCACCGTCGCGGCGGGTGTGAGCGTTTCGGCTTTGTACGATGCAGTCTCGGAGCAAAAGCAAACAGTCATCGCAGGAGCCGCGAGAACTATCGGAGTTGCTAGTGGCTGTATCCAAGGAGGAGGGCATTTCGTTTTTGGACCGTGGAAAGGGCTGGCCGCGGACAACGCTCTTGAGTTCGAAGCGGTGTTAGCCAACGTAAGGAAAAATGTCGAAAAAATAGATTCAGCGGGGCTAATGACAGTACTCAGTTCTAGGGAATACTTCTTTATGCCAATGAATACCAGAATTATGACTTATTCTGGGCCCTGCGAGGTGGAGGTGGAGGCACTTTTGGCGTCGTTGTCAGTGTCACAGTCCACACGTTTCCTGAAGTTCCAGTCGTGGTAACCAATCTCAATATCACCACTGCGCTCGGTAGTTCCCCAAATTTCTGGGATGCACTTGCTGGGTTTCATCGAGCTCTACCTTGGTTTAATGACGCTAACAGCGGCGGTTATTACCTCGACTGGCCAAAGTACTCCCGTAATGCGACTACGGATATCTCCATGATATCTGTCTTCTTGGTGTTTGCCAGCACATCAGACACTGTCAAGGCCGACCGAGTATATTCGTCCTTGATTTCAAAATTGAATCAGGTTCCGGGTATCACCACTCAATACAAGTCTTTCGTATCCCCAGGCATCAACTCCACCATGCCGGCCGTTCTATCACAATCAATTGGCACGGGTGGTATCGGTCTTATGATGTCACGTTTATTTTCTAAGGACCTCTTGATCTCTGGAAATAGCCCTGAAGGCTTGACGAGGGCATTACGCAACCTCAGATATTCTTCCGATGAGCCAATTACAGGAGTTGTGGTCGCAGGTGGCACCGCCGCAAGCACATTCACGCCCGCATCCCAATCATCACCAAAAAAAGCTAGCAAAATATCTGGCGACTCTTGCGCGGTGATAACAAGCCGTCGAATATATAGTCTCAAGCCAACGAACGGTGGTGGTGATGTAACACATGGGCCCAGCGAGATGTCGTCGACGTGAGAAAGCCGTTGGTAAGGCAAGCGGATATTGATTAGCGCGGCCAGCGACTGCACTACTGGTGTGTACTGACCGTGTTCTAAAAAGTGCTGCACACAACGGTTATAATGTACTATCCAGAATGTGGGAGCAATTCTCTCAAATCCGCTATCTCGAAAGACTGACTGACCGGAGGTTTGCTGTTCGAGAGTCAAGCCAGGCTGCACACACCTGCCTGAGGCCGGTTCAAGCTTCCCTCCTTGTGGGATCCAGCACCAGGACAAATGTTTTCAAGCAAGCGAGTCATTATTTGTACGAGCGAGACAACAGGGTAAAATATTAATCCTGCGCTGAACCATGCCAGACGAGTACAGAAATCTTCGGTGTTGCGGGGATTTGCATTGCTGGATCGCCACATTGTGCAGAGCATACTTCGGATTCTTCAACAGATTATTTTGGAACGGGTTCGGCGCTATTGCAGCCACCTGTCTATCCTTCCCTAATAGAGGATAGCGGTGGCAATTTCAGCTAGGCTGTTGGATCCCCTGTACCGATGGTATTGTCCTGTCACCCTGATACGCACTACTCATGCATTAGGGTTAGACCAGTATCTATAGTACTGGATCATGACCCACAGAACTCCATACTCATGCTACAAGACGAACTCTATATTGTATAATTGTTTTTGTTTATGTGTCGGAACAATTGATCATATAATCAGATCTTTCGTCTGCTTTATTAGTCAGCATACCACACAAGTTGCTGTGTGGCAGATTAGAGAATACCTGACAAGTACATATATGTGACCCACACCATTGGTACATGTTTTTCTACCTTGATTACGTGTTCAGAGATTATGCCACTGTCACGTGCTTCTCTGACACACTTTTCGTGTCATCGTGATCAGTCTGCAGGTTGTCGAATCTCAAAAGGTGCAGGTGGGTCCAATGAACCGATGGTCCGTTCACATAGCGGAGTTCGTATGCATTTTCCACATCATCAACACGATGGTCAAGACTGCTCAGTAGCATTCAAAAAATGGTTGACAGTAGGCAATCAATGGCGTCGATCCTGTGCGACAGCAGCAGGCCTTGCCGGCAATTCAAAACGCGAGGAGCAGATTTGAATCGTTCACGTGATATTTCACGCCACAGGCCTATGCAAAATACATATATTCCGCCCTCAACTCACCAAGTAGAGGACGTGCAGTTGGTGTAACATCTTGCTTAGTAGGGCCAATGTGGAATTCGTCTACCAAAGACGGACGTCAGCGAAAGATTGACAGAGCGACCGTAGTCAAGATAATTGTACTGTACGTAAGTCGAGCAGACTTTCTGATGATAGTTGCGATCCCATCTTGCAGGATCTTCCTTGAGCTCCGGGATCGCAGCGGGGGTTGAGTTTCATGCATAGCGGGTCTGCTCCACACAAAGTCGCTGAGTGGGATTCGAAGAGCTGCTGTCACCGAATACCCTCCTTGGCCCTGCTACCGCAAATTAAATGTCTGGTCTCCAGAGTCGGGGTATCAGACCCCGCCGATCTGGGACTAGCATAATTCGAGGAACCACAAAAGCTGAGCTAACTCCGAATTACTGCCACACTCGGCCGGAACTCTTTAATGGCGGTAAGACGCCTGCGTCGAACTCGAGTTTACTTACGGAAATGATCTGTAGATTACTGAAAATCTGTTCGGTGCAAGCGGACCGACGGACGACGCCCAATGAAAGTCTAATGACTTTACGTTTCTATAAATTCAGGATTCGGCCCCACTTTCTCGACCCTGATCTCTGATCATTTCCAGTGGAAATATATCTTATTGTGTGCCTTCAATATTTCCAAATACAGCATATTTCTGCCATGCCCACATCCAGATTTAACAACAATCTCATCTCCACGGCGGTGCCGATTGGCCATGTTTATCTAGGGGATGATGAGACAAATTACCTCGGGAAATGTTTTACTGGCGAGATAGAGAACGTTCGCCTCACATTGGAGGACCAATATGGCCGAAGCCGGCACTTGCAGTGCCAAATTGCTGAAGACGTGGACTTCCTCCCTAACGAAAGCGTTGTGCTATTAAAAGACCAGAGTGAGCAGTTTTATGGTTCCGACTTTATGAATTATCGCTGACTATGCACTTCAGGGGTCCACAAGTTTTATCTTCAACAGGGCAGCAAGAAGACTTGGCTGCTTTAATGTATGCAGCTAAAGATTTCTGTACGTGTATTGCGACATTAAACCTGCGTTACGCGTTGCTAACTGGTCACGGTTAGTGGTTAAACAGTTGGTGAACCTACCTTGTTATTGTTATCAGGGAGATTTAGACCTCGACATGGTTGGGTTACGGTTCTGCAAGTCGGAACCCGGAGTCGGACCATACGGATCACAGGTTCCAACTTTTAGAACTGGAACCGGACCAACCGTCCTGCGGGATCTTCCCGGTTCGCATCTGCAGGAACCTGGAGTACATAATTTTGCCAAGGAATTTCCTATTTTGGGTGCATAAATTGCTGATTCATCCTCTATTATCACTGGCGTATTTTGCCGAAATATGGAACTCAATAACGAACAGCACCGAAAAGAACCCACTGTTTATTAATTCGTCCAGCCCTTTGCTAGGGCCTCTTATTCTATACTTTCGACCAGGTTTTATCGTTCCTCGTCAGAATGAGAAGGAGAAGCAGAATACATCGAATGACGTGCCTGTTGTTATTCTTTTCCTATAAAAATATAAGATTCTTCGATCAAAGCTATTCCACTTTTTCTACATACCTCAACCCTTCATCTATTGACACTCAAGTTGAGCTAAAATAATGGAAAATACCCTATGTGACTTCGCAAACACCGGCCCCAGCGCTACTGCAATCAACGATGAGCACAAGAGCTACAGTTACAGAGATCTCATTGCAAGGGCTGATGTCTTATCATGTGAGCCACAGAAAAGAGATGACTCTACATCTATCTCACCGTCGATAATTCTCCTATTTCTGATGAACCACCGATATCTGTTTGGATCGGAAATGATCGAAGTGCTCATGTTAGTCTCCGCCTATTTCACCAAGCGACATAGTTTCACCGTTTACAGGCCCGTTTTGGATACGTTTGAATGGCCCTCACTTTAGGGGCTACTCCCTTTCCTCTAATAATAGTTTTAAAAGAGCCTTTGTGTTGCGGTCTTACCTACCTCACGACGATCCTCTTTTTGGTAACAATACTATGGAGACCTCTTGCCTCCTACGATTCTGACTAAACGCCTAGGTTAGCACTTTGCAATAGGTCTTGTCTCAACCACCGAACTCAATATTTCGATTGAGCACTAGTCAGCACTAGTCAACACTCCAAACTGGAACCGAGATCCCCGTATGATTATCTCGCGGGATACGGAGACATCTTCGCGTCCAAAGTAGCCCCGAAAACAGTTTCTGGATCGGATATCTCCTCCGAAAATGGCTTGACCGGGCTGGCAAAGTGCGCTAGAACATCATATCCGGACAAATAATAAAATTTGGAACCTCGTCTCTCGCTCAGGAATAAAACTGAGCGAAGCAGGTACTTTGCGGGTCTTGAAGAAACAAATAGCGACATCAAAAGGCAATGCAGATAGCACAGTTCTGCTCCGTAGCGATAGCAGAAAATAACCAGAAAAAAAGAGCTGTCAAAATGGGCAGATCCGTCACAGCGTATAGGCACTCACATACATGCAATCAGACCTCGATCTCACATGGAACCCTAACAAAAGAAAAAGGGGAAAAAAGACGACGACGACGTAAACATCATTCAACGTTTGATCGGCGAAACAAACTGCCCATGATCAGTGAATAGATTTGAATGAGGTGGCCGCTGTTGTGCCACCTCGTAGCAATAAAGTACAAACCCATGTTGATGAATGTTGAAACGCATCATCGATGCCTTTCTGCGGCAGCCCCACGACCGTTTAAACGAGGCCAACAGTGAGAAAGGTTTTTTTTTCATATACTGGGTCACCAGGAAAAAATTCAATGCCCATGAGTGCTGCGTTAAATCAATGATGAAATGTTGAGCCAACTGCAATTAGAGGGTCAGCTGTGTTGGCGCCCTCACAATTCGCAACAATCATTAGATCAGCGCAAGTAGAATGTCCGGCTGCAATGCTATAAATACCCGATCCCTCACCAGCAGAGTGGTCTTTCTCAAATATTCCCTTGTCATCCTGGAGCAAAGAATATCGAACACTTCTCGACCTCGCCAGCTGCTCTCCTCCAGTATGGACTGACCCAACCCCGAACTGTCATGCACTTGTGATCGAACTGACATGTTGTATCGCCCCTAGTCCGTGTATGCTCGACACTGGAATCTGTAAACGGCAGGTAAGTTTAGTTGCCCGATCATTTGGGACCATGCTAACGTGGAAGATGTTTAATATCAGTTCCGTCTCGGCTGTTCCTCTGGGAATTCGATCAACAGACCTGGAATGGTCTCGATAATAAATCCAGGTTGTGAAGACAGTGAGTTATGAAGACCTCTCATAAGCTACCTACTGATGGTTTATCATAGATCGAAACCATCCACTACTCAGCCAACTTGACCAAACTAGAATGCCGCACGCAGCAGTAGCTGTCAAAGTTTCGATCACTATGGCAGTTTCAAGAATAGTTAGCCTGTGCTGACACCTCTCTGTATAGGAAGCCGATTGTTTTACCATGAGTCAGACCATGTCTTGTAAGTTGCCCCATGCGTTGCCACTGCCTATTCCCAACGCCCGGGACTGCAGAGTCTATCTGTTTGTGCCTCTCTGTTCTTCAAAAATATCGCTGATGTCCTTTTCTGGTCATAGGGCGAATGTGAATATTGCACTCGACACGACCGAGCCGCATTCCCCCATCGTCCTTGAAACTAAGCCAGGTGCACCAGCCTGATGGGCCCAAGCCCCCCCAGTATGCTTGCGCCTTCGTTGTTTCTAAAAACTTGGTTGAAACGGCCACTTCACCTGGCATATTTAGCGGGCCCAATTCAGGAAGGCTTGATGTCCTCCGGTTAGCCATACAGTAACATTCCAGGTGTTTTCATCTCTCCAGCACTACCCTGTCCGATCGAAGGTTAACTGTCACTGCATTAGGAACTTGCCCTGTTCCGACGGCTATGAACCTCTTGTCCCACGTCCGATCCGAAGCCTCGTCGGCAGCCATGAGCCGGTCCCACGCTAGACCGAGCGAGCCATCGCAGCATCCGGCGACAACAAAGAGAAATATAGCATCGACGACCACCGAGAAAGACCACGATTCCTCCGAAAGCATCATCAACCAGTAATGGATCAACTTACTGGCCACAGTCTGGGTGATAGCTCTGTCAGGGCCCGGTTGCAGCTGAGCAAGCGACAAGCCAGGCCGCAGCATTGGATCTACCCCAGAACTCTCGCCGCGAGAGCAGTCGTTTCAGTTCAGTTCCTAGTTTGCCCTAGACCAAATACCATGAATCTCTCCTCCAGTGATACTTTGTCCTGACACGGTTGAATATTTGCCTGGCGCACGAACAGCAAAGACGAAACAACTATGCATTGGAAGATATGACCCACATCCATTCCCCGCGGTACGGAGTGATTCCGGGCCGTCGTGCACGTGTGATCGAGCTGACACCTGCTACCTCGTCTCTGATTTGTCCATGCTGATGCCAGACTATATTGATGGCAAGTCTCTACCACCCTCATTCACCGGAAATCATGCTGACATAGGCAGTGAAACACAGCCCTGGTCCGGCCGTTCCTAAGAGTCCGATCGGGGTAGTGTATTGTGGCTGTTATTGGGAATTTCATCTAGGCCGCGAGTAAGGTAAGTTGCGAAAACCCATCTTGCGCCAGCGGCTAATAAGTGGTGTTAGATCGAGTGTATCCAACGGCAAATTTCTTTGGCCGTGTCCCAATGCAGACGGTGATTCAAAGCTGCCCCCATGACCTGAGCCGGAAAGTACGTTTTCACCACTGAGATAGTCTGAAAGCCAACTGACCCATATTGTCAAGTCGCTATAATAGAGCTAGCTATTTTCCCCTAATGCTATGCTCAATGCAGCCGCGAGCAACCGAATGCCTCCTCGATTTCACCACCGAGTGGCACGGACTCGCCGGCAGAAGCAGCCTCGCAAGTACGGCCAGTCGATTGCCGCGACGGTCACAATGGCCCAATTGTTATTCGAAAGATGCCAGGTCGGTTTGTGATACATGGTGGGGAAGACGTGCTTGTTGACTTCAAACGTTGCCGCTAATGTTTCTTTCAGAGTAGACATCTCACGTATGCCCCACGCGACTCGCTCAGGAACGACGCGCTGCGACGCGTGAGTGCACCACACCGCCTTATCCCTCCCGCGGCACGCGATCGGTGGAGCAGGCCCCTGAATCGGGGTCTCGATGACTCTAAATTCAAGACCGCCAGGTGGTGCTGACTTCGGTCGACATGCCCAACTGACTACGGAAAAGCGGTTTCGCCATTCTCAGCTGAGGTGGTCAAAAAGCAAAAAAAAAATCACCCGTAGAGAACCGGGAGATGACTAGGAAAAAATCAAGCGGGTTGTGATTACGAGGGCGAGTTACATGAGCGAGATCCCCCTTTCTGACGAAAATTCAACCGAACGTACCCCGCCGGAATCGAACCCGGGCTGCCGTTAGAAAGTAAAAAGGCCAATTCCACAATATCAAATAAGGGACATGTGCTGGCGGCACTCCATTAGGAGTGCAGCAGTTCCACTGTACTTCCTTGATCCAGGCGAGCGCGCTAACGGCAGCCGACGGGTTGATTGGTTGCACAGAAGCGTGAAAATGGCGGACCCGAGGCGGGACGATGCGAGGCGGGACGTTGGTGATATGAGAAAGCCGTGAGTGGGACCAGGGGTAACTGAGTTTCATTTTGGTGTAATTTTGTCGGGTGGAACAGGCCTGATAGTACCCCCGCATCGCAACATATTTAGAGCGAGTTCCATCGGGCAAATGAATCATCATCGTCATCATCATTTGGACGAACATCCTTTTGACAAACGCTGCTCGGTCGGTAAAGGGTACCCTGCTCGTCGATTTATTCAGGCATATTTAGGCAGAAAGGCAAGCATTTCCCGACCTTTTCGAATCGAGTCAACTTCAGAGGCGGGGCGAGTACTACCCAAGCTTGATTGGTCAGAGCAATCGCCAGCTCCCGACTCAAGATTACTAGTCTTCGCCCTCTCCTTTTTCTCATCTCCATGGGTACATGAAGGTCGCCCAGGTGTGACTCAAGAGGTAGGCACCGACTGAAATGCCGCCTGGAAACCAGTGGTCAGCCGACGAGGTGACTATTGCAGTTTATTTTTCCTCGCGACAAATCTGCTGTAAAGCAGTGCGCTTCCTGCTCTTGCGTCGAGGCTATGACCGTTCTGTCCCCGCCATCGAACGCAAGCTTCTCTCGATATCCCAACAGCATCCAGATTTGCGGTCTTCGGAAGGCAATTGGGAATTGAATGTTGCTGATTCTTGGATCGACGCCGTCCTTGGTGACCATGAGTCGGTCAACCAACTGATTCGATTTTCATCGGCGGACGCAGAAGATGTGATAACTGTATGTTTCAGACTCGGGTTATTATGGCCTTATTTTGCGCTCACGACTTTGCTCACCCAAAGCAGAATCAACGAACCTCTGACCTTCTGAAAATCTTCGAGCTCCTTAATCGTCGTTTTCGAGGTTCTCAGAGCCCCTGGGAGCTGGAAATGCACCGCACTGAAGTTAATCAGCCGGCAGCGATGGTGTAGTGGCGGGTACTCCGAGGAAACCTACTGTGGGGTTCCAAAAGCACAGTATACGCTACGCGAAGCGAAGAATCGCTTAAACTGTGCTCCACGCCCTCGCCCTGGTGCTCCGCGGAAGCTCGGAGGAGGACCGAGATCATATATACGACACTATTCAAAGGGAGCCCTCTATCAAGCGAGAATATCTCCTCCCTGAGGTTGATTGTAAGATAAAAAAACTTCGATCTGGCGCCTCACACACGAGATGGGCCTTCGGAAGTGGCGAAGGCTTGAACGGCCTGCCTTAAGTCTGATTCACGCTGCAAAACGACTTGCCGGGCTTCACAGTATCAACTGTTTGTGATATGAGGCTGGTGCAGATCAGGAACCAAGCCGAACCATCGGAATTAATCCCGAGATATCTATACGAAGAACCAAGTTGATTGGAATTCAACTTGCTCTTCTCGTTGTATATATATAGCCTAATGTTTCCCTCTGAACAATAAGATAATTCATACCTCTGAACTACAACATCGGTAATGACATCGAGGAGGAGCATTCGATCTAGCACAGATTATCAGCAGCTGGCGTAAGGTGGTCGTTCGCCACTCACCGTGCTCATGCCCCAGATGAGATCCCCTGCTACCAGTTGCGAACAGCACCCCGGCCGGACTCGTGGGAAAGGCCGAACCAGGGTTGTGTTTCACTGCCATCCGAGGTCAGCATGGTGTCCGGTGGCTGAGGAGTGGTAGAGCCTTGCTGTCGGTGTAGTCTGGCATTGGAATAGGCAAACCAGAGACGAAGTAGCAGGCGTCAACTCGATCCCATGTGCACGAGGGCCCAGGATCACTTTGTACCACGGGGAATGGATGTTGGCTGAATCTGCCAATGCACGGCTCTGGGCAAATCTTCAACCGTGTCAGGGCAAAGTACCACTGGACAAGAGATTCATGGTATTTTGCTTACGACAAACTTCGACCTGACCTAAAAATGACTGGCCTCGCGGCGAGGGATCTATGGTAGATCTAAGCCATGGCCTGTCTTATCGCTTGCTCAACTGAAGTCAGGGGTTGAAATATCTGGCTTTTAGACTATTGCCAATAGCTCGTTCCAATTTGCTGATTGATGCTCCTCGGGGAATTAGTTGTTTTTTCTGTGGCCGTCGATTCTCGGCTTCTCTTCGTTGTCGCGGATGCTCGGATGGCTCGCTCGGTCAACAGTGAGGCCGGCTCATGGCTACTGACAAGCCTTCGGATCGGACGTGGGCAGGAGGTTCATAGCCGTCAGAATATTGCGAGTTACTAATACATTGACTGCCAACCTTTGTCCGGACAGGGTGATGCCGAAGAGACAAAATGGAAACACTTTGGAATTTTACCGTATGGCTAAGCAGAGGGCATCAAGCCTTTCTGAATTGGGCCCGCTAATAAGCCAGGTGAAGTGGCCATCTCAACCACGTCTTCAGAAAGAACAAAGGCGCAAGCGTAGTAATATTCAGTGGCTTGGCCCATCAGGTTGTTGAAGCTGGTTCAGTTTTGAAGACGAGGGGGGAACATAGCTCTGTCAGGTCGAAGGTAATATTGACGCGCGCCCTATGAAGAAAAAGAATCATCAGCGATAGTTCCTGAGAAACAGAAAGCCACGAACGGATAGCATTTTTACGGAGATTGAAATGCAGTACCGGGTGTTGGGAATGGACAGGGGCAAAGCACCAGCGGGACTTACAAGATATTGAGCGACTCGCGATAGGAAGTTTTCCATCCTACAGAGAGGGTCGTCAGCACATTGTATCTGCCTTTGAAATTGCTGCAGTCTTTAAACCTACGTTGTCAGTTATTGCTGTCCACTGCAGGGGATCGTATAAAGGATGGCACCTAATTATCTTCAATCATTAGCGGGTAGCTTATAAAGACAACATATAACTCACCGTGCTCGCAGCTTGGACCATTCCAGATCATCCTGAAAGTTTCGTTCAATGGCTTCTCAGAGGAATAGTGGCGGCGGGGCTGATATCGAGCGTTTTTCTCATGTTAGCATGATTCAAAATGACTGTGCAGCTACACTCACTTGCTGTTGTTCGAAGGCCTCTTGTGTCGAGAAAAGCCAGGCTGGTGGGACGCAACAAGTCAGTCAATTTCGTTGCACAATTGTAAAGTCAACATACCAAATAGTAGCCACGGAAACGAGAATTCATCGATATTCGTTTAACCGGAGTGACAAAGGAATGCTTGCGAACGACTAGTCTGCTGGCGAGGGACCGGGTATTTATAGCAATCCAGCAAGGCATTCGGTCTGCGTCAATGAGATCATGATTGTGAATTGTGAGGGCTCAAACACAAAATTCTCTTCAATGATAACTGGCTCAACATTTCATCACTGGTTCGAAGTAGCTCTCAGAGGCATTGCATTTTGCGCCTGGTGATCCGGAAGATGAAAAACATTTTCTGGCTGTTGGCATGGTTTCAACAGTGAGGATGCCGCAGAAAAGAACCGACGACGGTTATCACCATTCACCACCGTGAGTCCGCCCTTTAATGCGACGGGTAAAGCGATGAGGTCATATCATTTCATTTCACTCACCGGTGATGAGCCCATTACTCCACGCAACGAACACCTCATCAAAGACAGGCAAACACCATGCCATATTGCGACCCTAGATCCCTACCAGCCAAGCCGCAGGATGCTTCATTGCCTAACTCGTATATCGGAGAAAATGCATTACGCCTACACAATATCAAGCAGATACAAGCTATGGTGCAGCGTGGGACTGATTCGCACAGCCCACATCCCACGAAAGAGCTCCTTGTATAGTTAGTGAGTCACTAGATCAATTATGATTTCGCAGAACAATTTCTTCTGCTATCGACCTCGTCTTTGCGTATAGCAATACCCACATCGATCTCCTGGGAACTAAGTGGACACGGGAAGATGGTAGCTACTACAAGGAAACATCACCCAATTAGTGTCACCAAAGGCCCACATGCGCATAAGTCTCCAATGAAATGATTGGTTGATAATTGGCCTGGCTCCCAGGAGCCTGTGGGTTGTAAATATTGATACGGAGGAATAATGAACCAATCGGTGCCATGAATGGTCCACAAGTGCCACAAAGCATCATTAGAAATGATTGGTCCAAATGTGGCTATGAGCTCCTGGGAGCCTGAGCCTACCATTGCATTTACCATAATTAAATAGCCTATCAGCAATACCCTGTGAGGGTCTCACGTATCTGTTGATGAGGAGCGTGTCTTTCCAATGAATGATCAATATTAACGAAAGCTACAGTCGACTCTAGATACAAGACGTAGCGCGAGGAAGCAAAAGAAAGACAGCTTCCTCGCGTTCAGGGGAACCCAGATGCACCATGTGGGTCCGTTCCTCCACTTAGCGTCTATGCCTCATGTATATCCCTGACACCTTTTTGCACTATAATTTTGATGAGGGGCTGTCTAAGTTTGGAGTGCATATTGCTAGTCTGCAGTATAATTTCCCGTGGAACGGGAAGTGGAACAGTTTGGTCCTTGTGCCTGTTAAACGCAAAGAGTGGAATGAGTATATTCTCATCAACTTCAGTGATAATGATTCACTTACATAGGATGGTAATTGGTAGTGTGTTCGGTTCAAGTTTTCACGGAGCTGGTTACTAACTTTGTTGCAGGATATATGAACTCTGGAAAGTTCCGCTAGATAGATGACATCGATGATTCTGGTTCCAATTTGGATAATCGAGTCCCCGTTTACTTGTCAAGACTTAAACAGGGCCAGCCTTGGTTCCCACTTAGATGTGAAAGCAGCTGGACTTTTTATTCCCATACCCACCTAGTACATAGACAACCTAGATTTGAATCATCACTTCAATTGCTCCATGAAATAATTAAGAAGAATGAACGAGGTGTGGGCCTGAATCATAAAATAACCTAGACGCAACGCCCGATATCTTGGAAATAAACATGGTAAAGAACGTAAACTCTTTGTGACGCATCAAGTGTGTATTAAGAGTAACGAAAGATGAAAGATGCCGAAGATGTGAAAATCAAAGAGGAGGAACTGCTAATTCGAATAGAATAGAACCTTTCCAGCCGGCTGTACCATACACTCGGGAGATACTTCATGTCTTGACCAATCTGATGGCATGAAGGATATCTTCCAGAGACCATCCCGGCCCACCTGGAACGATTTCGGCCCAAACTTCCTCCGGAACCACGTCGCCAGGGTCCAGAAGGCTCCAGTTCCGGCTGGGCTCAGGCTTAGCCCACTTGAAATCCTCGATCTCATTCCAGTGGTCTTGATGATCAAGGTGGTCATGGTTCAGGGCCTAGATAGGAGCATTAGAATGGATGTCCAGGAAGAGAGTAGACTGCAAAGCTTACGTATGCCTTTGGTATTCGGCCAAATCTGACATTCGAGCAGTCTTCGATGATGGGATTGCTCGAGCAGCTGATGTAGACGTCGACGTCGGTACAGTGGTGCATGTGGAACTGGCGGCATGAAACCACAATTATACTGTGTTCTACCCCGGTCATATAGGCTGGTCCATTTACTTGGCCACAAATCAGCAAGCTCTCTCGGACGCCCTTGACGGTCAGACTAGCATAAGGCTTCCCGTCTGCGGTGGGAATCGTCATGGCAATGATACAATGCCGTAGAGAGGTAATGGATGCAGGAACTGTAGACGTTGAACCCGAAGCCGGGAGCATGATGTGGAGGTTGTGATGATTGTCAACAGACACAGAGGATACTCCACTAGCTGCGAATGCCGGGACAGGCTCCGACTCTAGTTGAGATTTAGCCAGCACCTCCGTGGCCGAGATTCCCGGGAATGAAGTTGGCTCAACTTCTGGCCGCTCCTGCGGCTGTTTGTCTGGTTCATTGAAGGGGGTGGATGGGTCATTCGGAGTTTGGTTGCCAGAAGACCCGATGGAA